AACAGAGCTCCACAGCAATAATACTCCCAGTAATGTGTCTGAGTGTATAACAGAGCTCCACAGCAATAATACTCCCAGTAATGTGTCTGAGTGTATAACAGAGCTCCACAGCAATAATACTCCCAGTAATGTGTCTGAGTGTATCACAGAGCTCCACAGCAATAATACTCCCAGTAATGTGTCTGAGTGTATCACAGAGCTCCACAGCAATATTACTCTCAGTAATGTGTCTGAGTGTATAACAGAGCTCCACAGCAATAAAACTCCCAGTAATGTGTCTGATTGTATAACAGAGCTCCACAGCAATAATACTCCCAGTAATGTGTCTGAGTGTATAACAGAACTCCACATCAATACTACTCCCAGTAATGTGTCTGAGTGTATAACAGATCTCCACAGCAATAATACTCCCAGTAATGTGTCTGAGTGTATAACAGAGCTCTACAGCAATAATACTCCCAGTAATGTGTCTGAGTGTATAACAGAACCCCACAGTAATAATACTCCCAGTAATGTGTCTGAGTGTATGACAGAGCCCCACAGAAATAATACTCCCAGTAATGTGTCTGAATGTATAACAGAGCTCCACTGTAATAATACTCCCAGTAATGTGTCTGAGTGTATAACAGAGCTCCACAGTAATAATACTCCCAGTAATGTGCCTGAGTGTATAACAGAGCCCCACACTAATAATACTCCCAGTAATGTGCCTGAGTGTATAACAGAGCTCCACAGCAATAATACTCCCAGTAATGTTTCTGAGTGTATAACAGAGCTCCACAGTAATAATACTCCCAGTAATGTGCCTGAGTGTATAACAGAACCCCACAGTAATAATACTCTCAGTAATGTGCCTGAGTGTATAACATAACCCCACAGTAATAATACTCTCAGTAATGTGCCTGAGTGTATAACAGAGCCCCACAGCAATAATACTCCCAGTAATGTGTCTGAGTGTATAACAGAGCTCTACAACAATAATACTCTCAGTAATGTTTCTGTGTATAACAGAGCTCCACAGCAATAATACTTCCAGTAACATGTCTGAGTGTATAACAGAGCTCCACAGCAATAATACTTCCAGTAACGTGTCTGAGTGTACAACAGAGCTCCACTGAAATAATACTCAAGGTAATGTGTCTGAGTGTATAACAGAGCTCCACAGCAATAATACTCCCAGTAATGTGTCTGAGTGTATAACAGAGCCCCACAGAAATAATACTCCCAGTAATGTGTCTGCGTGTATAACAGAGCTCCACAGCAATAACACCCCCAGTAATGTGTCTGAGTGTATAACAGAGCTCCACAGAAATAATACTTCCAGTAATGTGTCTGAGTGTATAACAGAGCTCCACAGCAATAATACTCCCAGTAATGTGTCTGAGTGTATAACAGAGCTCCACAGCAATAATACTCCCAGTAATGTGTCTGAGTGTATAACAGAGCTCCACAGCAATAATACTCCCAGTAATGTGTCTGAGTGTATAACAGAGCTCCACAGCAATAATACTCCCAGTAATTTGTCTGAGTATTTTACCAGCTCCACATCAATAATACTCCCAGTAATGTGTCTGAGTGTATAACAGAGCTCCACAGCAATAATACTCCCAGTAATGTGTCTGAGTGTATAACAGATCTCCACAGCAACAACACTCCCAGTAATGTGTCTGGGTGTATAACAGAGCTCCACAGCAACAACACTCCCAGTAATGTGTCTGGGTGTATAACAGAGTTCCACAGCAACAACACTCCCAGTAATGTGTCTGAGTGTATAACAGAGCTCCACAGCAATAATACTCCCAGTAATGTGTCTGAGTGCATAACAGTAGAACAGAATCACAGGCACTCTAGTTGTGTAAGCCGCAGGCAGATTTATTATCACAAAATGAGTAGAAGCAGCAACGTTTCGACCAAACAGGTCTTTGTCAAGCAGAGCCAGCACAAGTCTAACACAGCCCTGGCCAATCAGCATCTCCTCATAGAGATGAATTCAATCAATGTATCTCTATGAGGAAAGTTCAGTGTCTGCATGCAGAGGGAGGAGATACTGAATGTCAGTCACACTGTGCAGCACTGCCCCAGCAAGCACCTCTAGTAGCCATCTGAGGAGTGGCCAGTGAAGATATCCCTAGGCTGTAATGTAAACACTGCATTTTCTCTGAAAAGACAGTGTTAACAGCAAAAAGCCTGAAGGGAATGATTCTACTCACCAGAACAAATTCAATAAGCTGTAGTTGTTCTGGTGACTATAGTGTCCCTTTAATGTAGGTAAAGATGGGGTGTAAACATATAATGCATTGAAGGTATGTACAAGGTTATTAATTAAAGAAACATGCTACAGTTTAAAGAAATACAATTTAGCAATATGTATTATACCTATGATTGCCTATCACAATCGTAAGTTGCCTAAAAGTTCTAAGAACAGCCCCGCCTCCGGCCACACCCACTCACACCCCTAAAATTAAAGAGTCTCTTTTTGTCCATGTGAAACGTTGGGAGGTATGTATATTTAATGGCTACTAAGGGATGTCTTCTATTGCTAGCTGAGACTGCCAGTGTGTCATTTTACAACGGGCACATTGCCATACCTCAGTGCACCAGCAGATAAACTCAGATATAAATAATTAGCTACATTTATCTCTGTTATAATCTAAAACAGATTTGACCATGAAATACTTAGGTGAAAAGTAACGATATACATTAAGGTTACAATGCAGCCCAGTGGATTCCTTTGACGTATGTTGTCGTTCAACGTTATTGTTTGCAGAACTTGTTTTGTTACGTTTGTCTCTGATCACATGTTCATAGATTGGGGAGAAGCAATCTAACCTTTCTTTAATTATTATATTTCACTAAACTGTATTGTAACCTGCCTGTTTAAACATATTCATTAAATAAAGCCAAATAAATAAACCACCATTTAATAATGTTCCCTTGCTGATGTGTTTCAATGTTTTATATAGGTTTAAAATAAAACCATAAGCTGCAGTCGGATATAATGATTCATTATACATAACAGAAATAAGAACACATATAATTATTGTTTAGATACATATTTATTACATAGATATATAGATAGTGTGACGAAAGTAACCTGGCCACTGGGTCTTGGAGGGGCCTGCTTGCCAGCCTCTTGGCCCATGACTGTGGCCCGTGTGTTATACCTCGGTTCAGGACTGTGGCCCGTGTGTTATGGCTTGGTTCAGGACTGTGGCCCGTGTGTTATACCTTGGTTCAGGACTGTTGCCCGTGTGTTATGGCTTGGTTCAGGACTGTGGCCCGTGTGTTATACCTTGGTTCAGGACTTTGGAAAAGCTTTTTTCATGCCTTTTTCTTTTCCTTATAATTCAGTATATGGGGCTTACCGAATGGATAATATTGCGTTCGTATATCGAATAAACAACCAAACAGTCGGACCACCCGCAAGTGGAGAGTACAGCCTATTAACCTCCCACACTTATGGTTAACCACAGCTTAATTGGCGAACAGCTGGGTGTTCGTCATTCGTATGTACGAACAAGTGGCGGCGGCCATCTTGTTTTGTTAAAATGTGACTTTCATAAAAATCTTGAACCCCTGAACCGATCTGGGTGATCTTTGGGTATGTTAGTCACCCAGATCGGGGCTATCAGGAGATATAACTTTTATGGGGTTTCCATGGGTTTTAGGGGTACTTTAAGGGTACTGTTGAAATGTGTGTTAATTGAATTAGATTAGTACAGTTCCTGATCCAATTATTATAGAGGGGGGATTATCTGGTTATGTATGGGAGTGTCCTGGACCTGAGAGCCAATGCAGTTGTGTGTATGTTTTTACTGTAGTCTACTCTCAAGTCCAGGGGGGAGTTCCCCTTGCATGGGGATTGTCATAGAAGTGCAACTGTGGCTGCCATTAAGCAGATCCTCTCACCCCTTCATAAAGTCTAGGCTCATGTTTGGGGGATTGGAGAGCTATATTCACACTCTGGGGATTGCTATAATCACTATACTCCCTTGTATCACAACACTTGCTTATATAAGAGCAGCCTGCTTCACTCTCTGTACTAGGAGAAGTCTACCCAATGGAAGACGGATCCTGGTCTTGGGTTCAGGGTGGGTGAAGGACAGCGAGACCCCAACCAAGCTGCAGCGATTTGTGGGGTTTACGGTGGTTATGGTGTTCCAGTGCAGTACTAGGAAGCAGCGATTGATGGAGGTACCCGGTCAGGTTGCAGGCGATCCATCACAGATAGATACATAGATACTGTATAGATAGATAGCTATTATATAGATAGATACTGTATAGATAGATAGCTATTATATAGATAGATACTGTATAGATAGATAGATAGATACTGTATAGATAGATAGATAGATAGATAGATAGATAGATAGATAGATACTGTATAGATAGATAGATATTATATAGAAAGATACTGTATAGATAGATAGATAGATACTGGATAGATAGATAGATAGATAGATAGATAGATAGATACTGTATAGATAGATAGATAGATAGATAGATAGATAGATACTGTATAGATAGATAGATATTATATAGAAAGATACTGTATAGATAGATAGATAGATACTGGATAGATAGATAGATAGATAGATAGATAGATAGATAGATAGATAGATACTGTATAGATAGATAGATAGATAGATAGATAGACATGCAGACAGAGATGGAGATATCTGTTATTATTTCTTCGTATACATTTTTCTATCAAGGCGCTATGTGCAATATTTACAACCAATCATTCTGTAGGAAATTGTGGGGGTTAGTTTAGACATCTTTCTGCAAAGTGTAGTAGATGCTTTATTATGCTGATAATAAGGTGTTTAAAATGCATTAATTTTCAAAGCTAGAAGTGATTATGGTTATTTTACTGGCTGGGGATATTTTAACTGGTTTATTTTGAAGGACGAGACCTGGGTGGTTCTGAAAGCTCACACTCTAATTCTTTATTGGTCAATAGATGTTTTACATTGAGTCGAGAATTTTTGCCACAATTATTACTGGATGGAGCACGTGGAATCCTTGCTTGCATTATGCTTTCTTTGCCTTTCTAGATCTTCCGCCATTCTTTTTCTTTCTTCTTCAAATTCCTGGTTTCTCTTCTCATCATCTGTCCCCTTGATGTATTTAAGAATAAACTTCATCCTGTCTTTCCTTTCACTTTTTGGATTCCTCTGCTTTTCCATGTAGAAATTGACTTCTTCCAGAACCTGGCAGAGAAAAGACAGAATCTCCTTGTGTTTTCCCAGCAATTCTTGTTTATTTTCTGAGGTGTAATTTTCAATCGCGTAGATCTTATCGGATCCCAGGTCTTCAAACATTTTACGCACCTCATTTAGATTGCCGGAGGTTTTATGAGTTAGAATAACTAGGGGGTTGATACCTGGAGAAACAAAATACGTGGCAGTTTTAGTGTCATAGAAATAGGAGGAAATATGTTACAAAATGTACTGCACAGACAAGGGGTAGTTTATAAATAGAAACATAGAATGTGACGGCAGATAAGAACCATTCGTCCCATCTAGTCTGCCCAATTTTCTAAATACTTTCATTAGTCCCTGGCCTTATGTTATATTGGTAAAGTTTCATTTAACCCATTAAGGACCGAGGACGGTTCAGGAACGTCATCAGCATTTTTCCATTGCCGACCGCTGACGGTTCTGAACCGTCCTAACAGTCTTAGCTACTTGCCCAATCGCCGTCGTTCCCCCAGCAGCAATTGGCGGTGCTCCCAGTGTGGGGAGACTGCCTGCAGCCCAGACAGTCTCCCAACACCGGATTAGGACCCCTGGAGCCATGTGATTGCTCAACACAGCGATGACATAGTCACAATAGGTGTCCATGTGTCTGCCTGCAGGAGGACTGCCTGTGCCAGGCAGTCTCCCTGCTAGTGTAAAATCATTAAAAAAATAAATAAAGTTAATGTTAATGTATATATATATATATATAATGTCATACTAAGTGTATTGTATGTTAATATGTCCATATATTAATATAAAAATACACTTATAATTCAATTGCACACATATATATATAATATATATAATAACTATATATTGTATATATATATATATATATATATATATATATATACATATATATATATATATATATTATAATAAAATACAAATAATAAGTAATTTAATTTTAATTAAAAATGTAAAAATAATAATAATTTTTAAAAAAATTGTATATATTTATATGAAATATTATTTTAACTGTATTTTGATATATATATATATAATATATATATATATATTTATATCAAAATACACTTAGAATGAAATTGTATATATAAATAAATAAAAATAATACGAAATATACATATGTCCATATACAAAAGTACATAAATAATTATATAAATATACACGTACACTTCATATATACATATTTAAATTCTTTGTGCATATTTATGTAATATTTTTACATAATTCAGCAATTTTATTGATTGCAATTTTAGGGACCTGCCTGCCAACCCAGGCTGAAAGTCCAGAGAATTTAATTTGCTAGCATTGTGTTTTACCCTGTAATGTTCTACGACACCCTAAAACCTGTAAATGGGGGGTACTGTTTTACTCGGAAGACTTTGCTGAACACAAATATTAGTGATTCAAAACAGTAAAACATATCACAGCGATGATATTGTCAGTGAAAGTAACTTTTTTTGCATTTTTCACACACAAACAGCACTTTTACTGATGATATAATTGTTGTGATACGTTTTCCAGTTTTTAAACACTAATATTTGTGTTCAGCGATGTCTCCCGAGTAAAACAGTACCCCCCATGTACAGGTTTTATAGCATTTTTGAAAGTTACAAGGTCAAATATATGGGTCAAATATTTTACATTGAAAATGGCCAGGTTGGTTATGTTGCCTTTGAGAGCGTATGGTAGCCCAGGAATGAGAATTACCCCCATGATGGCATACCATTTGCAAAAGAAGACAACCCAAGGTATTGCAAATGGGGTATGTCCAGTCTCTTTTAGTAACCACTTAGTCACAAACACTGGCCAAAATTAGCATTCAATTTAGTTTTTTACTTTTTTCACACACAAACAAATATGAATGCTAACTTTGGCCAGTGTTTGCGACTAACTGGCTACTAAAAAAGTCTGCACATACCCCGTATTGAATACCCTGGGTCGTCTATTTAAAAAAATAAATATGTACATGTGGGGTGTTATTCAGAGATTTATGACAGATAATAGTGTTACAATGTCACTATTGATAAATTTTAAAAATGTATGTTTTGAAACCACAATATCCTACTTGTACTTACAAAAAAAAATTGCAAAAAAGCACGTAAACACTGGGTATTTTTAAACTCAGGACAACATTTTGAATCTATTTAGCAGTTTTTTCATTAGCTTTTGAGTAAAGGTGAGTAAAAGATGTGTAGAGATGTGTTAATGGCTGAACATGATAGATCTCAGGTTTTTCTTCGAACCTTGATTACTATGTAACTCTCTACCTTGTTGGTCATATTGCATCAATGTTAACAGTGACATAGTTACATAGGCTGAAAAGAGACATGTGTCCATCAAATTCAGCCTTTCTCACATATGTTTTTGCTGTTGATCCAAATGCAGGTAGAAAACCCAGTTTGAGGTGCTTCCAATTGTGCAACAAACTAGGAAAAAATTCCTTCCTGACCCCAGAATTGCAGTCAGATATCTCCTTGGATCACAGCAGTTGGAGCTTTGTTAGCATTGATGTTTGTGAATATTTTTTCAGGGTTTGAGACACTAAGGTTTAGGACTGAACATATTTCTAGCTGAACAGTTTATTATCATTATTGTCACTTTATGACGTGTTTACATGAAATATATTGCAGATCGGTCTCTGATAAATTGGAGTTAAAGAGACACTGTAGTCACCAAAACAACTTTAGCTTAATTAAGTGGTTTTTGTGTATATATCATGCATTTGCAGTTTCACTGTTCAATTCTCTGCCATTTAGGAGTTAAATCTCTTTGTTTTTGCAGTCTTTATCACACCTCCCTGCAGGTGACTTACACAGCATTCCTAAGCACTTCCTGTAAAGTGAGATCTAATGTTTACACTTTCCTTTATTGTAAATATTGTTTAATTTTGAATGTCTTATCCCTGCTATGTTAATAGCTTGTTAGACCCTGCAGGATCCTCTTGTATGTAATTAAAGTTCAATTTACAGAGCAGGTGACAAAAACTTTTTAAATAAGTTTACATCTGATTGAAATAATAAAAAAAAATTCTTGCAGACTGTGTCAGTCACAGAAACAAAAATGATTTAACTCCTAAATGGTAGAGAATTGAGCAGTGAGACTTCAGAGGCATTATCGATACACCAAAACCATTTAATTAACCTAAAGTTGTTTTGGTGATTATAGTGTCCCTTTAAGTTGATCTTCCCCACTGTAATAATTCAGGCTGAGCATATTTACCTGTCAGGTCTGTTGCAGTTTTTAGAATATTTTTGTATGTATCAGCTTCATGACTTGATATTTTATTTTTTATGCTAAAAAAAAGTAAAACACAAATATATTAATGAAACAGAAAGACAGAGAAATGGAGTGAAATAATTGCTAATATCAGTATAATACAAAATGGGAGGTTCTGGCCGTAACATAAAACAAGAGATCGATTCTTCAGTACCCCAACATATCGAATTTCCTTTACCACTTTCTTTCCCTTTTCATTTTAATATCCAGTTAGTTCCAGTTATTTTTCTTGTTTGTGGTTTGAAGATGGGTTTTGCTATATCTTATAAATTGTGAGCTGTTTGCTACCTTTGTTTTATCGTTACACATACTGAAACATTATACATCACATAAATGGGGTACACGGCAGCCTAGCCCCCATCTACCTTCTAGACCCAGCTGGCATTAGCTGTCTGGTTTTCCATCTAAGGCAAAGAAAAGGCTTTTTTTTACAGTAAGAGCAATACGGATATGGAATTCTCTGCCTGAAAAGGTGGTTTTGTCAGAGTCCATACAGATGTTTAAACAGCAAATGGAGAAATACTTGCAAAAACATAACATACAGGGATATAATTTATAATTAGTGGGGTAATAGCTGCTTGATCCAAGGAGACATCTGACTGCTATTTTAGGGTAAAGAAATATTTTTTTTCTTAGTTTGTTGCAAAATTTGAAGCACTTCAGACTGGGTAGTTTTGCCTTCTTTTGGATCAACATCAAAAACAATGTGAGGAAGGCTGAACTTGATGGACGTAAGTCTCTTTTCAGCTATGTAACTATGTAACTATGTAACTGTGTAACAATGTAACTGTGTAACTGTGTAACTGTGTAACTGTGTAGCTATGTAACTGTGTAACTATGTAACTATGTAACTATGTAACTGTGTAACTGTGTAACTATGTAACTGTGTAACTGTGTAACTATGTTACTGTGTAACTGTGTAACTATGTAACCATGTAACTATGTAACTGTGTAACTATGTAACTGTGTAACTGTGTAACTGTGTAACTCTGTAACTGTGTAACTGTGTAGCTATGTAACTGTGTAATTATGTAACAATGTAACTGTGTAGCTATGTAACTGTGTAATTATGTAACAATGTAACTGTGTAACTATGTAACTGTGTAACTATGTAACTATGTAACTGTGTAACTGTGTAGCTATGTAACTGTGTAACTGTGTAACTGTGTAGCTATGTAACTATGTAACTGTGTAACTGTGTAGCTATGTAACTGTGTAATTATGTAACAATGTAACTGTGTAACTATGTAACTGTGTAACTATGTAACTATGTAACTGTGTAACTGTGTAACTGTGTAACTATGTTACTGTGTAACTGTGTAACTGTGTAACTGTGTAACTATGTAACTGTGTAACTATGTTACTGTGTAACTGTGTATCTATGTAACTGTGTAATTGTGTAACTATGTTACTGCGTGTGACAGATTCATCTGCATTGTTGGAGAAATTGACGGGAGTTTGGCGGTCGGCTGAATTTAACCTGCATTTCTGGAGAAGGGGATTATTGCCTAAACGGCGGCTTCATCTACCCGACGGTACGTGTCGTAACACTGCGTAACTATGTAACTATGTAACTGTGTAACTATATAACTATGTAACTGTGTAACTGTGTAACTGTGTAACTATGTAACTATGTAACTGTGTAACTGTGAACTATGTAACTGTGTAACTGTGTAACTATGTAACTATGTAACTGTGTAACTGTGTAACTATATAACTGTGTAACTGTGTAACTGTGTAACTATGTAACTGTGTAACTATGTAACTATGTAACTATGGTTGAATTGGCTGTCACCAGATTAGCACCAGCAATGATAGATATTGGAGCAGATTTGTACCAACTCAAATTAATGTAAACTATTAATAAAATATATCAGAGATAACTCTTTGTTATACTCTATGTGCAGTCTAGATCCTCATTGCTGATTTTAGACTACATTTCCCATAATTCTCTGCCTTCTATTTGAATCCCAAAACAGACATAGAATGAAAATGGATCATAATATGCTATAATTACTGACCTGTGCACAAAGATCGGGACAATAAAATCCTTGTCATCGGCCGTTGTATCTGCTTCCATCAATCGATCTACATTCACTGAATAATCTTCACACCATGTCACAGTCTCATTAAGAGGCAATAAATTGGCTGAAATTACACAATGACAAAATGTAAATCTCACTTTCATTTATATGAATTTGATCAGCAAGATACAATAGGTCCATCGAGCCTCTTACTGAATAATACAGAGCTGTCTGACTTACCTGGTGTGAATGGACAGACTTTATCTGACAAACATGGTAGTGATGGATCAAACTAGACCTACATTTTAAAATACCATGAACTATTTTATAAGGGGCTTTACCCTGGGATACCCAGACCCTTCACTTTGAGATCACGTGTCATGAGGTGGAAAGGAATTGTTCATCTCACCATCCTAGCCTAGTTTTATTTAATCAAACTCCACCTAATCTAATTGATTGCCTATTACCCAACCTTCATTGTCAACCTTTATAGTGCTCTGTGCTTTCAGTTAGTGGAATGATGCCTGTAGAACCATGAGGTGTCAATTACGGTACTGTTCATGTACATTTTATAAAGCCCCCTTCTCGGCCACATTGGTAATGATGAATTAACACTTACTCAGTTGACTCGCTTTTCCAGCATTGTTTCAAAATGGCTTTATTATAGGTATCTGTCAGTGTATCTACAATTATTGTTTTTATTAGACATTGTTAACTTACCAAGTTGGGCAAAAATCTCTCCTGTCTCGTATTTGTTGAGTGTCGGACAGCCACGATTATCAACCATCATTATAACATTGGTGAGCTCAAAGGCCACTCTCCTTGTAGTACATCCACCATCCGATGCCCTTGCTTCTGCAAATTCTCTGTAAACTCCATCCAGGACAAACTTACAGGAGTTGATGAAGGATGACTTGCCGTTACCTGGTAAACCGAACAGCTGCAAGAGAACTCGTTTGAAGCCCTGATTCCCATGTTTACATTTATCCAGGCTGTAATTAATGATTGTCTGTCTGTATTCATCAATACTCATCTTGGATGCAGCAGTATTCAGGTATTGATCAGCTGCAAAGATCTGATTATGGAGACTGTTTCTATTATTCTCTACCTAAGAAAACAACACAAAACAAAGAGACAGAATGTGGTAAAGTCTGATCAGAGCTGTGTCTTTCAAGATATCCATTAAAGCACATTGAAACGGAAAGCTCTGTCAGAGCGGGAGAGTACATCTTCCAGGACATTAATATTAAAATATGCGATTTACCAATGGGTAGAGATAGAATCCCACTGGTAGTGCCCTAGGGAGCTTAGAGTCATGTTGTGGGTGCCAGGGAGATCCAGGCCGCCCATCACCTCCTTACTGCCCAACACTCAGACCCTCAGTGATCCTGATCCCGACATTCCACATGAGCCAAACACAGAATGCACCATGCGTACCAGGTCTTAGACAGGGGCCGCCTGTTGACATTTCCGGAGGCCCAGACACAATACAACCTCTTCTGCAACTGTCAATAGTCTAATTTGAATCTTAAATGTGGCAAAACAAATTATCCCTCAATATTGGAAACAGGCTGTCACCCTTCCCCCTGTCAATGTGGGTTACACAGATGTCCGCATGAATGAGGAACTCTACTTTGGAGCTACTAATAAAATGAATGTGTAGTCAGAAATCTTGGCGCACTGGTTACTGAATAGTTTACCTTCCTAATTACTGTAGACGTTCATGAAAACAATTTAGTTAAGTTAAAACAAATCCATGTAAGGAAAATAGAGACAAGATCCCAAATAGGGAGAAGTAAAACTCAACCCTGGACTATGATAAGAGATAAAAGATGAAACCTGTGGACTAAGAACAAATATTACAAAGCGGAAACAGAGAAGCTAGAGATTAGGTTATGTGGAGGGAGTCTTGCTAGACCAATGTAAAGTTAAGATATCATTTAACATCATAGCAGTATGAACATACTTGTTAATAATGTGATATTAAAGGGACACTCCAGGCACCCAGACCACTTCTGCCCAATGGAGTGGTCTGGGTGCCAACTCCCACTGCCCTTAACCCTGCAAGTGTAATTATTGCAGTTTTCATAAACTGCAATAATTAGCTTGCAGGGTTAACGCCTCCTCTAATTGCTGTCTACTAGACAGCCACTAGAGGGCACTCTACTAGACAGCCACTAGAGGGCACTCTACTAGACAGCCACTAGAGGGCACTTCCTGCTTCACAGGTTTTCTGTGTGTGAGGACCTCCAGCGTCGCTAAAATCCCCATAGGAAAGCATATGGAGAGGTCTAATGCGCGTGGGCGGCATTGCCGCGCATGCGCATTAGGTCTCCCCCGCCGCTGTAAAAAATAAAGTATTACGTTAGTTCTATTTGGAACTTTATGTCCTTTGTGGATTTTTAGGGATCCCAGTGACAGAGTGTTGGCTGGCTGCACGATCCCTCTAGCCCAGCCTTTCCCAATTTTGGGGTTTCGCTGTGATTTGCTCTAGGGCCACCCGATGGTCTGCAACCAGGCCCTTGTAGTGTGGGATGCTGGGAGGAAGTGACATAAATTCCTCCCAGACAGAAAGCGCCTGATAGAACGCAGGCTGGAAGGAGAGAGTAAGGAACAGGTATGGACCACCTGGCACACCATCCTCAGCCAGCAGCCTTCAGCACTGAAGAAAGTTACACTGCTGAAGAATAAAGGTAAATGAACAGGAGGATGACTGCAAATATAAACACATGTGCCTGTGTGTGTGTGTACCTGTGCCAGTTTGTGTATCTGTGTGTCAAGGTGTGCGTATGCCAGTGTGTGTATCTATGTGTTTGTGTGTAAGTGTATCTGTCAATGTGTGTGTGTGCCTGTTTAAGTGTGTGTGTGTCAGTGTGTGTGCCTGTTTAAGTGTCCGTGTATCTGTCAGTGTGTGTATGTGTCAATGTGTGTATTATTGTGCCAGTGTATGTGTATCTGTGTGTGTAGTTGCCAGTATGTGTATCTCTGTACCAAGATGCAAGCTGCCAGCGTGTATCTGTGTGCTAAGATGCAAGCTGCAGAGGTATAGGCAGAGGGGACGAAACCTGCCTGAAAACACATATATGATAATGTATATGTAAATGATTATAGACTATGCGGGGAAAATGTCTGACATTGTTTTCTTATCCGTAACTTTATTATTTGGTAAATGATTTCTTAAAAGTCCAACCAAAATTTTAATTTTTGTTTCAAATAACCCCTTCAAACCGGCACTTATGTATACACGACTGCCAGGCTACACAACCACATTGAGCAATCGTGTATAAATGCCTAGCACAATTGCAAAGAGATTTACATTGTAAATGGTGCCATAACTACAGTCAGAGAGCTCACAGCACAGCGACACAGTTCTCTAACAACTGGTTAGCAATGGCTGCCCTGTCACTAGTTTAGAACATTTAGTCGATATGCCTTCACCTGACACAAGCAAAACGGTGGATATTTATTGTTTTTTTATTATTTTGTACTTTTTAATGTGGTCGCTCACTAGAAAGCACTGGCCAGCCACCACATAATTAACCCTTGCACTGCCAATGTTTTTTTTTTAACTATTTCCTTGCTGGCTTCTAGCGCTGCCAGTGGGAAATGAGTTAAATTAACAGGAAAAGGCCAGTAAATGATAATTGGAGAATGTGTATTCTGTGGTCATTGGTACATTTTCGATTCCTACCTTTTAAATTGGTTCGCATGCAGATATTAATGATTTTTACAAACACGAACGAATGAGGCAGAATCGGTCAGAACGAACCGAATGCAGACCCTATTAGACTTTAGTAAATCTGCAAATATACAATGCGTTCAGAAATTGTTCATTTTCACATGGTTCCACTTTTAAAGAAAAGAAGACTCTGATGAGGTGGCAGCCAAAAGAAAACATCTCTCCCGGCTAATCCACTTCACATCAAAGACTTGGACTTGGCCCCATTGAGGCATTTTCATTGTAAGGGTGCCTTATAGAAAGCCTCAATCCAATGGAAAATGGGTGATAAGACTTGTAAATTGCATATTCTTAAGCAGTACCCGCCCAACCAGACTGAACAAAGTCATTTAACAAGAAGAACCGGCAAACTTTGTTGGATTCTCATTTGCAAAGCTGTCAGATACTCGGAATAACTCGCTGATGTCGCTGCAGCCAAACTGTGAATCTCCCAGGGATAAATACGCCTGCAATCTATAAATGTCTAGTTTGCTTTTTATTTTGAATTTTAATAAAATATTCTGTGTTTTTCGGAATGTTTGATATGTTTTGTTAATTGATTGATAATTATCACAAAAACAACAAAATAAAAACAGTCTATGTTGTATGAAGTGTGACAGGGGGAGTGATTACATACGTTATAAAGGAGTGTGACTAGAATTCTGGTTTTACACCACATCTTGTCACGGGTACCGCCCTGCATACTCTGTTTGAACCTTTAACAGCTGAGAGCCCCAGAGAACGGACGTCCTGTGTCAGTGGGTTAATCAGAGAGCAGGATCTAGCAGGTTATAGTGTAGAACCTTATAAGGTCTGCCTTACTGTGGTTAATGCAAAATATGATCTTATCTCGTAACTAAATCTCCATTATTTTACTTGTCAGTGTTTTTAATGTTATGTTCTATGAAGCTAATCTGGCATTGTATGGGTGTACACATGCATATTTCTATGTGTATATGTTATATATAAATACTCTGAATGTTCCCAGGAGGAAGGCTGCTAGAAGCAGTGTTCTGGAATGCTGAGCACATCCTGTGTTTTAACCAGGTCCTTTAACTGTGGTGCACAGAAAAAAATAGATATGTACAAATAAATCCCTCCACCAATAAATACTAATCTGGTGTGGGTATTTATGAAAACAGCCTCCCCCAAAAGTGTCCAGCAAACTGCCTTCTAAGACAATGTATATAAAAAAAATTGGGGAATCGGATCCACCTATATCAGAACAAAATAAACATTTGATTTGGTCCCTGAGGAAGTCCCTTGCAATGGAAGAAACGTGTACGAACTGTTTGTATATATATATTTCATTTTATTTCAGATAAAGTAGATTTTCTACTACCCCCCTGCTGGCGATCCTGTGATCCTTGCGATGTCCCACTCCTTCCATGGTGGATCTACAATGTATTCTCTGGGTAGAACTCAGTAAGAGCCTCACAGCAAATACCGTGATATATACAGATATCATATAAATCCAGCTATCTATGTAAACACTGCAACACACTGACACTGACTGGTACCTGGTTCAAGTAGAACAATATAATATAATTTGGTGAATACATAGATCTAATAGCTAAATAATGCATTAAACAGAGATACACACGTATACATATCCCTATTATACACTAACATTACTATAGTAGTGATAAAACCACTTATATACATCCCACATATACAGATATATACGTATATACACAGCCACGCTTTACATACCTAGACGTGTCTTAGTCCTGCGACTGAGTAACTGTTAAATGCACTGAGCGAGCGTAATAAGAACCTGCAGCCAACTCAAATGGAAAGTGAAAGAGATTTTGATTGTTTTTTAAACGTACTCCTATTTAACATTTAACTAACAGATACCCTGAGCTGTTTCTTCAAAGATCCAGGAAAAAAAAAAGAGTGAAAATTAAAAAAAAAAATCTACATGCTGAGCTCACCATTAGAACATAAAAACAAAAAGAAAGGGCGCGCCTTTAATGCCGTATATATCGAAGGGAATACATACTGTAATATTTAGATAAAAGGGAAAGTAAAAAAAAAAAAAATAATACAATATATAAAAATATATAAAATATATATAATATATAGTGTTCTATAAAACATTGCGAGTCCAAGGTAATAGTCCACAGTGAACGACGAGGATTCTTGTGTATCAATAAAGGTTCAAAATTACATATTTTGGCGGGAATATTCCAATTCCAATTCAATCAATGTATCCTATATAAGAAATTGCATGTCAAGGTTTATGTCTTTTGATTATATTCTACTTGAAGAAGCCTGTTAAGACACCTCCAATGTCTTTAGGCAAAACCGCCGTTTAGTATTGAGGGTCAAATAGGATCTGGCTTTACTGTGGGCTACCTGCCCGTATTTATGCAGGTCTCCCACTTGGTGGACACTCCCCTAGGGGACCAAATGGGAGACTTAAATGACAGACAGATATGGGGACATTCCAGACACACAGTCACAGATTTTACCCACAGTGCATTATGATTCCCTCCCCTCTGCCCTGGAGATAATTACCAAGTAACTCAATTATCTCCAGGACAAAGCCAGTCGCCATCTTAAATATAAAATCATAAAAGACATAAAATACATAACTTCACAAAAAGCGAACATTTCCCATTCGCATTACATATCCCCAGATAGCCTGGATCTGAGTGCATATTATTAGCGAATAGCGCTCAGATCCCACAGACATAGTTCAATCGCCATGGAGTCAAAGTTCTTACAGTCTTTCGGTATACGAATGACTCCATGGGAAGGCTATCTGGGTTAAGTCTTTTCGTATGCTTCAAACCTCCTGAACGGCCGGTATTCGTATGCTTTCGTGGAGACAGCCAGGCGTTCCGTTGTTTCAGCGGTGTTCGGCAGAAAAAGTGTCGGTTTTTAGTAACATAGAAAATGGCCGCTGCCTCGTGGTCGAAATACGAACGACGACCACCCTGAATTCGGTTTAATTGAGAATTGTCTGCGGTTAACCACAACGTTCTAATTGGGATCAATAGGTTAACCAGCAGCACACTTCTCTCCTGGGTGGCCGTCCGTTCGGCAGGTTTGTTCGGGAAAAAAGTCATTCGAATGGCTGGGCTATAGAAAACAGCCATTCATACGAACGGAATACAAACAGACGAATACATCCCAAATACAAGCAGACAGATGGTTCTGTCACAAAGCCTATTGTGACGAAACGCATCTAGAATTTTATCTTATTTGTTTTATACTATTGTAATAAAGGAATTTTGGCCTCAAAAATAATATTTGTTGTAGCCACATTCCTATTTTATTCTTATTTTTATTTTAATCATCTATAACCTGACTGCTTGGATCTACACCATTTTAAGGAACGCCAAAGAATCCCTAGGTGGGGATTATATCACCCATACGCTACTATCTGAGCAGTGAATTCTGCTCAGCATATTGTGAGTACATTTCATACTTTCTTTTAACCATACTCCAGTTATTCAGTGAGCACTATATATTTCATTCCTTTTATTTCCGGTTGGAACTCCTGGTGAATTACTACTCCATATATCCTTGAGTGGGGATCAATCCACTTCACGCGCTTCATACCAGAGCTGGATTTTAGCTCTGGAAATTGTGAGTACATTATATAATTTTATATATATATTTATATATATACTGACATATTGGATCCTCTCTTTATTTCTCTCCACATATGGCTTATTGAGAATCCAAGTCTCCATTGGGAAGAACCTTTATTGATACACAAGAATCCTCTTCGTTCACTGTGGACTATTACCTTGGACTTATAATTTTATATAGAACACTATATATTATATGTGGCAGAACCAACCTCGCCACTATGCACTGGAGAAGCCTGGTTGCCCACATGCTACCTTTAGACTATGCCCCCATGTTGAAACGCTTGATTTTCCCCTGCGAAGACATGAAAGCCGGGTCATTCGGTGCTTGCCCTGTTTGAGCTGTGATACCTCAGATAGCTATGCCATGGAGCCCATTCGTATAATGAAAGACTATGGAAAAGACTTTGGCTCTGTGACGAGAGCAATCTCGCCACATTGCATTGGAGAAGCCTGGTTGCTCGCCTGTTGCCTTTGGATTATGGCCCCATGTTAAAAGGCTTGATTTTCCCTGCAAAGACAAGAAAGCCGGGTCATTTGGTGCTTGCCCTGTTTGAGCAGTGATACCCCAGATAGCTATGCCATGGAGCCCATTCGTATAATGAAAGACTATGGGAAAGACTTTGGCTCCATGGCAGTTGAACTGTATGTGTGTGCTCTGAGCGCCATTCAGTAATAATGTGCGCTCAGACCTAAGCTATCTGGGCATATGTTGCATGTCTGTATTTTATGTCATAAATGTAACCTTGTGTATTTTATTGTATTTTACTGTCTTTTTGCTGCCATGTGTTCAATGGAGTTTTGCCTCTGTCTTTGGACATAATTGAATCCGATTATCTCCAAAGACAGACTTCACAATTATCTCCTTTATAGAAGACTCTGTGGAACTGGTTTTGGGCAGAAAAGCCATGCTTCCTGTGGTCACAAAGGACTACGATCTATCTTTTGAACCACTGGACTAATTTGTATGATTTTGACGTATGTTTGTATTTGGAGTATGCTGATTCTGAAAATGTATTTATGTGAATGTAATGCATACTTTTCAAGTTATGAATAATGTGGAAAAATTGTATTTCTCTGCTTGTGCTAAATTACATTACCCATTGTGTAAGGTAATTGAATCACAGGCAAAGGGGAGGAATTTGTGTGGGAGTGTCTGAGTGTATTGTATGTGTTTATTGGTTGTTTTGTAAAACCCTGTGGGTGGTCCTATCTAAGGGAAACCTGCATAAAAGCAGGTTTTTTTGGTGCCAGTAAACAGATTCTGCTTAACCCTCAAACGAAGTGTCGTCTCGTTATTGGGGGAATTGGATTGTATGCTGACTGCCAGGAGTGTAACCCTTTCGTATGATTTTTCCTGTTCAGCTGTTTCCAGTATTCGTGAGTTTCCTGTTCGGGAGTTGGAGAATTCGTGTAGTTTGCAGTTCGGGAGATTGGTGATTGCAGTAGCTGCCTGTGCATCTGAAAGGGGAATATCGCCTAAACGGTTTTTAACCTCTTGTGGGCAAAACGGTCCGTTACATTATATATATTTTATATATATTTTATATATTGTATTATTTATTTATTTTTTACTTTCCCTTTTATCTAAATATTACGGTGTGTACTCCCTTCAATATATACGGCATTAAAGGCGCGCCCTTTCTTTTTGTTTTTATGTTCTAATTTATTGTAGGGGATAGGAGGGTATTTCCCCTTTTTAGGTGTGCTGCCTTTACACTATCATATATACTTTTATTATTGGTATTATTAGCGCTGATCCTATCTTGATTTTTTGAGCTCACCATTAAACTGAAGGTAATGGGGAGTAGGGGGCCTACACTGTGCTTTTAGGACCATAGTATCAGGAATACACGTTTTCATTCCTCACAATATAGTGTTCAAGTCTCCCACAATTCCTCCCCTCTCCAGCCAGGTAAGACTGACGAGGTTATGCATTGACGTACATAGCCATTCGGATAGCAAAATCTGGACATCGACCAAGGAATTTACCAATGTCTGGATTTTGTGAATCATACCCCAAGAGCCCCTGAACTTGTTCTGGATTACATCGTGCCAATCGCTGCCAGACAGCTACAGACAGAATTCTGTGAATCGGGTGCAGGATGCTTCAAATCCTGACCCAGATATAAAAAATCAGTGCTATCAAAGAGCAGGCAAATAATTAAAATCCCTCAGAAGCCACATTAAGTTTAAAAAATAATAATAAATTAATATATTTGGATCAACAGCAAAAACAGGTGTGAGGAAGGCTGAACTTGATGGATGCAAGTCTCTTTTCAGCTATGTAACTATGTAACTGTGTAACTATGTAACTGTGTAACTATGTAACTGTGTAACTATGTAACTGTGTAACTATGTAACTATGTAACTATGCAACTGTGTAACTGTGTAACTGTGTAACTATGTCATCTAAAAATCCTATGAGGCTCACTAAAACCCCTATATTACTATTATGGAGGGATTTTATCCTATTATGCCCACACTGCCATCAGGGGAATATTTACTAAATGTTTAAAGCTATCGACTGGGCAGCCCTTGTTTCAAGAGAAACCGGTCAATTACAGTGAACACAACATGTGTAGTTAAATAATATACACCAGGTATATGGTTAGTGTTATGGCAGCACCTTTCCCACTGCAATAGAGACCTTCATATAACTGGGAAGAGTCCAGTGAAGGTGTTTTGTGAGTTTATTTTGCTATACGTTACGTTAGAATAAAAGAAGGGGACTATAATTACATTTGAACATGTACCGTCACGCTAATACCATGAAAAACAGGCTAAGAACCTCATCCCAGAGGGCCTCATCTTTCTGTTTATTAAACTCTGGATCTAGTAAATGAACTATTCTAGCAAATAAGAAAAGATTGGTGAGACAAAGAAGTTTAGATTAAAATCACTTTATTGAATATTAGAACTGCCATCAGCTTAACAATCAGAGTCTGAACATGTTTTTTATGTCCATTTATTAATAAGAAAATGAATCTTCTTTCTTGCCTTACTCTGCTCATTTTACTATCTTTCTGTTTACTTACCGTTTTTTACCTTAGGGATCTCTCCCATAAATCCCACGGCGGTCTGACCGCACTGCGCAAAACCTTCCAAGACAAGGGATTCAATAAGATCTACGCCATTGAAAATTACACTGAAAAAGAAAATCAGAAAATTGTAGAAAAACATTAAAGGGGCGAAAGGGTGAAATTAGTTTAGAAATACAGAAAGGATGCTGATGGTGAGAAGTGAATGGCAGAATATGAAGAGAAGATGGAGAGCTCACAATATCTGAATAAATATAAACCTATTATTACTAGATATGGATTAGAGCTGTGAGATATTTGCAGAACAACTAACAGCTGCGACCGCTGCAACCGCGGTAGTTCTGCCACTGACGGCATCATTTAGCAGGGGATGTCGCCCTAACTAACTGAGCTTCTTTGTGAATTCCCTCACCCCTTCCCAATCCTCAAATATTTCTCGAAATACCAAGATGAGTAAATGGGGAAAAAGTAGTCTACAGAGGTTAAATATCCCTCGATAGAGAGAAGGGTGACTGCAGGGATTAAATATCCCTCGATAGAGAGAAGGGTGACTGCAGGGATTAAATATCCCTCGATAGAGAGAAGGGTGACTGCAGGGATTAAATATCCCTTTTGATAGAGAGAAGGGTGACTGCAGTGATTAAATATCCCTTTTGATAGAGAGAAGGGTGACTGCAGGGGTTAAATATCCCTTGATAGCGAGCTGGGTAACTGCAGGGGTTAATTATCACTGTATAGGGAGAAGGGTAACTGCAGGGGTTAAATATCCCTCGATAAAGAGAAGGGTGACTGCAGGGGTTAAATATCGCTCGATAGAGAGAAGGGTGACTGCAGGGGTTAAATATTCCTCGATAGAGAGAAGGGTGACTGCAGGGGTTAAATATCCCTCAATAGAGAGAAGGGTGACTGCATGGATTAAATATCCCTTGATAGCAAGATGGGTGACTGCAGGGGTTAAAATATCCCTTGATAGCGAGATGGGTAACTGCAGGGGTTAAATATCCCTCAGTAGAGAGAAGGGTGACTGCAGGGGTTAAAAATCCCTTGATAGCGAGATGGGTAACTGCAGGGGTTATATATCACTTGATAGCGAGATGGGTAACTGCAGGGGTTAAATATCCCTCGATAGAGAGAAGGGTGACTGCAGGGATTAAATAACCGTCGATAGAGAGAAGGGTGACTGCAGGGATTAAATATCCCTCGATAGAGAGAAGGGTGACAGCAGGGATTAAATATCCCTTTGATAGAGAGAAGGGTGACTGCAGGGATTAAATATCCCTCGATAGACAGAAGGGTGACTGCAGGGGTTAAATATCCCTTGATAGCGAGCTGGGTAACTGCAGAGGTTAATTATCACTGTATAGGGAGAAGGGTAACTGCAGGGGTTAAATATCCCTCGATAGAGAGAAGGGTGACTGCAGGGGTTAAATATCCCTTCGATAAAGAGAAGGGTGACTGCAGGGGTTAAATATCGCTCGAAAGAGAGAAGGGTGACTGCAGGGGTTAAATATTCATCGATAGATTGAAGGGTGACTGCAGGGGTTAAATATCCCTCAATAGAGAGAAGGGTGACTGCATGGATTAAATATCCCTTGATAGCAAGATGGGTGACTGCAGGGGTTAAAATATCCCTTGATAGCGAGATGGGTAACTGCACGGGTTAAATATCCCTCAATAGAGAGAAGGGTGACTGCAGGGGTTAAATATCCCTCAATAGAGAGAAGGGTGACTGCAGGGATTAAATATCCCTCAATAGAGAGAAGGGTGACTGCAGGGGTTAAAAATCCCTTGATAGCGAGATGGGTAACTGCAGGGGTTAAAAATCCCTTGATAGCGAGAAGGGTAACTGCAGGGGTTAAGGATTGGTTAATGTGGAGAAGGGGTTCTCTAAGGGTTAAACATTGAACACTAAGATGTGAGGGAGTGAAAGGATGTGTACGTTTTTACTGCCATGTAGAATCGCCAGGAAATACAGTTTTCCTCTAATGGAGATTTATTTTCAATTCACTAAGAAAATACAGAATAAATACAAGCTCTGCCTTGAAGATCCAGTTTACATTCAGTTTGGAAGGATAACAGGAGACCCACGTTACAGTCAGTTCTCGGAAATGAAGCGATTTCACAGAATCTCAAATCATTTCAGTTTCACTTTCACTTCTAACAAAACAAATTGAAAAACTAATGGAAAACCATTGACTGCTGACTCCTTCGATCCCGTAACCATTCCATTCACAATAAGTAACCCAACACCATGTAACGTGGGTAAGGGCAACGCCACAGCTTTATTTAAACCAACACAGCCAAATACTGTCAGCTGCTGGCGTTACCCAGCAGACAGGCACACTTTAAACTTCTTCCAGAGCCTCAGTCTGTCCTTCATCATCAACCAAATTCAGGCTGCGACTCCCCAAACCCGTCCGGGCATTAATCATTTACCAAACTTTACCAAATATCCCTTGGTAGAGAGAAGGGTGACTGCAGGGGTTAAATATCAATGATAGTGAGATGGGTAACTGCAGGGGTTAATATCACTTGATAGGAAGATGGGTAACTGCAGGGGTTAACTGCAGGGGTTAAATATCACTGGATAGGGAGAAGGGTAACTGCAGGGGTTAAATATCACTTGATAGGGAGATGGGTAACTGCAGGGGTTAAATATTCCTCGATAGAGAGATGGGTGACTGCAGGGGTTAAATATCACTTGATAGAGAGATGGGTGACTGCAGGGGTTAAATATCACTTGATAGGGAGAAGGGTGACTGCAGGGGTTAAATATCACTAGATAGGGAAAAGGGTAACTGCAGGGGTTAAATATCACTTGATAGGGAGAAGGGTAACTGCAGGGCTTAAATATCCCTTGATAGAGAGGAGGGTAACTGAAGGGGATAAATATCCCTTGATAGGGAGATGGGTGACAGCAGGGGTTAAATATCCCTTGATAGAGAGGAGGGTGACTGCAGGGGACCAATATTCCTTGATAGGGAGATGAGTGACTGCAGGAGTTATCCCTTGATAGCGAGATGGGTGACTGCAGGGGTTAAATATCACTGGATAGCGAGATGGGTAACTGCAGGGGTTAAATATCCCTTGATAGCGAGATGGGTAACTGCAGGGATTAAATATCACTTGATAGGGAGATGGGTAACTGCAGGGGTTAAATATCCCTTGATAGCGAGATGGGTAACTGCAGGGGTTAAATATCCCTTGATAGCGAGATGGGTACCTGAAGGGGTTAAATATCACTTGATAGGGAGAAGGGTGACTGCAGGGGTTAAATATAACTGGATAGGGAGAATGGTGACTGCAGGGGTTAATTATTCCTTGATAGTGAGATGGGTACCTGCAGGGGTTAAATATCACTTGATAGGGAGAAGGGTGACTGCAGGGGTTAAATATAACTGGATAGGGAGAATGGTGACTGCAGGGGTTAATTATTCCTTGATAGTGAGAAGGGTAACTGCAGGGTTTAAATAACCCTTGATAGGGAGAAGGGTGACTGCAGGGGTTAAATATAACTGGATAAAGGAGAAGGGTTAAATAATCCTTGATAGTGAGAAGGGTAACTGCAGGGGTTAATTATCACTTGATAGGGAGAAGGGTGACTGCAGGGGTTAAATATCCCTTGATAGAGAGATGACAGGGGTTAAATATCCCTTCATAGTGAGAAGGGTAACTGCAGGGGTTAAGGATTGGTTAACGTGGAGAAGGGGTTCTCTAAGGGTTAAACATTGAACAATAAGATGTGAGGGAGTGAAAGGATGTGTAAGAAAATACAGAATAAATACAAGCTCTGCCTTGAAGGTCCGGTTTACATTCAGTTTGGAAGGATAACAGGAGACCCACGTTACAGTCAGTTCTCGGAAATGAAGCGGTTTCACAGAATCTCAAATCATTTCAGTTTCACTTTCACTTCTAACAAAACAAATTGAAAAACTAATGGAAAACCGTTGACTGCTGACTCCTTCGATCCCGTAACCATTCCATTCACAATAAGTAACCCAACACCATGTTAAGTGGGTAAGGGCAACAGCCACAGCTTTATTTAAACCAACACAGCCAAATACTGTCAGCTGCTGGCGTTACCCAGCAGACAGGCACACTTTAAACTTCTTCCAGAGCCTCAGTCTGTCTTTCATCATCAACCAAATTCAGGTTGCGACTCCCCAAGCCCATCCGGGCATTAATCATTTACCAAACTTGCTAGTGCAGGAATCCTGCCACCGCAGACCCCACCCCTACTAGAGGGAGGGGGACGTGCCCCCCAAAGCCAGCGCCTGTGTCATTATTGATTGGAACCCCATATTAAATGTATCCAAACCGACATGAGTAAGACATACCAAATCAGTACGCAGAGAATTATGGTTGTGTGAGGGGCAAATAAGGCCGTATAGGAATTAAAAGGAAATTGTGTCGGTTGAGGTGTGCCGGAACCAACGTCGTGGTAGGCCTGTAATAAAAGAGGGCCCACCCATGAGGTAGTGAAAGGATAGGTAGAGGGAGTGGAGGGTGGGGACATGCAAGTCGCTAAAAAATGTACGGGACGGAGGAAGGTGAGTAGGGGGGTTTAAATAGGGTAACATTCCCCTCCCACAACTGCAGACCAAGCCTTTACATTTGTGTGAGGGGCAAATAAGGCCGTATAGGAATTAAAAGGAAAATAAGTTGGTTGAGGTGTGCCGGAACCGACGTCGTGGTAGGCCTGTAATAAAAGAGGGCAAAAATTGGATACCTGTCAGAAACAAAAAACAATCAACAAAACCTAATTGCCTAGCTTTATGGTAAATGCCGAGCGAGGAAATAGTTGCCCAGTGCTTTAACCGGCACTCTTCGTTATGCAAGGGGAAGTAAGGTATGGTAAACATGTTGGCCCCCTAGGGTAGACTAAGTGTGGGGGTGCAGAAGGTAAACAATAGACTGCATGAATAGGTGAGACTTCCTGAGATAATGCTGCAAGAAGGACGTGGTGGCTGTGGGAAAGTGTGGCAAAACCGGCCTCGCCATGTGTCCTTGGAGGGGGCTACTTGCCCGCCTCTTGCCTTTGGACTATGGACCAGACTTTATGTGAATGTGTTAACCCAGATAGCTATGCCATGGAGCCCATTCGTGTAGTTAAAGACTTCGGCTCCATGGCAATTGAATTGTGTGAATAGGATCTGAGCACTATTCGGTAGTTTTGTGCGCTCAGATCCCAGCTATCTGGGGATATGTGAAATGTCTGTGTCTTATGTGTAAAAGGTGACTTTATGTATTTTAAAGTGTTTTATGTCTTTTTGCAACCATGTGCTTAATGGAGTCTTGTGTCTGTCCTGGGAGATAATTGAATTATCTCCAGGATAGAAGACTCTGAAACTGGTTTGGGCCGGAAAGCCATGCTTCATTTAGTCACAAAGGACTTTCCCTTAACTTTTGAACCCCTGGTCTGATTTGTGCCATTTTCTAATATGTTGTTCCCCTGAATGGATTGATTATGAAAATGTATGTTTTATGTTTGTGACATGTATATTTTAGAAGTTATAAATATGGTGTAAAAACTGTATTCCTCTGCCGGTGATAATGAGATTACCCATTGTGTTCAGTAATCATATCACTTTTGAGTGGGAGTGTCTGGGTGTATTGTACGGATTGATTGGTTGTTTTGTAACGCCCTGTGGGCTGTACTATGTTTGTGGATTTGGAATAAAAGAGACTGTATGTGACAGTACAGGGAGTTCCTGTTTTAACCCTCAAAGTGAAGTGTTATCTCATTATTGGGGGAAGGATTAATTGTATGCTGTTCCAGTTTGACTGCTAGGAGAGTAAACCTATTCGTATGGTTCCTATTCAACTGTCTACAGCATTCATATTCTTGGGAGAATTTATTTGTTTCTCCGGTTCGGTGGTTGTGCTGCAGTGCTTGGAGTCCTCAGGAAGCGCTAGGAGCATCCTTTAACGGAGGTACCCAGTCGGGGTGCCAGGTGATCCGTTACAGAAAGTATGTGAGACCCAAGAAACTGTGGAAGCAGGAACAGCGGCTCAACAACTAGATTACATAGTTTAAGTGACTAGTTCCCACCAAGTACAAAACGGTTGATCCAAAAGAAGGCGAAAAACCCAGTTTGAAGCGGTGCCAATTTGCAACAAGCTGGGGAAAAATCCCTTCTTGACCCCATAATGGCAGTCAGCTTTCCTTGGATCAAGCAGTTATTGTCCTACATTGAAAGTTGATCCCCGTTTGTAGTGGCAGGCCTTTAATAGGACTGATAGTGGTTGAGATACTTGGATGTTAATGTGAAATCTGTAAATTTGAAATTTCCTGGAACCTGAAACTCCTTGAGTATGGTATGAGGACATGAAAACTGTGTATGGATGGTAAACCTGTACAACATGTGGAGTTGTAGACCGGATAGGTAGAGTTGATGCAAGGTAGAGGTGGCAAAAGAAGCAAAACCACAATGCAGACAACACAGCAACAGATACAGTATCAGTATACGCGAAGAAGGAGCCTTAAAGGGGAAGAAGGCCCTAACACATGTACCGCGAGCGTGAAAAAAGAGCCAGATGTGAAAAGATGACGACCATGAGCTTGCAAGGCTGGCAGCCTGTGGTCGGGCCCTAAAACGCAGGGAACGACAGCAGCTACAGGAGATTAGGAGTAACCGAAACTCCACAGCGCGATGAGTATCAGACCTAGCCAGAGAGCTCAGGCGGAGAAAACCATGCTAATCGCTAAGCAGCGGAGACCTGCCAGAAAAAGAGACAAATAAAACAGCGCAATAAGCGACCCAATGTGTGCGTGAGTGTGAAAGTGTGTGAGTGTGCGTGCTGGCATACTAGCTAATGCCAAAAGGTGAAGCAATTAAAAACTAGGTTTGGTGACAGGTGAGGCCCTGCTAGACGCCAAGCGGCGAGAGAGGCTCTATCTATGAGTTGGCGCGAGGGGAAAACGTGGCCACTGAAACGTTGTGGCGGGGTGTTGGCCTCTCAGTGACAGCTAAACATAAGATAGAATGGGAGTGACAGGTGAGGCCCTCCCTATGCCACAACGCGAGGCGACTAACTGATTTGGCCTGAGGGCCGTAGTATAGATAGATACTGTATAGATAGATAGATACTGTATAGATAGATAGATAGATAGATAGATACTGGATTGATAGATAGATAGATAGATAGATAGATAGATAGATAGATACTGTATAGATAGATAGATAGATACTGGATGGATAGATAGATAGACATGCAGACAGAGATGGAGATATCTGTTATTATTTCTTCGTATACATTTTTCTATCAAGGCGCTATGTGCAATATTTATAACACACAATACAACCAATCATTCTGTAGGAAATTGTAGGGGTTAGTTTAGACATCTTTCTGCAAAGTGTAGTAGATGCTTTATTATGCTGATAATAAGGAGTTTAAAATTAATGAATTTTCAAAGCTAGAAGTGATTATGGTTATTTCACTGGCTGGGGATATTTTAACTGGTTTATTTTGAAGGACGAGACCTGGGTGGTTCTGAAAGCTCACAATCTAATTCTTTATTGGTCAATAGATGTTTTACATTGAGTCGAGAATTTTCTGCCACAATTATTACTGGATGGAGCACGTGGAATCGTTGCTTGCGTTACTCATTCGTTGCCTTTCCGCCATTCTTTCTCTTTCTTCTTCAAATTCCTGGTTTCTCTTCTCATCATCTGCCCCCTTAATGTATTTAAGAATAAACTTCATCCTGTCTTTCCTTTCACTTTTTGGATTCCTCTGCTTTTCCATGCAGAAATTTACTTCTTCCAGAACCTGGCAGAGAAAAGACAGAATCTCCTTGTGTTTTCCCAGCAATTCTCTGTGATTTTCTGAGGTGTAATTTTCAATAGCGTAGATCTTATCGGATCCCAGGTCTTCAAACGTTTTACGCACCTCATTTAGATTGCCGGAGGTTTTATGAGTTAGAATAACTAGGGGGTTGATACCTGGAGAAACAAAATACGTGGCAGTTTTAGTGTCATAGAAATAAGAGGAAATATGTTACAAAATGTACTGCACAGACAAGGGGTAGTTTATAAATAGAAACATAGAATGTGACGGCAGATAAGAACCATTCGTCCCATCTAGTCTGCCCAATTTTCTAAATACTTTCATTAGTCCCTGGCCTTATGTTATATTGGTAAAGTTTCATTTAACCCCTTAAGGACCGAGGAAAGTCATAAGCATTTTTCCATTGCCGACCGGTGACGGTTCTGAACCGTCCTAACAGTCTTAGCTACTTACCCAATCGCCGTCGTTCCCCCGGCAGCAATTGGCGGTGCTCCCAGTGTGGGGAGACTGCCTGCAGCCCAGACAGTCTCCCAACACCGGATTAGGACCCCGGGGCCATGTGATCGCTCAACACAGCGATCACATAGTCACAATAGGTGTCCATGTGTCTGCCTGCAGGAGGACTGTGCTGACAGGCAGTCTCCCTGCTAGTGTAAAATCATAAAAAAAAAAAAATAAAGTTAATGTTAATTTAAAATTTATATATATATATATATATATATATAATGTCATACTAAGTGTATTGTATATTAATATGTACATATATTAATATAAAAATACACTTATAATTAAATTACACACGTATATATATAATATATATAATAACTGTTTCCTGTACCCGGTCGGACTGACAGGAAGGTGCACACTGAGCGTGCACCTTCCTATCACTCCGGCCGGGCACCGCGGACAGCAGAGCAGCTCGGCCATGCTACAGGGGAGGGGAGGTGAGAACCAACTGCAGCCGCCTGACCGCTCTTGACAGAGCGCTCAGGCGGCTGCAGCATTTAAAGGGCCGGCGTATAACACGCACCCATAATTTGCCCCCTGTTTTCAGGGAGAAAAAGTGCGTGTTATACGCCGATAAATACGGTAATTTAATTTTAATGACAAATGCAAAAATAATAATAAAAATTTTTACAAAATTATATGTCTATATGAAATTTTATTTTAACTGTATTTTGCTATTTATATATATATATATATATATATATATATATATACATATCAAAATACACTTAGAATGAAATTGTGTATATATCTATGTATATTGTATATATATATATCAAAATACACTTAGAATGAAATTGTGTATATATCTATGTATATTGTATATATATATATATATATATATATATATATATATATTATAATAAAATACAAATAATAAGTAATTTAAATTAAATTAAAAAATGTAAAAATAATATCTGTACATGGGGGGTACTGTTTTACTCGGAAGACTTTGCTGAACACAAATATTAGTGTTTCAAAACAGTAAAACATATGACAGCGATGATATTGTCAGTGAAAGTGACTTTTTTGCATTTTTCACACACAAACAGCACTTTTACTGATGATATAATTGTTGTGATACGTTTTCCAGTTTTGAAACACTAATATTTGTGTTCAGCAAAGTCTCCTGAGTATAACAGTACCCCCCATCTACAGGTTTTATAGTGTTTTTGAAAGTTACAGGGTCAAATATATGGGTCAAATATTTTTACATTGAAAATGGCCAGGTTGGTTATGTTGCCATGTTGAATGAGAATTACCCCCATGATGGCATACCATTTGCAAAAGAAGACAACCCAATGTATTGCAAATGGGGTATGTCCAGTCTCTTTTAATAACCACTTAGTCACAAACACTGGCCAAAATTAGCATTCAATTTAGTTTTTTACTTTTTTCACACACAAACAAATATGAATGCTAACTTTGGCCAGTGTTTGCGACTAAGTTGCTACTAAAAACATCTGCACATACCCCGTATTGAATACCCTGGGTTGTCTACTTTAAAAAAAAAAATATGTAAATGTGGGGTGTTATTAAGAGATTTATGACAGATAATAGTGTTACAATGTCACTATTGATAAATTTTAAAAATGTATGTTTTGAAACAGCAATATCCTACTTGTACTTATAGCCCTATAACATGCAAAAAAATAGCAAAAAAGCATGTAAACACTGAGTATTTTTAAACTCAGGACAAAATTTTGAATCAGTTTTTTTCATTCGCTTTGAGTAAAAGTGAGAAAGATTTTTCAAGTAAAAGTAAAAAAAAACATGTATTTTATTAAATTTTTCATCATATTTTTTCATTTTTTAAAAATTAAATTACATGAGATTATATAAATAATGGTATGTAAAGAAAGCCCCTTTTGTCCTGAAAAAAACAATTATAAATTGTGTGGGAACAGTAAATGAGAGAGCGGAAAATTACAGCTAAACACAAACACCACAAAAGTGTAAAAAGATGCCTGGTCGCAAATGTACAACATCGCAAACACAGTCCAGTCCTTAAGGGGTTAAAGGAAATAGTTTTAGGATGATTTTTCTTCAACTTTGTATTTAGGAACCAGGGCAGATGATGTGTTAATGGCTGAACATGATAGATCTCAGGTTTTTCTTCGAACCTTGATTACTATGTAACTCTCTACCTTGTTGGTCATATTGCATCAATGTTAACAGTGACATAGTTACATAGGCTGAAAAGAGACATGTGTCCATCAAATTCAGCCTTTCTCACATATGTTTTTGTTGTTGATCCAAATACAGGTAGAAAACCCAGTTTGAGGTGCTTCCAATTGTGCAACAAACTAGGAAAAAATTCCTTCCTGACCCCAGAATTGCAGTCAGATATCTCCTTGGATCACAGCAGTTGGAGCTTTGTTAGCATTGATGTTTGTGAATATTTTTTCAGGGTTTGAGACACTAAGGTTTAGGACTGAACATATTTCTAGCTGAACAGTTTATTATCATTATTGTCACTTTATGACGTGTTTACATGAAATATACTGCAGATCGGTCTCTGATAAATTGGAGTTAAAGAGACACTGTAGTCACCAAAACAACTTTAGCTTAATTAAGTGGTTTTGGTGTATAGATCATGCTTTTGCAGTTTCACTGTTCAATTCTCTGCCATTTAGGAGTTAAATCTCTTTGTTTTTGCAGTCTTTATCACACCTCCCTGCAGGTGACTTACACAGCATTCCTAAGCACTTCCTGTAAAGTGAGATCTAATGTTTACACTTTCCTTTATTGTAAATATTGTTTAATTTTGAATGTCTTATCCCTGCTATGTTAATAGCTTGTTAGACCCTGCAGGATCCTCTTGTATGTAATTAAAGTTCAATTTACAGAGCAGGTGACAAAAACTTTTTAAATAAGTTTACATCTGATTGAAATAATAAAAAAAAATTCTTGCAGACTGTGTCAGTCACAGAAACAAAAATGATTTAACTCCTAAATGGTAGAGAATTGAGCAGTGAGACTTCAGAGGCATTATCGATACACCAAAACCACTTAATTAAGCTAAAGTTGTTTTGGTGATTATAGTGTCCCTTTAAGTTGATCTTCCCCACTGTAATAATTCAGGCTGAGCATATTTACCTGTCAGGTCTGTTGCAGTTTTTAGAATATTTTTGTATGTATCAGCTTCATGACTTGATATTTTATTTTTTATGCTAAAAAAAAGTTAAACACAAATATATTAATGAAACAGAAAGACAGAGAAATGGAGTGAAATAATTGCTAATATCAGTATAATACAAAATGGGAGGTTCTGGCCGTAACATAAAACAAGAGATCGATTCTTCAGTACCCCAACGTATCGTATTTCTTTTACCACTTTCTTTCCCTTTTCATTTTAATATCCAGTTAGTTCCAGTTATTTTTCTTGTTTGTGGTTTGAAGATGGGTTTTGCTATATCTTATAAATTGTGAGCTGTTTACTACCTTTGTTTTATCGTTACACGTACTGAAATATTATACATCACATAAATGGGGTACACGGCAGCCTAACCCCCATCTACCTTCTAGACCAAGCTGGCAGTAGCTGTCTGGTTTTCCATCTAAGGCAAATAAAAGGCTTTTTTTACAGTAAGAGCAATAAGGATATGGAATTCTCTGCCTGTAGAGGTGGTTTTGTCAGAGTCCATACAGATGTTTAAACTGCAATTGGATAAATACTTGCAAAAACATAACATACGGGGATATAATTTCTAATTAGTGGGGTAATAGCTGCTTGATCCAAGGAGACATCTGACTGCTATTTTGGGGTCAAGAAGGAATTTTTTCCTAGTTTGTGGCAAAATTTGAAGCACTTCAGTCTAGGTAATTTTGCCTTCTTTTGGATCAACAGCAAAAACAAATGTGAGGAAGGCTGAACTTGATGGACGCAAGTCTCTTTTCAGCTATGTAACTATGTAACTGTGTAACTGTGTAACTATGTAACTATGTAACTGTGTAACTGTGTAGCTATGTAACTGTGAAACTGTATAACTGTGTAACCATGTAACCGTGTAACTATGTTACTATGTAACTGTGAAACTGTGTAACTATGTATCTGTGTAACTGTGTAATTATGTAACTATGTAGCTGTATAACTGTGTAACTATGTAACTGTGTAACTGTGTAACCGTGTAACTGTGTAACTATGTAACTGTGTAACTGTGTAACTGTGTAACTATGTAACTATGTAACTGTGTAACTGTGTATCTGTGTATCTATGTAACTATGTAACTGTGTAACTATGTAACTGTGTAACTGTGTAACTATGTAACCGTGTAACCGTGTAACTGTGTAACTATGTAACTGTGTAACTGTGTAACTATGTAACTGTGTAACTATGTAACTGTGTAACTGTGTAACTATGTAACTATGTAACTGTGTAACTGTGTAACTATGTAACTGTGTAACTGTGTAACTATGTAACTATGTAACTGTGTAACTGTGTATCTGTGTATCTGTGTAACTATGTAACTGTGTAACTGTGTAACCGTGTAACGATGTAACTGTGTAACTGTGTAACTATGTAACTATGTAACTGTGTAACTATATAACTATGTAACTATGTAACTGTGTAACTGTGTAACTATGTAACTGTGTAACTGTGTAACTATGTAACCGTGTAACCGTGTAACTGTGTAACTATGTAACTGTGTAACTGTGTAACTATGTAACTGTGTAACTATGTAACTATGTAGCTGTGTAACTGTGTAACTATGAAACTATGTAACTGTGTAACTGTGTAACTTTGTAACTGTGTAACTGTGTAACTATGTAACTGTGTAACTGTGTAACTATGTAACTGTGTAACTGTGTAAATATGTAACTATGTAACTGTGTAACTGTGTAACTGTGTAACTATGTAACTATGTAACTGTGTAACTGTGTAACTATATAACTATGTAACTGTGTAACTATGTAACTATGTAACTGTGTAACTATATAACTATGTAACTGTGTAACTGTGTAACTGTGTAACTATGTAACCGTGTAACCGTGTAACTATGTAACTGTGTAACTGTGCTTGAATTGGCTGTCACCAGATTAGCACCAGCAATGATAGATATTGGAGCAGATTTGTACCAACTCAAATTAATGTAAACTATTAATAAAATATATCAGAGATAACTCTTTGTTATACTCTATGTGCAGTCTAGATCCTCATTGCTGATTTTAGACTACATTTCCCATAACTCTCTGCCTTCTATTTGAATCCCAAAACAGACATAGAATGAAAATCGATCATAATAAGCTATAATTACTGACCTGTGCACAAAGATCGGGACAATAAAATCCTTGTCATCGGCCGTTTTATCTGCTTCCATCAATCGATCTACATTCACTAAATAATCTTCACACCATGTCACAGTCTTATTAAGAGGCAATAAATTGGCTGAAATTACACAATGACAAAATGTAAATCTCACTTTCATTTATATGAATTTGATCAGCAAGATACAAAAGGTCCATCGAGCCTCTTACTGAATAATACAGAGCTGTCTGACTTACCTGGTGTGAATGGACAGACTTTATCTGACAAACATGGTAGTGATGGAGCAAACTAGACCTACATTTTAAAATACCATGAACTATTTTATAAGGGGCTTTACCCTGGGATACCCAGACCCTTCACTTTGAGATCACGTGTCATGAGGTGGGAAGGAATTGTTCATCTCACCATCCTAGCCTAGTTTTATTTAATCAAACTCCACCTAATCTAATTGATTGCCTATTACCCAACCTTCATTGTCAACCTTTATAGTGCTCTGTGCTTTCAGTTAGTGGAATGATGCCTGTAGAACCATGAGGTGTCAATTACAGTACTGTTCATGTACATTTTATAAAGCCCCCTTCTCGGCCACATTGATAATGATGAATTAACACTTACTCAGTTGACTCGCTTTTCCAGCGTTGTTTCAAAATGGCTTTATTATAGGTATCTGTCAGTGTATCTACAATTATTGCTTTTATTAGACATTGTTAACTTACCAAGTTGGGCAAAAATCTCTCCTGTCTCGTATTTGTTGAGTGTTGGACAGCCACGATTATCAACCATCATTATAACATTGGTGAGCTCAAAGGCCACTCTCCTTGTAGTACATCCACCATCCGATGCCCTTGCTTCTGCAAATTCTCTGTAAACTCCATCCAGGACAAACTTACAGGAGTTGATGAAGGATGACTTGCCGTTACCTGGTAAACCGAACAGCTGCAAGAGAACTCGTTTGAAGCCCTGATTCCCATGTTTACATTTATCCAGGCTGTAATTAATGATTGTCTGTCTGTATTCATCAATACTCATCTTGGATGCAGCAGTATTCAGGTATTGATCAGCTGGAAAGATCTGATTATGGAGACTGTTTCTATTATTCTCTACCTAAGAAAACAACACAAAACAAAGAGACAGAATGTGGTAAAGTCTGATCAGAGCTGTGTCTTTCAAGATATCCATTAAAGCACATTGAAAAGGAAAGCTCTGTCAGAGAGGGAGAGTACATCTTCCAGGACATTAATATTAAAATATGCGATTTACCAATGGGTAGAGATAGAATCCCACTGGTAGTGCCCTAGGGAGCTTAGAGTCATGTTGTGGGTGCCAGGGAGATCCAGGCCGCCCATCACCTCCTTACTGCCCAACACTCAGACCCTCAGTGATCCTAATCCCGACATTCCACATGAGCCAAACACAGAATGCACCATGCGTACCAGGTCTTAGACAGGGGCCGCCTGTTGACATTTCCGGAGGCCCAGACACAATACAACCTCTTCTGCAAAGTGGAAAACAGGCTGTCACCCTTCCCCCTGTCAATGTGGGTTACACAGATGTCCGCATGAATGAGGAACTCTACTTTGGAGCTACTAATAAAATGAATGTGTAGTCAGAAATCTTGGCGCACTGGTTACTGAATAGTTTACCTTCCTAATTACTGTAGACGTTCATGAAAACAATTTAGTTAAGTTAAAACAAATCCATGTAAGGAAAATAGAGACAAGATCCCAAATAGGGAGAAGTAAAACTCGACCCTGGACTATGATAAGAGATAAAAGATGAAACCTGTGGACTAAGAACAAATATTACAAAGCGGAAACAGAGAAGCTAGAGATTAGGTTATGTGGAGGGAGTCTTGCTAGACCAATGTAAAATTAAGATATCATTTAACATCATAGCAGTATGAACATACTTGTTAATAATGTGATATTAAAGGGACACTCCAGGCACCCAGACCACTTCTGCCCAATGGAGTGGTCTGGGTGCCAACTCCCACTACCCTTAACCCTGCAAGTGTAATTATTGCAGTTTTCGTAAACGGCAATAATTACCTTGCAGGGTTAACGCCTCCTCTAATGGCTGTCTACTAGACAGCCACTAGAGGGCACTCTACTAGACAGCCACTAGAGGGCACTTCCTGCTTCACAGGTTTTCTGTGTGTGAGGACCTCCAGCGTCGCTAAAATCCCCATAGGAAAGCATATGGAGAGGTCTAATGCGCGTGCGCGGCATTGCCGCGCATGCGCATTAGGTCTCCCCCGCCGCTGTAAAAAATAAAGTATTACGTTAGTTCTATTTGGAACTTTATGTCCTTTGTGGATTTTTAGGGATCCCAGTGACAGAGTGTTGGCTGGCTGCACGATCCCTCTAGCCCAGCGTTTCCCAATTTTGGGGTTTCGCTGTGATTTGCTCTAGGGCCACCCGATGGTCTGCAACCAGGCCCTTGTAGTGTGGGATGCTGGGAGGAAGTGACATAAATTCCTCCCAGACAGAAAGCGCCTGATAGAACGCAGGCTGGAAGGAGAGAGTAAGGAACAGGTATGGACCACCTGGCACACCATCCTCAGCCAGCAGCCTTCAGCACTGAAGAAAGTTACACTGCTGAAGAATAAAGGTAAATGAACAGAAACATAGAAACATAGAAACATAGAAACATAGAATGTGACGGCAGATAAGAACCATTCGGCCCATCTAGTCTGCCCAATTTTCTAAATACTTTCATTAGTCCCTGGCCTTATCTTATAGTTAGGATAGCCTTATGCCTATCCCACGCATGCTTAAACTCCTTTACTGTGTTAACAGGAGGATGACTGCAAATATAAACACATGTGCCTGTGTGTGTGTGTACCTGTGCCAGTTTGTGTATCTGTGTGTCAAGGTGTGCGTATGCCAGTGTGTGTATCTATGTGTTTGTGTGTAAGTGTATCTGTCAATGTGTGCGTGTGCCTGTTTAAGTGTCCGTGTATCTGTCAGTGTGTGTGTATGCGTCAATGTGTGTATTATTGTGCCAGTGTATGTGTATCTGTGTGTGTAGTTGCCAGTATGTGTATCCCTGTACCAAGATTCAAGCTGCCAGCGTGTATCTGTGTGCTAAGATGCAAACTGCAGAGGTATAGGCAGAGGGGACGAAACCTGCCTAAAAAAACATATATGATAATGTATATGTAAATGATTATAGACTATGCGGGGAAAATGTCTGACATTGTTTTCTTATCTGTAACTTTATTATTTGGTAAATGATTTCTTAAAAGTCCAACCAAAATTTTAATTTTTGTTTCAAATAACCCCTTCAAACCGACACTTATGTATACACGACTGCCAGGCTACACAACCACATTCAGCAATCGTGTATAAATGCCTAGCACAATTGCAAATAGATTTACATTGTAAATGGTGCCATAACTACAGTCAGAGAGCTCACAGCACATCGACACACTTCTCTAACAACTGGTTAGCAATGGCTGCCCTGTCACTAGTTTAGAACATTTAGTCGATATGCCTTCACCTGACACAAGCAAAACGGTGGATATTTATTGTTTTTTATTATTTTGTACTTTTTAATGTGTATTCTGTGGTCATTGATACATTTTCGATTCCTATGTTTTATATTGGTTCGCATGCAGATATTAATGATTTTTACAAACACGAACGAATGAGGCAGAATCGGTCAGAACGAACCGAATGCAGACCCTATTTGACTTTAGTAAATCTGCAAATATACAATGCGTTCAGAAATTGTTCATTTTCACACGGTTCCACTTTTAAAGAAAAGAAGACTCTGATGAGGTGGCAGCCAAAAGAAGACATCTCTCCCGGCTAATCCACTTCACATCAAAGACTTGGACTTGGCCCCATTGAGGCATTTTCATTGTATGGGTGCCTTATAGAAAGCCTCAATCCAATGGAAAATGGGTGATAAGACTTGTAAATTGCATATTCTTAAGCAGTACCCGCCCAACCAGACTGAACAAAGTCATTTAACAAGAAGAACCGGCAAACTTTGTTGGATTCTCATTTGCAAAGCTGTCAGATACTCGGAATAACTAGCTGATGTCGCTGCAGCCAAACTGTGAATCTCCCAGGGATAATTACGCCTGCAATCTATAAATGTCTAGTTTGCTTTTTATTTTGAATTTTAATAAAATATTCTGTGTTTTTCGGAATGTTTGATATGTTTTGTTAATTGATTGATAATTATCACAAAAACAACAAAATAAAAACAGTCTATGTTGTATGAAGTGTGACAGGGGGAGTGACTACATACGTTATAAAGGAGTGTGACTAGAATTCTGGTTTTACACCACATCTTGTCACGGGTACCGCCCTGCATACTCTGTTTGAACCTTTAACAGCTGAGAGCCCCAGAGAACGGACGTCCTGTGTCAGTGGGTTAATCAGAGAGCAGGATCTAGCAGGTTATAGTGTAGAACCTTATAAGGTCTGCCTTACTGTGGTTAATGCAAAATATGATCTTATCTCGTAACTAAATCTCCATTATTTTACCTGTCAGTGTTTTCAATGTTATGTTCTATGAAGCTAATCTGGCATTGTATGGGTGTACACATGCATATTTCTATGTGTATATGTTATATATAAATACTCTGAATGTTCCCAGGAGGAAGGCTGCTAGAAGCAGTGTTCTGGAATGCTGAGCACATCCTGTGTTTTAACCAGGTCCTTTAACTGTGGTGCACAGAAAAAAATAGATATGTACAAATAAATCCCTCCACCAATAAATACTAATCTGGTGTGGGTATTTATGAAAACAGCCTCCCCCAAAAGTGTCCAGCAAACTGCCTTCTAAGACAATGTATATAAAAAAAATTGGGGAATCGGATCCACCTATATCAGAACAAAATAAACATTTGATTTGGTCCCTGAGGAAGTCCCTTGCAATGGAAGAAACGTGTACGAACTGTTTGTATATATATATTTCATTTTATTTCAGATAAAGTAGATTTTCTACTACCCCCCTGCTGGCGATCCTGTGATCCTTGCGATGTCCCACTCCTTCCATGGTGGATCTACAATGTATTCTCTGGGTAGAACTCAGTAAGAGCCTCACAGCAAATACCGTGATATATACAGATATCATATAAATCCAGCTATCTATGTAAACACTGCAACACACAGACACTGACTGGTACCTGGTTTAAGTAGAACAATATAATATAATTTGGTGAATACATAGATCTAATAGCTAAATAATGCATTAAACAGAGATACACACGTATACATATCCCTATTATACACTAACATTACTATAGTAGTGATAAAACCACTTATATACATCCCACATATACAGATATATACGTATATACACAGCCACACTTTACATACCTAGACGTGTCTTAGTCCTGCGACTGAGTAACTGTTAAATGCACTGAGCGAGCGTAATAAGAACCTGCAGCCACTCAAATGGAAAGTGAAAGAGATTTTGATTGTTTTTTAAACGTACTCCTAGTTAACATTTAACTAACGGATACCCTGAGCTGTTTCTTCAAAGATCCAGGAAAAAAAAAAGAGTGAAAATTAAAAAAAAAAATCTACATGCTGAGCTCACCATTAGAACATAAAAACAAAAAGAAAGGGCGCGCCTTTAATGCCGTATATATCGAAGGGAATACATACTGTAATATTTAGATAAAAGGGAAAGTAAAAAAAAAAAAAATAATACAATATATAAAAATATATAAAATATATATAATATATAGTGTTCTATAAAACATTGCGAGTCCAAGGTAATAGTCCACAGTGAACGACGAGGATTCTTGTGTATCAATAAAGGTTCAAAATTACATATTTTGGCGGGAATATTCCAATTCCAATTCAATCAATGTATCCTATATAAGAAATTGCATGTCAAGGTTTATGTCTTTTGATTATATTCTACTTGAAGAAGCCTGTTAAGACACCTCCAATGTCTTTAGGCAAAACCGCCGTTTAGTATTGAGGGTCAAATAGGATCTGGCTTTACTGTGGGCTACCTGCCCGTATTTATGCAGGTCTCCCACTTGGTGGACACTCCCCTAGGGGACCAAATGGGAGACTTAAATGACAGACAGATATGGGGACATTCCAGACACACAGTCACAGATTTTACCCACAGTGCATTATGATTCCCTCCCCTCTGCCCTGGAGATAATTACCAAGTAACTCAATTATCTCCAGGACAAAGCCAGTCGCCATCTTAAATATAAAATCATAAAAGACATAAAATACATAACTTCACAAAAAGCGAACATTTCCCATTCGCATTACATATCCCCAGATAGCCTGGATCTGAGTGCATATTATTAGCGAATAGCGCTCAGATCCCACAGACATAGTTCAATCGCCATGGAGTCAAAGTTCTTACAGTCTTTCGGTATACGAATGACTCCATGGGAAGGCTATCTGGGTTAAGTCTTTTCGTATGCTTCAAACCTCCTGAACGGCCGGTATTCGTATGCTTTCGTGGAGACAGCCAGGCGTTCCGTTGTTTCAGCGGTGTTCGGCAGAAAAAGTGTCCGTTTTTAGTAACATAGAAATAGAGCCAAACACCGCTGGGCTTTCGCGTGGTTTAAAATGGCCGCTGCCTCGTGGTCGAAATACGAACGACGACCACCCTGAATTCGGTTTAATTGAGAATTGTCTGCGGTTAACCACAACGTTCTAATTGGGATCAATAGGTTAACCAGCAGCACACTTCTCTCCTGGGTGGCCGTCCGTTCGGCAGGTTTGTTCGGGAAAAAAGTCATTCGAATGGCTGGGCTATAGAAAACAGCCATTCATACGAACGGAATACAAACAGACGAATACATCCCAAATACAAGCAGACAGATGGTTCTGTCACAAAGCCTATTGTGACGAAACGCATCTAGAATTTTATCTTATTTGTTTTATACTATTGTAATAAAGGAATTTTGGCCTCAAAAATAATATTTGTTGTAGCCACATTCCTATTTTATTCTTATTTTTATTTTAATCATCTATAACCTGACTGCTTGGATCTACACCATTTTAAGGAACGCCAAAGAATCCCTAGGTGGGGATTATATCACCCATACGCTACTATCTGAGCAGTGAATTCTGCTCAGCATATTGTGAGTACATTTCATACTTTCTTTTAACCATACTCCAGTTATTCAGTGAGCACTATATATTTCATTCCTTTTATTTCCGGTTGGAACTCCTGGTGAATTACTACTCCATATATCCTTGAGTGGGGATCAATCCACTTCACGCGCTTCATACCAGAGCTGGATTTTAGCTCTGGAAATTGTGAGTACATTATATAATTTTATATATATATTTATATATATACTGACATATTGGATCCTCTCTTTATTTCTCTCCACATATGGCTTATTGAGAATCCAAGTCTCCATTGGGAAGAACCTTTATTGATACACAAGAATCCTCTTCGTTCACTGTGGACTATTACCTTGGACTTATAATTTTATATAGAACACTATATATTATATGTGGCAGAACCAACCTCGCCACTATGCACTGGAGAAGCCTGGTTGCCCACATGCTACCTTTAGACTATGCCCCCATGTTGAAACGCTTGATTTTCCCCTGCGAAGACATGAAAGCCGGGTCATTCGGTGCTTGCCCTGTTTGAGCTGTGATACCTCAGATAGCTATGCCATGGAGCCCATTCGTATAATGAAAGACTATGGAAAAGACTTTGGCTCTGTGACGAGAGCAATCTCGCCACATTGCATTGGAGAAGCCTGGTTGCTCGCCTGTTGCCTTTGGATTATGGCCCCATGTTAAAAGGCTTGATTTTCCCCTGCAAAGACAAGAAAGCCGGGTCATTTGGTGCTTGCCCTGTTTGAGCAGTGATACCCCAGATAGCTATGCCATGGAGCCCATTCGTATAATGAAAGACTATGGGAAAGACTTTGGCTCCATGGCAGTTGAACTGTATGTGTGTGCTCTGAGCGCCATTCAGTAATAATGTGCGCTCAGACCTAAGCTATCTGGGCATATGTTGCATGTCTGTATTTTATGTCATAAATGTAACCTTGTGTATTTTATTGTATTTTACTGTCTTTTTGCTGCCATGTGTTCAATGGAGTTTTGCCTCTGTCTTTGGACATAATTGAATCCGATTATCTCCAAAGACAGACTTCACAATTATCTCCTTTATAGAAGACTCTGTGGAACTGGTTTTGGGCAGAAAAGCCATGCTTCCTGTGGTCACAAAGGACTACGATCTATCTTTTGAACCACTGGACTAATTTGTATGATTTTGACGTATGTTTGTATTTGGAGTATGCTGATTCTGAAAATGTATTTATGTGAATGTAATGCATACTTTTCAAGTTATGAATAATGTGGAAAAATTGTATTTCTCTGCTTGTGCTAAATTACATTACCCATTGTGTAAGGTAATTGAATCACAGGCAAAGGGGAGGAATTTGTGTGGGAGTGTCTGAGTGTATTGTATGTGTTTATTGGTTGTTTTGTAAAACCCTGTGGGTGGTCCTATCTAAGGGAAACCTGCATAAAAGCAGGTTTTTTTGGTGCCAGTAAACAGATTCTGCTTAACCCTCAAACGAAGTGTCGTCTCGTTATTGGGGGAATTGGATTGTATGCTGACTGCCAGGAGTGTAACCCTTTCGTATGATTTTTCCTGTTCAGCTGTTTCCAGTATTCGTGAGTTTCCTGTTCGGGAGTTGGAGAATTCGTGTAGTTTGCAGTTCGGGAGATTGGTGATTGCAGTAGCTGCCTGTGCATCTGAAAGGGGAATATCGCCTAAACGGTTTTTAACCTCTTGTGGGCAAAACGGTCCGTTACATTATATATATTTTATATATATTTTATATATTGTATTATTTATTTATTTTTTACTTTCCCTTTTATCTAAATATTACGGTGTGTACTCCCTTCAATATATACGGCATTAAAGGCGCGCCCTTTCTTTTTGTTTTTATGTTCTAATTTATTGTAGGGGATAGGAGGGTATTTCCCCTTTTTAGGTGTGCTGCCTTTACACTATCATATATACTTTTATTATTGGTATTATTAGCGCTGATCCTATCTTGATTTTTTGAGCTCACCATTAAACTGAAGGTAATGGGGAGTAGGGGGCCTACACTGTGCTTTTAGGACCATAGTATCAGGAATACACGTTTTCATTCCTCACAATATAGTGTTCAAGTCTCCCACAATTCCTCCCCTCTCCAGCCAGGTAAGACTGACGAGGTTATGCATTGACGTACATAGCCATTCGGATAGCAAAATCTGGACATCGACCAAGGAATTTACCAATGTCTGGATTTTGTGAATCATACCCCAAGAGCCCCTGAACTTGTTCTGGATTACATCGTGCCAATCGCTGCCAGAAAGCTACCGACAGAATTCTGCGAATCGGGTGCAGGATGCTTCAAATCCTGACCCAGATATAAAAAATCAGTGCTATCAAAGAGCAGGCAAATAATTAAAATCCCTCAGAAGCCACATTAAGTTTAAAAAATAATAATAAATTAATATATTTGGATCAACAGCAAAAACAGGTGTGAGGAAGGCTGAACTTGATGGATGCAAGTCTCTTTTCAGCTATGTAACTATGTAACTGTGTAACTATGTAACTGTGTAACTATGTAACTGTGTAACTGTGTAACTGTGTAACTGTGTAACTATGTAACTATGTAACTGTGTAACTGTGTAACTGTGTAACTATGTCATCTAAAAATCCTATGAGGCTCACTAAAACCCCTATATTACTATTATGGAGGGATTTTATCCTATTATGCCCACACTGCCATCAGGGGAATATTTACTAAATGTTTAAAGCTATCGACTGGGCAGCCCTTGTTTCAAGAGAAACCGGTCAATTACAGTGAACACAACATGTGTAGTTAAATAATATACACCAGGTATATGGTTAGTGTTATGGCAGCACCTTTCCCACTGCAATAGAGACCTTCATATAACTGGGAAGAGTCCAGTGAAGGTGTTTTGTGAGTTTATTTTGCTATACGTTACGTTAGAATAAAAGAAGGGGACTATAATTACATTTGAACATGTACCGTCACGCTAATACCATGAAAAACAGGCTAAGAACCTCATCCCAGAGGGCCTCATCTTTCTGTTTATTAAACTCTGGATCTAGTAAATGAACTATTCTAGCAAATAAGAAAAGATTGGTGAGACAAAGAAGTTTAGATTAAAATCACTTTATTGAATATTAGAACTGCCATCAGCTTAACAATCAGAGTCTGAACATGTTTTTTATGTCCATTTATTAATAAGAAAATGAATCTTCTTTCTTGCCTTACTCTGCTCATTTTACTATCTTTCTGTTTACTTACCGTTTTTTACCTTAGGGATCTCTCCCATAAATCCCACGGCGGTCTGACCGCACTGCGCACAACCTTCCAAGACAAGGGATTCAATAAGATCTACGCCATTGAAAATTACACTGAAAAAGAAAATCAGAAAATTGTAGAAAAACATTAAAGGGGCGAAAGGGTGAAATTAGTTTAGAAATACAGAAAGGATGCTGATGGTGAGAAGTGAATGGCAGAATATGAAGAGAAGATGGAGAGCTCACAATATCTGAATAAATATAAACCTATTATTACTAGATATGGATTAGAGCTGTGAGATATTTGCAGAACAACTAACAGCTGCGACCGCTGCAACCGCGGTAGTTCTGCCACTGACGGCATCATTTAGCAGGGGATGTCGCCCTAACTAACTGAGCTTCTTTGTGAATTCCCTCACCCCTTCCCAATCCTCAAATATTTCTCGAAATACCAAGATGAGTAAATGGGGAAAAAGTAGTCTACAGAGGTTAAATATCCCTCGATAGAGAGAAGGGTGACTGCAGGGATTAAATATCCCTCGATAGAGAGAAGGGTGACTGCAGGGATTAAATATCCCTCGATAGAGAGAAGGGTGACTGCAGGGATTAAATATCCCTCGATAGAGAGAAGGGTGACTGCAGGGATTAAATATCCCTTTTGATAGAGAGAAGGGTGACTGCAGTGATTAAATATCCCTTTTGATAGAGAGAAGGGTGACTGCAGGGGTTAAATATCCCTTGATAGCGAGCTGGGTAACTGCAGGGGTTAATTATCACTGTATAGGGAGAAGGGTAACTGCAGGGGTTAAATATCCCTCGATAAAGAGAAGGGTGACTGCAGGGGTTAAATATCGCTCGATAGAGAGAAGGGTGACTGCAGGGGTTAAATATTCCTCGATAGAGAGAAGGGTGACTGCAGGGGTTAAATATCCCTCAATAGAGAGAAGGGTGACTGCATGGATTAAATATCCCTTGATAGCAAGATGGGTGACTGCAGGGGTTAAAATATCCCTTGATAGCGAGATGGGTAACTGCAGGGGTTAAATATCCCTCAGTAGAGAGAAGGGTGACTGCAGGGGTTAAAAATCCCTTGATAGCGAGATGGGTAACTGCAGGGGTTATATATCACTTGATAGCGAGATGGGTAACTGCAGGGGTTAAATATCCCTCGATAGAGAGAAGGGTGACTGCAGGGATTAAATAACCGTCGATAGAGAGAAGGGTGACTGCAGGGATTAAATATCCCTCGATAGAGAGAAGGGTGACAGCAGGGATTAAATATCCCTTTGATAGAGAGAAGGGTGACTGCAGGGATTAAATATCCCTCGATAGACAGAAGGGTGACTGCAGGGGTTAAATATCCCTTGATAGCGAGCTGGGTAACTGCAGGGGTTAATTATCACTGTATAGGGAGAAGGGTAACTGCAGGGGTTAAATATCCCTCGATAGAGAGAAGGGTGACTGCAGGGGTTAAATATCCCTTCGATAAAGAGAAGGGTGACTGCAGGGGTTAAATATCGCTCGAAAGAGAGAAGGGTGACTGCAGGGGTTAAATATTCATCGATAGATTGAAGGGTGACTGCAGGGGTTAAATATCCCTCAATAGAGAGAAGGGTGACTGCATGGATTAAATATCCCTTGATAGCAAGATGGGTGACTGCAGGGGTTAAAATATCCCTTGATAGCGAGATGGGTAACTGCACGGGTTAAATATCCCTCAATAGAGAGAAGGGTGACTGCAGGGGTTAAATATCCCTTTGATAGAGAGAAGGGTGACTGCAGGGATTAAATATCCCTCAATAGAGAGAAGGGTGACTGCAGGGGTTAAAAATCCCTTGATAGCGAGATGGGTAACTGCAGGGGTTAAAAATCCCTTGATAGCGAGATGGGTAACTGCAGGGGTTAAATATCCCTCGATAGAGAGAAGGGTAACTGCAGGGGTTAAGGATTGGTTAATGTGGAGAAGGGGTTCTCTAAGGGTTAAACATTGAACACTAAGATGTGAGGGAGTGAAAGGATGTGTACGTTTTTACTGCCATGTAGAATCGCCAGGAAATACAGTTTTCCTCTAATGGAGATTTATTTTCAATTCACTAAGAAAATACAGAATAAATACAAGCTCTGCCTTGAAGGTCCGGTTTACATTCAGTTTGGAAGGATAACAGGAGACCCACGTTACAGTCAGTTCTCGGAAATGAAGCGATTTCACAGAATCTCAAATCATTTCAGTTTCACTTTCACTTCTAACAAAACAAATTGAAAAACTAATGGAAAACCATTGACTGCTGACTCCTTCGATCCCGTAACCATTCCATTCACAATAAGTAACCCAACACCATGTAACGTGGGTAAGGGCAACAGCCACAGCTTTATTTAAACCAACACAGCCAAATACTGTCAGCTGCTGGCGTTACCCAGCAGACAGGCACACTTTAAACTTCTTCCAGAGCCTCAGTCTGTCCTTCATCATCAACCAAATTCAGGCTGCGACTCCCCAAGCCCATCCGGGCATTAATCATTTACCAAACTTTACCAAATATCCCTTGGTAGAGAGAAGGGTGACTGCAGGGGTTAAATATCAATGATAGTGAGATGGGTAACTGCAGGGGTTAATATCACTTGATAGGAAGATTGGTAACTGCAGGGGTTAAATATCACTGGATAGGGAGAAGGGTAACTGCAGGGGTTAAATATCACTTGATAGGGAGATGGGTAACTGCAGGGGTTAAATATTCCTCGATAGAGAGATGGGTGACTGCAGGGGTTAAATATCACTTGATAGGGAGAAGGGTGACTGCAGGGGTTAAATATCACTAGATAGGGAAAAGGGTAACTGCAGGGGTTAAATATCACTTGATAGGGAGAAGGGTAACTGCAGGGCTTAAATATCCCTTGATAGAGAGGAGGGTAACTGAAGGGGATAAATATCCCTTGATAGGGAGATGGGTGACAGCAGGGGTTAAATATCCCTTGATAGAGAGGAGGGTGACTGCAGGGGACCAATATTCCTTGATAGGGAGATGAGTGACTGCAGGAGTTATCCCTTGATAGCGAGATGGGTGACTGCAGGGGTTAAATATCACTGGATAGCGAGATGGGTAACTGCAGGGGTTAAATATCCCTTGATAGCGAGATGGGTAACTGCAGGGGTTAAATATCCCTTGATAGCGAGATGGGTACCTGAAGGGGTTAAATATCACTTGATAGGGAGAAGGGTGACTGCAGGGGTTAAATATAACTGGATAGGGAGAATGGTGACTGCAGGGGTTAATTATTCCTTGATAGTGAGATGGGTACCTGCAGGGGTTAAATATCACTTGATAGGGAGAAGGGTGACTGCAGGGGTTAAATATAACTGGATAGGGAGAATGGTGACTGCAGGGGTTAATTATTCCTTGATAGTGAGAAGGGTAACTGCAGGGTTTAAATAACCCTTGATAGGGAGAAGGGTTAAATATAACTGGATAAAGGAGAAGGGTTAAATATAACTGGATAAAGGAGAAGGGTTAAATAATCCTTGATAGTGAGAAGGGTAACTGCAGGGGTTAATTATCACTTGATAGGGAGAAGGGTGACTGCAGGGGTTAAATATCCCTTGATAGAGAGATGACAGGGGTTAAATATCCCTTCATAGTGAGAAGGGTAACTGCAGGGGTTAAGGATTGGTTAACGTGGAGAAGGGGTTCTCTAAGGGTTAAACATTGAACAATAAGATGTGAGGGAGTGAAAGGATGTGTAAGAAAATACAGAATAAATACAAGCTCTGCCTTGAAGATCCAGTTTACATTCAGTTTGGAAGGATAACAGGAGACCCACGTTACAGTCAGTTCTCGGAAATGAAGCGGTTTCACAGAATCCCAAATCATTTCAGTTTCACTTTCACTTCTAACAAAACAAATTGAAAAACTAATGGAAAACCATTGACTGCTGACTCCTTCGATCCCGTAACCATTCCATTCACAATAAGTAACCCTACACCATGTAACGTGGGTAAGGGCAACAGCCACAGCTTTATTTAAACCAACACAGCCAAATACTGTCAGCTGCTGGCGTTACCCAGCAGACAGGCACACTTTAAACTTCTTCCAGAGCCTCAGTCTGTCTTTCATCATCAACCAAATTCAGGTTGCGACTCCCCAAGCCCATCCGGGCATTAATCATTTACCAAACTTGCTAGTGCAGGAATCCTGCCACCGCAGACCCCACCCCTACTAGAGGGAGGGGGACGTGCCCCCCAAAGCCAGCGCCTGTGTCATTATTGATTGGAACCCCATATTAAATGTATCCAAACCGACATGAGTAAGACATACCAAATCAGTACGCAGAGAATTATGGTTGTGTGAGGGGCAAATAAGGCCGTATAGGAATTAAAAGGAAATTGAGTCGGTTGAGGTGTGCCGGAACCAACGTCGTGGTAGGCCTGTAATAAAAGAGGGCCCACCCATGAGGTAGTGAAAGGATAGGTAGAGGGAGTGGAGGGTGGGGACATGCAAGTCGCTAAAAAATGTACGGGACGGAGGAAGGTGAGTAGGGGGGTTTAAATAGGGTAACATTCCCCTCCCACAACTGCAGACCAAGCCTTTACATTTGTGTGAGGGGCAAATAAGGCCGTATAGGAATTAAAAGGAAAATGAGTTGGTTGAGGTGTGCCGGAACCGACGTCGTGGTAGGCCTGTAATAAAAGAGGGCAAAAATTGGATACCTGTCAGAAACAAAAAACAATCAACAAAACCTAATTGCCTAGCTTTATGGTAAATGCCGAGCGAGGAAATAGTTGCCCAGTGCTTTAACCGGCACTCTTCGTTATGCAAGGGGAAGTAAGGTATGGTAAACATGTTGGCCCCCTAGGGTAGACTAAGTGTGGGGGTGCAGAAGGTAAACAATAGACTGCATGAATAGGTGAGACTTCCTGAGATAATGCTGCAAGAAGGACGTGGTGGCTGTGGGAAAGTGTGGCAAAACCGGCCTCGCCATGTGTCCTTGGAGGGGGCTACTTGCCCGCCTCTTGCCTTTGGACTATGGACCAGACTTTATGTGAATGTGTTAACCCAGATAGCTATGCCATGGAGCCCATTCGTGTAGTTAAAGACTTCGGCTCCATGGCAATTGAACTGTGTGAATAGGATCTGAGCGCTATTCGGTAGTTTTGTGCGCTCAGATCCCAGCTATCTGGGGATATGTGACATGTCTGTGTTTTATGTATAAAAGGTGACTTTATGTATTTTAAAGTGTTTTGTGTCTTTTGCAACCATGTGCTTAATGGAGTCTTGTGTCTGTCCTGGGAGATAATTGAATTACTTATCTCCAGGATAGAAGACTCTGAAACTGGTTTGGGCCAGAAAGCCATGCTTCATTTAGTCACAAAGGACTTTCCCTTAACTTTTGAACCCCTGGTCTGATTCGTGCCATTTTTTAATATGTTGTTCCCCTGAATGGATTGATTATGAAAATGTATGTTTTATGTTTGTGACATTTATATTTTAGAAGTTATAAATATTGTGTAAAAACTGTATTCCTCTGCCGGTGATAATGAGATTACCCATTGTGTTCAGTAATCATATGACATGCAGAGGGGAGGATTTTGTGTGGGAGTGTCTGGGTGTATTGTACGGATTGATTGGTTGTTTTGTAACGCCCTGTGGGCTGTACTATGTTTGTGGATTGGGAATAAAAGAGACTGTATATGACAGTACAGGGAGTTCCTGTTTTAACCCTCAAAGTGAAGTGTCGTCTCATTATTGGGGGAAGGATTTATTGTATGCTGTTCCAGTTTGACTGCTAGGAGAGTAAACCTATTCGTATGGTTCCTATTCAACTGTCTACAGCATTCATATGCTTGGGAGAATTTATTTGTTTCTCCGGTTCGGTGGTTGTGGTGTCTGCTGCATAGCTTGGAGTCCTCAGGAAGCGCTAGGAGCATCCTTTAACGGAGGTACCCAGTCGGGGTGTCAGGTGATCCGTTACAGAAAGTATGTGAGACCCAAGAAACTGTGGAAGCAGGAACAGCGGCTCAACAACTAGATTACATAGTTTAAGTGACTAGTTCCCACCAAGTACAAAACGGTTGATCCAAAAGAAGGCGAAAAACCCAGTTTGAAGCGGTGCCAATTTGCAACAAGCTGGGGAAAAATCCCTTCTTGACCCCATAATGGCAGTCAGCTTTCCTTGGATCAAGCAGTAATTGCCCTACATTGAAAGTTGATCCCCGTTTGTAGTGGCAGGCCTTTAATAGGACTGATAGTGGTTGAGATACTTGGATGTTAATGTGAAATCTGTAAATTTGAAATTTCCCGGAACCTGAAACTCCTTGAGTATGGTATGAGGATATGAAAACTGTGTATGGATGGTAAACCTGTACAACATGTGGAGTGTTAGACCGGATAGGTAGAGTTGATGCAAGGTAGAGGTGGCAAAAGAAGCAAAACCACAATGCAGACAACACAGCAACAGATACAGTATCAGTATACGCGAAGAAGGAGCCTTAAAGGGGAAAAAGGCCCTAACACATGTACCGCGAGCGTGAAAAAAGAGCCAGATGTGAAAAGATGACGACCATGAGCTTGCAAGGCTGGCAGCCTGTGGTCGGGCCCTAAAACACAGGGAACGACAGCAGCTACAGGAGAGTAGGAGTAACCGAAACTCCACAGCGCGATGAGTATCAGACCTAGCCAGAGAGCTCAGGCGGAGAAAACCATGCTAATCGCTAAGCAGCGGAGACCTGCCAGAAAAAGAGACAAATAAAACAGCGCAATAAGCGACCCAATGTGTACGTGAGTGTGAAAGTGTGTGAGTGTGCGTGCTGGCATACTAGCTAGTGCCAAAAGGCGAAGCAATTAAAAACTAGGTTTGGTGACAGGTGAGGCCCTGCTAGACGCCAAGCGGCGAGAGAGGCTCTATCTATGAGTTGGCGCGAGGGGAAAACGTGGCCACTGAAACGTTGTGGCGGGGTGTTGGCCTCTCAGTGACAGCTAAACATAAGATAGAATGGGAGTGACAGGTGAGGCCCTCCCTATGCCACAACGCGAGGCGACTAACTGATTTGTCCCGAGGGCCGTAGTACCAATATGGAAAACAGCCATCCAGCAAATTAAAGGAAAAAACATGGAACCATCGGTGTATTCAGCTACAATGATTCAGAACTAATAAAACGAAAACATTTTTTATTTTTTTTGTATTTATAATTAGTATGTAGTATCCTTATTAAAAATTACACAAAAATATTATACCTATTTTTTTTTTTAAAGGGGAAAAGCAAATGAAAAAATAGAATAACAGGACATGAAAAAAAAAAAGTTAAAAGTACATGAGAAGGTATGCGGGGCGGCCGCACGGTTGCATAATAGGTAGTGAGAGAAGCTGTTAATGTGAGAAAGGCGTCACGGCAGCGAGGGGGTTAACCGCAATGAAGGTAGAACGGAACATGTAGCAAGCTGAGCCGCCAGCGGAGGTGAGCAGCATCGTAGCTGGGATGACTCCACGAGAGCCAGCGCCGAAAGAGGGCGACGCAGAGGATGAGAGGCAGAGCTCTGGACAGAAAACCAACCACCCACACCCCGCTCTGCAGCGAGGCCAGCCCGCAGACCGAGACCACACGAAACGGGAAACAAAGAGCAGCACTCACCGAAACCACACCACTGCCCAACATGCAACCACGAATCCCCACGATGGCCAGGCAAGCAGGACCTGCCGACAACACCCCTGCTAAACAGCCACAAGCATTTGGAGGGAGGGAGAGGGGGCAACCCCCGCTACAGGATCCAGACTTCGCCCAGAAACACCCGGGAGAAAGCCACAGGAGACCCACGGTGCAGAAACACTCAGAAATGACCGCGGACGGAACGAAATTGGCGAGGGAAAAGCCAGGTAAGAAGAAACCACGAGGGAGCAGATGTCGACCGGACATAGCGACATGCGAGTCACTAAAAAACGTACGGGACGGAGGAAGGTGAGTAGGGGGGTTTAAATAGGGTAACATGCCCCTCCCACAACTGTAGGCCAAGCCTTTACATTTATCTCCTTCTAATTCAACATACAATCAAAAACCAGATGATAGAGTGTCCAGCAGAGTGGTAGCTGCCTCGTTATAGAGGGGTGACCTTAGGATAGCTTGGGCAAAAGAGGAAAGATAATTAAAACTTCACTTTTAATGTAAATAATTAAAAAGGGGGTTATACAAACAAATATGTGTAGAAAGTTTCATTCAAATGACTGTTGTAAGAAATCCTCAAGTGATACAGTTACACTGCCTGTTAATAGAGTGAAATGCCACTGTGGGAACAACAGCTACAAATTAGTAGTGTCCATAATGTATCGATATAACAGTACCCGGGCTCAAGGAAGAATAGCCAAGTCCCAGTGAGCTGCACTGAAGCTGTTAACAAAGCTGATAACAATGTTTACCGAAACTGCAGTGTCTCCAAAACAAGCTTGAGAGTGCCAGTATACTGCAGATAATAGCATCTTAGAAATGATGACAGGGTCCTGTGTTAAAGAAATAGCATCTAGAGCAGGCATAGGCAACCTTTGGCACTCCAGATGTTTTGGACCACACCAATGCTTTGCCAGCATTACGGGTGTACGGGCATTATGGGGGATGTTGTCCAAAACATCTGGAGTGCCAGAGGTTGCCTATCCCTGATCTAGAGGTATGTGCTGGCGGGAGTACCTGCAGTATAGTAACTAGGAGGTGCAAACTGCAAAATGTTGCCTGGTATATTTTGCAGTAACTGGCTTAATAACCAACAAGCTATGGGTAGACCTAGGAGACAGGGACCTTTCAATCAAGTCAGTCAAGTTCCGAAACTGAGGTTCCAGAAGCATTCAGAGCCCTCCACAAGCCTCTGCCTCTGGAGTCAACTCATGAAATTCATCCTACTGGAAGCGAGAAAGAGAGTTGGCAATACATTAGACACACCTGAACCCTGCACCCAAACCAAATATTAAATTCCAATGCAGAATCAATCATCGCAATAAGGCCCATCCCAGAAGAGAACCCAGAGATAACTGGTTAACGACATGACCCGCACTAAGGTTATATGCACGGAAAAGAACCTACTTCTTTGCCAAAGCTGAGAACCAGAGCTTGACCGACACTACAATCAGGAATAGCATCAAAAATAAATCTGACCACGCCAATGGCCCGCACATCCCTCAAAAAAAGCTCCAAAACTAACCGAGTCACAGCCTCCGTGAACAGCTCAAAGGCCAAGTTAGACACTGTCTGACCATTGTAACCCACGAGGAATAAAACTGCAAACTCCCAAAAGTTGGGTAAAGTTAAAAGGTAGATGAATACAAACCACAGCCAAGGAAAGTCAGTGACTGAAAGCACGCCCCATGGGCATGACTTACAGCCAAAATTCAAATGGCCCTGTAGGGATTGCAGAATTCAAATAGCCCAATAGCGAGCCCCCTAGATATGACACTAGATATGACAACCTGAAGCTTAGTCTCCGGCAAGTGAAACACTTTATTAGCCAATTGTATCTAATTCCCTAGGAAGGAAATCATACTAGGGCCCTCCGTTTTCTCCTCAGCCTCTGGAACCCCAAAATCCACCATAACCCTATGAAAGTAGAACAACAAGTCCGTACAAACCTGAGAACCTGACTAGTGTAGAAAGAGATGGACAAACCACTACACTGTGAGGAATTAGCCAGACCGACAAACAAAAAAGTTGTTGAGATAGTGAAGGAGCGAAGAACAGCCCGACACCCACGCCACGATCCATTCCAACAAGGAACTGAAAACTTCAAAATAAAAACAAGAAATCGAACAACCCATGAGAAGGCACATATCACTCTGAAACTGACACCCCAACAGATGAAAATAATCTGGGTGTACTGGCAGCAACTGAAAAGCCGAATGGATTTCGGACGTCGCCAACAGGGCCCCAGGTCCTACTCTGCGAACCAAATCCTGTCTTTCTGCCCTCACTGGCGTCCTCTCCTTGAGGAACGTCATCCTTGGACGCCGACCTCGGGAGGGGTTTTCACCTCTTAAAACAATGGACGGCTGGGTGAGCCCCACCACAGTAGGAGCACTCATGATTATCGTGTGCTGGGCTGCTTTATTATATCTGCACTTTTCTTTGCACATACTTATTTGTGTAGGATTGGGATACCTGCACGTCTGTTGAGCTGCTTTATTATATCTGTACTACCACTAAGCGCCTGTTTCTATACTACACAGAGCACCCTCCTTTTCTTTTGCACTCATGCTTAAACCTACAACTGCTGTACCCTATGCAGTGGCTCTCGCTAAAGAGCCAACAGATGCCCTTCTTGTGACCCGCCGACGCTCCTCTGGAAGTGCTGGTGGTCGACAGAACGACAAGGATTAATGAGAAGCAACCACATGCTTCCGGCTTGCACACCGAAATCCAAGTTTGGCCTAACCACCATATTTTTTTATTTTTAAAATGTATTTATTTATTATTATTATTATTATTATTATTATTATTATTATTATTATTTTAAAACTGCTGGTCATATTTAAATCAGCATTGCCCCCCCCCCCCGTACACCTTATAAGCCCCCCAAATCAAGTCCGTATGCAAAAATAGTGACAGGGCCTTTTCCGGAAACCTAGCTAATAGGATGCTAGCATAGGTAGCAAATCCTTGCAACCAATTCCCAAAGATATGGGGAGCTGCTCACCTTTTTCGCCCTCAGCCGCATTACACCGACGCGGTCTATCCGCTGACTCCTTGTCAAATGGTACCAAGGATAGTAGGTCCACATACACACCCTTAAGTATCTTTTCTCTCACCTCTTAAGACACATGTAACCACAGGGGAGCAATGTCACAGACAGGTCCCCCCGAAGTATTCACCTCACCTATACCTGAAGGGGAAACCCCAGAGGGAAGCACTGAGCCCTGCGCGTCCCTCGCTGCCCCAACGGTCCTTGCAGGCGCCAACTGGCGTCTCTCTATCCCAGGCTCCAATTCCGGTCCTTCTTGCTGTGAGGGTGCTGCAGTCCGCCTGCCTGCTGTTCCGCCAGGGGAGGGGCGGATCACACCCCAGGGAGTTCCAGTCCGTCCATGCCGGTAATGTGGAGGGGAATCCTGTGTCCCTCCCTGGTGCTTCTTGGCCTCCGGTCCAAAAGCTGGCGAAATCCTCCATTGGCCTGTTACCACCCGCTGGCATGCCCCACTTGCCAGGAGGCCAGCTGTGCTTCTTCTCCGATTCCCCAATCCAAGAAGCTCTGGGACTTTCGGGTTCGGCAGGGGCCTGTGACGTCTGTGTTCCGAGATGTGCAGACGTCACGTACGTGCCACCAAAGTTCCGGCAAGAGGTACTCTGCCTCTTCCTGCATGCAGCCGCACGCACCAACATCACTTCCGCAGCCACCGGAAGAGAAGGGTGAGGACTGTGTGACCTCACCTTGCATCCAGCGCCATTTTGGGGACCCCTATCTTGCCATCCAGGCCCAGCCCGGCCACCTCGACTTCCGCAGCACCTGCTGCCATTCTTCCGCCTCACGATGCCTGCATCATGCCATCTGGAGCCAGCCTCACTCTGCCCCAGAACCTCTAGCGATACCGTGACCCTGGACCTCCGCACCAGACAGTCTGGAATGCAGTCTGGAACGGCGGGCCCGATGTCCACTCCTGGTCTGCACCTCCTGCACCAGCCCCTCCTGAGCAGCCTGCTTGCCTTGGACACTGTGGAGCAGCGAGTTGCTGGGTCCTCTGAAAGGCCTGCAATAGGGTAAGCAGGGGCTCCCTAGACACAGCAGGGGTGTGGGCCATCCTGTACTCTCAGTAGAAGGTAAAAGTAATTTCTGGGTTTTCTTTTTTAGGAGAAACAGCACTGCCTGGCTCCTTCAAGGAGGGAACTCAATTTAATAAAGTACTTGTTACAGGGACTACCGGAGGAAAGACACTGCCATGGTCCCTCACCATTGTTCACCAGTAGTCTGGTAATGTTTCCCAGAATTCCATGCTTTCAACTGTAAAACTAACGGTATCCTTTTGGCTGCTATGCCAATCCCTCAGGGCAGCAGTCCCTATTCGCTCCAGGGGTTGGCCTGATTGTGTGTGTCCTGTAGTAGAAGCATATGTGTGTGTCAGTGTGTGTGTGTGTCAGGGTGTGTGTGTGTGTGTTTCAGTGTGTGGGTATCAGTGTGTGTGTGTGTCAGTGTGTGTGTGTGTTTCAGTGTGTGGGTATCAGTGTGTGTGTGTGTCAGTGTGTGTGTGTGTCAGTGTGTGTGTCAGTGTGTGTGTGTGTCAGTGTGCGTGTGTGTGTCAGTGTGTGTGTGTGTGTGTGTGTGTGTGTTTCAGTGTGTGGGTATCAGTGTGTGTGTGTGTCAGTGTGTGTGTCAGTGTGTGTGTCAGTGTGTGTGTGTGTCAGTGTGTGTGTGTGTGTCAGTGTGCGTGTGTGTGTCAGTGTGTGTGTGTGTGTCAGTGTTTTAGTGTTGTTATTCCATGTTTTACAAAGCTGCAGACAGGGTGAAAGTGAAAGAGAATTCTCTCTGTAAAAGACACACCTCACAAATAGGACACTCTCTGTATTACACACACCCCACATGGGAAGCTCTCTGTATTAGACACACCTCACAAATGGGACGCTCTCTGTATTACACACAACCCACATGGGACGCTCTCTGTATTACACACACCCCACATGGGAAGCTCTCTGTATTAGACACACCTCACAAATGGGAAGCTCTCTGTATTAGACACACCCCACACGGGAATCTCTCTGTATTAGACACACCCCACCCGGGAAGCTCTCTGTATTACACACACCCCACACGGGATGCTCTCAGTATTAGACACACCTCACAAATGGGACGCTCTCTGTATTACACACAACCCACATGGGACGCTCTCTGTATTACACACACCCCACATGGGAAGCTCTCTGTATTAGACACACCTCACAAATGGGATGCTCTCTGTATTAGACACACCACACATGGGAAGCTCTCTGTATTAGACACACCCCACACGGGAATCTCTCTGTATTAGACACACCCCACCCGGGAAGCTCTCTGTATTACACACACCCCACCCGGGAAGCTCTCTGTATTACACACACCCCACATGGGAAGCTCTCTGTATTAGACACACCTCACAAATGGGATGCTCTCTGTATTAGACACACCACACATGGGAAGCTCTCTGTATTAGACACACCCCACACGGGAATATCTCTGTATTAGACACACCCCACCCGGGAAGCTCTCTGTATTACACACACCCCACACGGGATGCTCTCTGTATTAGACTCACCCCACCCGGTAAGCTCTCTGTATTAGACACACCCCACCCAGGAAGCTCTCTGTATTAGACACACCCCACATGGGATGCTCTCTGTATTAGACACACCACACCCGGGAAGCTCTCTGTATTAGACACACCCCACCCTGGAAGCTCTCTGTATTACACACATCCCACCCGGGAAGCTCTCTGTATTAGACACACCCCACCCGGGAAGCTCTCTGTATTAGACACACCCCACCCGGGAAGCTCTCTGTATTAGACACACCCCACCCGGGAAGCTCTCTGTATTACACACACCCCACCCGGGAAGCTCTCTGTATTAGACACACCCCACCCGGGAAGCTCTCTGTATTAGACACACCTCACCCGGGAAGCTCTCTGTATTAGACACACCCCACCCGGGAAGCTCTCTGTATTAGACACACCCCACCCGGGAAGCTCTCTGTATTAGACACACCCCACCTGGGAAGATCTCTGTATTAGACACACCCCACCCGGGAAGATCTCTGTATTAGACACACCCACCCGGGAATCTCTCTGTATTAGACACACCCCACCCGGGAAGATCTCTGTATTAGACACACCCCACCCGGGAAGATCTCTGTATTAGACACACCCACCCGACTCTCTGTATTAGACACACCCCACCCGGGAAGATCTCTGTATTAGACACACCCACCCGGGAATCTCTCTGTATTAGACACACCCCACCCGGGAAGATCTCTGTATTAGACACACCCACCCGGGAATCTCTCTGTATTAGACACACCCCACCTGGGAAGCTCTCTGTATTAGACACACCCACCCGGGAAGATCTCTTTATTAGACACACCCACCCGGGAATCTCTCTGTATTAGACACACCCCACCCGGGAAGCTCTCTGTATTAGACACACCTCACCCGGGAAGCTCTCTGTATTAGACACACCCCACCCGGGAAGCTCTCTGTATTAGACACACCCCACCTGGGGGAAGCTCTCTGTATTAGACACACCCCACCCGGGAAGCTCTCTGTATTAGACACACCCCACCCGAAGATCTCTGTATTAGACACACCCCACCCGGGAAGATCTCTGTATTAGACACACCCACCCGGGAATCTCTCTGTATTAGACACACCCCACCCGGGAAGATCTCTGTATTAGACACACCCACCCGGGAATCTCTCTGTATTAGACACACCCCACCCGGGAAGATCTCTGTATTAGATACACCCACCCGGGAATCTCTCTGTATTAGACACACCCCATTTGAAAGAACTCTTTTGTAAGCAGTTCTATAGAGTTTCTTACTGCACACATAATAGTGACAATATTACTGTGACATTATAAAATGCATTGCAAGGTATAACTCTCACTAGGGAATTTATTTTCTTCAATTTTTCAGAGAATTAAAATTGTATCAACTTTAAAAGCATGAGTTATGCATTACCAGGACTTAACAGAACATTTTCATAGTCAAAATATTTGAATATTAAAACCTTTACCATATTCTGCGGTATGTGGTGCAGATTCTCTCTGTGTGCTCAGGTATGTGGTGCAGATCCAATCTGTGTATTGGGGTACGTGTTGCAGATTCTTTCTGTGTGTTGGGCTATGTGATGCAGATTCTCTCTGCATGCTGGTATACGTGGTGCAGATCCAATCTGTGTATTGGGGTACGTGGTGCAGATTCTTTCTGTGTATTGGGGTAGATGGTGCCAATTTTCTGTGTGTTGGGCTATGTGCTGCAGATTCTCTCTGCATGCTGGTATACGTGGTGCAGATTCTCTCTGTGCCTGCTGTGGTGCAGATTATCTCTGTGTGTTGGAGTACGTGGTGCAGATTCTTTCTGCGTGTTGGGGTACATGGTGCAGATTCTATCTGTGTGCTGAAGTATGTGGTGCAGATTATCTCTCTGCTGGGCTAAATGGTGCAGATCCCCTCTGTGTGCTAGGGTATGTGGTGCAGATTCTCTCTCTCTCTCTTCTGAGCTACATGGTGCATATTATCTCTGTATACTGGGGTACGTGGTGCAGATTCAATCTGTGTACTGGGGTATGTGGTGAAGTTTCTCTCTGTGTGCTGGGGTACGTGGTGCAGATTCAACCTGTGTACTGGGGTATGTGGTGAAGTTTCTCTCTGTGTGCTGGGGTACGTGGTGCAGATTCTCTGTGTGTGCTGAAGTATGTGGTGCAGATTCTCTCTTTGTGTTGGGCAACACGGTGCAGATTCTTACTCTGTGCTGAGGTATATGGTGCAGATTCTCTTTGCTGGGCTATGCAGATGAAGATTCTCTCTGTGTGCTGGGGTATGTGATGCATATTATCTCTGTGCTTGGGTACATGGTGCAGATTCAATCTGTGTACTGGGGTATGTGGTGCAGATTCTCTGTGTGTGCTGGGGTACATGGTGCGGATTCAATCTGTGTACTGGGGTATGTTGGGCAGATTCTCTCTGTGTGCTGGGGTACATTTTACAGTTTCTCTCTATGTATTGAGGTATGTAGCGGATCTGCAAAATTAAAATCAATATCTCCGCTGGTAGACTTGTAGAACATCCAAGTGAAGCGCAGTACAGCAAGACAATCTCGATTTCCCAATAACGGGACGATACACAGTTTTGGGAGTCAACGGATTATTATTCAGCCACAGCTGGCTTTTATGCAACTCCCCACGCAAGGAGTTTATTTAATTACATTCCTGTGGATTTCCCCTGGTGGACCTTGTTGGGGACAGGGAACAAAGCAACACTTCCCAGACTCCTCCTCTGTACCTTGGAGATAATTGAGTGAGGACAACTCTTTAATTACATTATTTCCCGAGTACAGAAAATATACAATATTTTAAACCATCAAAACATACATTAATGTTAGTCAGAACTCCCTGAAAGATACTTCACCAAATAGCAGGGATCTGAGCACCCACTCTGTCTAACTATCCCTCAGATTTGTTTGGTAAAATAGGAACGCCATTTTAGACAGGTCAACCACGAGGTGAAGCCCAAAAATAGTTCCAGAAGGTTTTATGCTTTGACCGGACTTCTTTCGGGAGTATTCACCATTAAAATAACAAATGGAACAGTTCATGTAATAGGGGGTCGTGTGCCTGATGTTCAATAGTTTCTTTCATATGAATGCCGCTCTGTATACGTGAAGGGGAACGAAGATACAAAAGGATGGAAGTCAGCGGTGTTCACGCTGTTGAGTGTCTGATTCTAGTTCCATACACTCAACGACCAAACACTGCTGTCTGTTCGTGAACAAAGATGGCCGTCGCCACGTGTTCGGTCATACGAAGGACTGCCACGCATCCGACCACTTAGAACCTTGCGGTTTCTAAGTGTGAACACCGTCAATTGGAGACACACGACTCCCCTGGGTGGTCCCACTGTTCAGTAGTTGGTAGGACTGATGAACAATATGCCTCCAGTCTCTTTGGAAACCCCAAATTGTCGAACCAACTCAGTCTTGCATATGAATAGGTGACTAGTTTTGCAAAAGGGTACATGGTGCCGAATCTCTCTGTGTGTTGAGGTTGGTGGTTCCAATTCTCTGTGTGTGTTGGGCTATGTGGTGCAGATTCTTTTAGTGTGGTGGTATATGTGATGCAGATTCTCTGTGTGTGCGGGGGTACATGGGGCAGATTCTCTCTGTGTGCTGGGGTACATGGTGCAGATTCTCTCTGTGTGCTGGGGTACATGGTGCAGATTCTCTGTGTGTGCTGGGGTTTGTGGTGCATGATCTCTGTGTGTGTTGGCGTAGGAGGTGCAGATTCTCTCTGTGTTCTGGGGTACATGGTGCAGATTCTCTGTGTGTGCTGGGGTTTGTGGTGCATGATCTCTGTGTGTGTTGGGGTATGTGTTGCAGATTCCATTTGTGTGTTGGCTTACGTGGTGCAGATTCTCTGTGTGTGCTGGGGTACATGATGCAGATTCTATCTTTGTGCTGAGGTATGTGGTGAGGTTCTTTCTGTGTGACGAGGTATGTGGTGCAGATTCTGTTTGCTGGGCTATGCAGATGCACATTCTCTCTGTGTGCTTGGCTACGTGGTGCAGATTCTCTCTCTGTGCTGGGGTATGTGGTGCAGATTCTCTCTGCATGCTGGCATCTTCCTGGATGCATTTGGTGTTTAGTACAGATTCTCAACTGTATGGCAGACGATAATTAACCAAATGCATCCAGGAAGATGCTCATTCACAAATTATCATTTACTCATGATTTTCAGTAAAAAAAAAAACCTTGGTGCTAGGAATGGGGCTTGAGAAATATTAAAAGAGGTGTACCTAGCATACCCATGCTGATGGGTGAGTACTTAATATTATAAAAAGTGGGGACACCGAGGGTCCTCTCCCCCAGCCCTAACCCATGCCAGTGGGTGTGGGCCTTTACTGCTGTATAGATGGGGCATATTGTTCCCTCCACTGGCTGCCATCTATGCTGATGAGAGGGTGCCCTAATATGTATTGTTTAACCTACTGTCCCCTACCCTCGCCCATGCTGGCAGGTGAAGCCCCTAATATGTAGGGGAGGGGCTACTGCTCCAGCTATCTGGTGGGTGGAGGGCCCTCCTCGGACTCCAATCATGCCAGGAGGATGAGGGCCAGAGTGGGTGTGGGCCCTAATATGTAGTGTTAGTGTCCTAGTGTCCTCTACCCCTACCCCCACCCAGGGCTGTGGGTGGGGGCCCTAATATGTTTTATAAGAGGGTCTCGAGACTAGGCTGTCAGAGCACTCTGATTGGTTGGTTTATTAGCTTCTAATTTCTAATGGTAAGTATAATTCTAGTTTTTTACAGATTTTTTAGATTTTCCCACCTCCTCACTAATTTTAGGTGGGTGCCAAGGGAGTGGATACCCCTCCTTACATCTATTAGGGCAGTCACCCACCGGCATGGAAGCGAGTTCAGGGAGGGGACATTAGGACTTTCTCCATTTTATAACTATTAAGGCCCCCACCAGTCCACATGGGTGGGGACCAGGAAGACGATGTAAGGTCCTCCTTTAAAATTTGAAGTATTCCCCACCCGATGTCTGCGGGTAGGGGCATGGGGGGACTATGTCCACCCTGTTATTTCACTGGGTGGACATAGTCCCCCCCAGAGACTGAGCACCAAGGCCGGCCCAGTCGCTAGTTTACTTGTTTAGCAGACATGCCCCCACCTGTCAGACTGCAGATAGGGAAATATTGAAGTAAAATACCTTCTTTCAAGTCGCCGCTTGCTATATGGCACACAAATCATGGAAATGTGTTTCAGTTATATTTTATTATATTTTGTAAACATCATTTTAATGTCATTCTTTTTTATTTTTTATAGCTGGAGCGTTACTGGGATTAGTGAATTTTGAGCAGCGAGTGGGAAATAAAGCAGAGAAATAGATTTATGAAAAAAAATCTAATAATGTTTAATGAAATACGTAAAAAGTAAAAGAGAGTCAACCATAATATCCAGACACAAAATGAGGTGGTTAGTAATGCAGTAATCTAATACGAAGAGCTGATAGAGGATTTACATTATCGCGCATGTTGATTCATCTCCCACTACTGTTCCCTTACGGTTTGATCCTTCGTGTCTATCTGCAGCTTGAAACTGTCTGTAAAGCAGATGTGGACGTAAATTACCTAAACTTTCCATTTTCTCTTCATATTCTCTCTTTTTCTTCTCATCGTCAGCATCCTTTATGTATTTAATAACAAATTTCATCCTTTCGCCCCTTTCATGTTCACGATTCCTCTCCTTTTCCATACAGAAATCAACATTTTTTAGTACTTGGCAGAGAAGTTTCTGAATTTCCTCATGTTTCCCTAGAATTCTCTGATGATCGTTTTCTGTGTAATTTTCAATGGTGAAGATCTTATCGAATCCCATGTCTTGGAAGGTTGTGCGCATTGCGGTCAGACCGCCGTGGGATTTATGTGTCAGGACGATAATGGGAGTGATCCCTAAAATGACAAACGAGAAGTAAATGGATAAATAGAAAAAGGGGCAAAGTAAGGAAAGAAAAGTTGGTAAGAAGACATTCGTACATTTATAGTTTGATTCAATCTACATTTCTGTCTCTGAAATATTTCCCAAATACCATGATTGTTAATAAAATGATTATTAGTCTTTTAACGTCTTTGGATTGAAAACTACCCCAGTATAAAAACCATTGGAATGACACTACCCTTCACTGATCGAACATGTTAATCTTTCACTCTCGACACCAAAACTGTAACTGGTAACCTGCAACCGAGCCTCTGACAAAAAAAATTAAACCACACAGTCGTAAAAGCATAGCCCCCCACCCCGGGCCTCTAATCCTGCCAGTGCTTTAAACTGAACATTTGGGAGAGGCAGAGATATCTCAGCCACCTCCTAGTTTATACTAACATCACAGGAGAAGTTCCATTGCCCAGGATTTCCTTCAAAATAGAGACATTCAGAGGCTCTTTAATAGTTCATATTTTTAACACAGCATCTAACTGATGCATTATTTGTGCATGTTACAGCCATTCTAGTGTTCTATTTAATTAACCTTAAATCTGTATTTTTTAAAGGTAACAAAATATAAAATAAGTCATGTATATACATAGTGGGCACTGGATGAAATTAAGCATTAACATTACCTACCCACAAATCCCCCAATAAATACAGACACTAACGCTGGATAAAACAGGCCACAGCGTTTATTAAACGTTTATTATAAATATTGCATAATACATCCATCTTTATTCATACATTTTATAAATATAACAAACATATCAATACAATTAACACATAAATAATACATAGTGTCAGACAGTATATAACCTAATTAAATATTAATAAAAAATGTCCATGCCAACCTAACTGACCAATTGCAGATGATCACAACCCCAAAAGGCTCTCACCTCCCCACTCGTCTACCATTATTCCCTTTTAACCGTTTAATGCTCACCAGTAGCCGGATTTTAGCTGAGTGTGGCACATCCAAATTGGTAACTTCGCAGTTCACCATAAAAGACAGGAAAGGTTGAGACCCAACCATTATCCACGCTATCAGTCTTAAATTGTCTCCCAACCTGATTGGCAAGGGCATGCCCCCCGCCTGCCGTTATGAACAAACCGGGACCCAGTGGCACTGGGCAAGGAAGGCTAACTAGTTACCACCCATTAATATCAGACAAAGCACTCCCACACACATTCCAGCCAATCACAGATCATCCATACCCACACTCATACATGTCCCTTGTCCACTAAGCTGTGCAATCTACCTCGAGATTGGATGGACACTGCACCATCAGATATATTTACCTGTCAGTACTCTCGCCATGTTCAGTAATTCTTTATACATTTCAATCTCCTGTTTGGGAATCGTATTCTTTACACTGAAAAAACAAAATAAAACATTGATTACTTACCTATTAAAGTCAATTCTGATTTGACATTAAAAAAAAATTGTCTATATAAAAGTCAGTAGTTGTTTATACATAATGTCCTCTCAGGTATACACAAGTCCGGGAGAACTTACGGCTGAAAATGAGACAAAGCAATTGTTCGTTTAATTATGGATTACTTATTATAAATCAGGAATTGATTTTATTTTACGATGTTAAAAGTCAGATTTGTGTTTTTTAATATGTGCAGTGTATGAAAATGTAATACTCTAGCATGTTATGATATGATATGTGCCGTCAATACGTCTCACAGCAGCCATTCAGCCTGAAGAAAGTCTAACTCCAGGTCTACGGGATGTTCAGGGCGTTGGGACGTTTGAGTTTCATCTTAAATCATTTCTCAGCAATGTTGCTTCCGTGTCTCCACTAAAGCGGAATCTGGTCATGTACACATGTGGAATGTTGAAGGGTCAGGAGGACTAGATGATTCTAGACCATTCATGGGGTAACGTTTGTGAAATACATCACTAACGTTGAAAATACTGGAAATGGGGCTGGTTTAATGAATACAAGGTTCACATGACCTTCTTAATGACCCTCCAGCTCGCTCACCCTTGTGTGGTGAGGGAGTATAAAGGTAAATCTGAGCAAATTAAATTAAGTTTTTGTATGTAAATAAATTACTTTTTGCTAAACTGTGAGCTTCGATGAGATGCAAGTTTGGAGAAAATATATATTTTAGATGAATTGTAGATTTAAATTTTTTTTCCATGTCACTTGTCATCTCACCACATCTCAATGCTATATGAATAGGCCCTTCTCTACATATTATACACATTATATAATAATAATTATAATAATAACACTGCCATTCTCCATGCTTGGTATCATGGACGGATATTTGTAAGGTATGAATTGATCTAAAACTTAATTGAACACTCCAACATCTTGACCATTTTCAGCAACCCCTCCTAAAACACGTCTTGCTTTTGTCATTTAATAAATGAGGGTATCATATTGTGATACCCACCCGCCCACATGTGCCCACCCGCCTGCCTACTTATTGTTTTCAACAAATCACCAAAGTGAAACTTTTATTCAGTTTCATGAATGAAATCTTTTGGATATGAAATGGAAACACAAGGGTTTATTTTTGTTCTTGAATGCTAATGGTCATAAACATACCAAAGGACTTCCTATCTGAGAGGCAATCAAGACATATGGCAAATAGGGGGGTTAGTTTGTGCTGAAGACAGACTCCCAGGCTCCTTGTGTGTGACTTCTCACACCTGGCAGTGCGGCTCTGTTGAGGTCCAAGCTTAATTGAACCCTTATGGAATATTAAAATGTGCTTGTGGGGTGTTTGGAACTATTGAAGATTTTTTTTGTACCGGATGGATAATTAAATTAAAGAGGTTTCCTCACACAATTATCTCTCAGGTACAGAGGATCTTGGGATTGAAACTCCTGTTGTATTATGTTGGAGACCCTTTGTAGGGGTCTGTGCATAAAAGCCATGTGTGACCTAATAAAGTTCAGTTCAGTTGTACTCCCATAGCTATGTGTTGTCTAGTTACTGGGAGGGGAAAGGGCTATAATCACTGCTTAGCACATTGTTTCAGCTCGTGGAGGGTTCAGCGGGAAAGTCCTGGTAAGGACTAGAGCTCCCAGGACTGTGTGCCGTCCAATCCCTGGGAGGAAATAGAGCTAGTCCTCTCTCCTGCTCCAGATAGAAAGCGGTCCTTAGCAGAGGTACTCAGCCGGGGTACAGGGAGCTCCGCTACACCTATACCGTGCTAGTTTTGGTAGGGGCATCAATGTTTGGCATTATTACAAGCCATCTCCATCTCCCCAGCCCAACCCCTCTATTGTCTAATCCTTCCCCTAAATAAACCAGGAACTTGTCTCACCTGTGCACGTAGATTGGAAAAATAAAATCGGTATAATTGGGGTTTTTACTTTCGTCCATCAGTCGGTCAATATTCTTTGCAAAATCTTCACACCATTCTACCTCCTCGCTCAGGGGTAATAAATTACCTGGGAATGTATAGTGGGAGGGAGTTTGAGTCACTTCTGGAATCCATAAACGTATTAAAATAAATCAGGTCAGCCATGTCAAAGCAGCAAAAAGTCTTGATTTTTGTTTTAATTTGAAGCATTTAGTCCAAATAACCCGTAAAGGGAATGTGGCTGGGAATTCAAAGCCAATTTAAAATTTGAGACAAAAAAAAGTTAAACCAGAAGCTGAGCTGACTTGGAGCATTTTTTCAATTTAGCTATTTTGGCCTTAAATTTGAAAAATCACTTTGAATTCCTAACAATGCTCAGTTTAGTGAATAACCCTGTCATTCTATTCCGGTATGGAATTACTACATTTTTCATTTTTAATGGTATTTGCATTTATATAGCGCTACTGTATTCCGCAGCGCTTTACAATATTATAAAAGGGGAATTTAACAATTAATGAGATAATTACAAATTGTTAGAGTAACAATAGGCTGATGAGGACCCTGCTCAAATGAGCTTACAGTCTAGAGGGGTGGAGTATACAACACAATAGGAAGGGCATTGACCAATACAGACATCAAATAAAGATGGTAACAGAAATAGGGGTGAGAGTGGAGTGTGGCCCTTTAGGAGAGAGCGAGAGGAAGGTTTGAGAGATAGAAGTTACTCTGGCAGGTGATACACTTTTCTGAACAGATGGGTTTTGAGGGACTTCTTAAAGTATTGAAGACTAGGGAGAGTCTGACAGGGGTAGGCAGGCTGCTCCAAGAAAAGGAGCCGCCCGTGGGAAGTCTTCCGGGCGTGAATTTGCAGTAAGGGTGTGAGCAGCTGACAAGAGAAGGTCACCAGTAGAGCGGAGAAACGTAAGAGAGGCTAGAGTTGGTTAGAGCTTTATAGGTAAGGGATAGTATTTTGAATTGACACCTATTGGATACAGGAAGCCAGTGTAAGGATCGACAGAGGGGTGAGGTATGGGAGGAGCAACAGGAGAGAAAGATCCGCCTGGCGGCAGCATTCATTGTAGATTGTAGCGGGGGCAGTACGGCTTCTGAGGAGACCAATTAGGTGTCACGGGTTTGTGGTGAATGGGCTCGGTATACAGAGATTTTATACGGACACAGTCACTGAATTGTATTGGTTGTATTTTGAAAACAAATATAATGCAAAAGTCCCAATGCAAGAATAACGGTGAATGAAGCAATTCCTTTATAAGAGATAAAAGTCTTAAAGGAACAATAAAGTCTTTACCAGAGTTTCAGCACTTGGCATACTGAAAGGTTTGATTGAAATTGTAGTAGAATTGCAGGAGATAAATCAAAGTCGGGACAGCGTTGCAGGGGTTAACCAAGGTTGAGACAGTGTGGCAGGGGTTAACCAAGGTTGAAACAGCATTGCAGGGGTTAAGGGAGGTTGAGACAGTGTGGCAGGGGTTAACCCAGGTTGAAACAGCGTTGCATGGGTTAACCATGGTTAAGACAGCGTGGCAGGGGTTAACCAGCGCTGAGACAGTGTTGCAGGGGTTAACTAAGGTTAAGACAGTGTGGCAGGGGTTAACCAAGGTTGAGACACCATGGCAGGGGTTAACTAAGGTTGAGACAGTGTTGCTGGGGTTAACCAGCGCTGAGACAGCATTGCAGGGGTTAACTAAGGTTGAAACAGCATTGTTGGGGTTAACCATGGTTGAGAGATCCTCTGGGTAATTGGTTGTCCACACCTCCCTATGTAGGTGGGATGCTTTGTCTGTATGTAGCTGAAAACCATTAAAGGAGCACTATAGTGCCAGGAAAACAAACTCGTTTTCCTGGCACTATAGCGTCTTTAGGTCCCCCCCACCCTCAGGGCCCCCCTCCTGCCGGGCTCTAGGGGGCTGAAGGGTTTAATCACTTACCTTTCTCTGGCGCTCATTTGGCGCTAGGGAACTCTCCTCCCTCTTTTGACGTCAGCGCAGTGGTGTATCCTGGTTTTGTGCTGCCCTAGTCAGGACAAAACTCAGGCGCCCCCCTTCCCCTTCCCTCCCGTGCCACCCCACTCTACCCTTCCCCCTGTCCCACCTTCTAAATACACACACACACACATTCACTGACAGATACGCATACACTAGCTAACAGAAACAGACACACACTAACAGAAACAAACTCACACGCTAACAGACACACACACACTCACTCATGTCATATTCCGGCTCCCGGCATCACTCTGCGGCGCTCGAGGGAGCTGAGCAGACAGCTCAGAGGAAGTGCTCCCTCGCTAGTGCCGCCCACCCAGCAGCCAGCCCATCAGCCCGCCCGGCATGTCAGTTAGCCGCAAGGCTAACAAGACATTTGCCCTGGGCATTTGTGGAGCGGCATTTTTTGCCGCCCCCTGAAAAATGCCGACCAAGGCAAATGCCTTGTTTGCCTCGCAGCTAAAACGTCCCTGCGGCAGCGCTGAATGCGCATGCACGGCAAGAGCGAAAGCGGAGGATCAGTATTTGGAGGAGGAAAGATCAGAATTAGAAGGAGCCCAGTTTTAGAGAGATTGAGTTTCAGAAAGCGAGAGGACATCCAGTCAGAGATGGAAGAAAGGCAAGCAGTGACACGCTGTAGGACAGCAGGGGAAAGGGGTCCGGGGAGGAGAGATATATCTGGGTGTCATCAGCGTACAGGTGGTAGCAGAGTCCAAAAAAATGAATAGGTCTACCTAGAGAGGCAGTATAACGAAAATAAAAGGGGGCAGAGGCTTTGGTTGCAAGACTTGTTAGCTCGGAGTCGTAACAAGGTGTAATGTCAGGCTGATAATTATACACCATTGTCACAGGAGCGATTTTCTATTTTCATTTTCATTATTGCATTCTTGCTTGATGTTACAAGGGAACAGCTTATGAGAAACCTTACTAATGGTCTAAAAACTGTAAAATCCATTCTTCCTCATGTCTTCACTTACTATTCATGCTTTATGTCACTCTGTGATATGTGAAAAATGTTTTATGTCACTAGAGAAAAATTAAAACAAAGGAAATAACTAACAGGTTTATATTCTAAAGTGAGAATTCAAATGTAAGGCCAAAGTAGCCGAAATGAAAGCTGACAGAGAATTTTCCAGTTCGGCTTTTTGACCTTAAATTTGAAAATCACTTCTAATTCTCCTTGAATTCACACATTCGTCACTTATGTCATTAGATAAACATGCACACAGCCATATTTATATATGTCCCTCAGTCCCTCTGTGGCCAATTCATCTGGTTACAAATATGTGTTGGTTAGTCCACCCATTGTATAGCGCTACAGAACTTGTTGATGCTTTATAAATAATAATAATAATAATAATAATATATATATATATATATATATATATAAAAAGTTAGCGATCTATAAAGTAACTGTGACTTACCGAGTTGAGCAAGAATCTCTCCTGACTCGTATTTGCTGAGCGTTGGACAGCCGCGGTTATCGACCATCATTATGGCATCGGTGAGCTTATAGGGCACTCTCCTCGTGGTACAGCCACCATCTGTCGCCCGTGCCTCGGCGTGTTGTCTATAAACCCCGTCTAAGACAAACTTACAGGAGTTGATGAAGGAGGACTTGCCGTTACCCAGCAAACCGAACAGCTGCAGGAGGACTCGTTTATAGCCCTGATTCCCATGTTTACAGTTACTGAGACTGAAACTAGTGATGAACTCTTTGCGTTGCTGAGAATTCATCTGAGATACATTCATTTGCTGATAATTCTTATTTTTACCCTTATAAAAAAGGTAAATTATAAAACATATAATGAGCCAGAGAATGAAATGCTCCAACATTCTGCTAACGTTTAGATTCTCTACAGCCGAGAGCTTCCTGGAGACAGAGAACTGAAACTAAAAAGGGGTATGCGATGAATAGGGCGTATCCTGAACAAATATCTGGCTGTATTAAAGGAACCAGCTCACTGTTACACTGCTCAAACATAAAGACCTGAAGGTCTAAGAATAATGGTTCATTTCTGGCTGTGCTTGACGCTTATTAATTAAAGAACAAATTAATCAAATCTATCTGAAGCACGAGAATACTTTGTAATCAGTGCGCTTGCGCTCTTTCTCTCTACCAGAATTCTTTGTGGCCAATTTTGGAAGGCAGGGTCTGCTACTTCTTTTAGTTCAGTGGTTTATAATTAAAAATAGAAACATCTCCCCAGCTGTCAAATAGCTCGGGAGTCGTTTCTGATTTTAATTATACAAGCGCTAATTTCACAATAAAATAGGCACTTTTATAAACAGACGTTTAAATTGGTACTCCATAGCAATTCAGCAATTCAGCAATGTGAAGTGCTCTATGGGTGTGGAGTGTCACTTTAATACTCCTGGCAATCACTTTCATTCAATATGACAATTATACACAATGCATCCAAGTAATCATTAAGCAAATCGCATCTCAATTCCATTCAGAAATATTACATAGGGTCACAATGGAGCAACAAGAGCGAGGGGCACAAACTATGATAAGATTACTGCTTCAAAAGACAAACAACAATACAGAATAATTCAAACAGGACTTGTAACAACACAACAATTATATTTGAATTATTTTAAAATATTCTATATTTTAATGTGGGATGTCTTTATTGTGGGTAAATTACTTTGAAACTACAACACCCTAAGGACTTCCCAATCACCCACACAACAATACAAACAGAAAACAAGGGACAACAGGAAAGGAAAATGAAAAGATAAAAATGACAGCGTGGCTTTAAGTCGTGGACGTAATTTTGTGAACATTTTACGCTCATCTTTATGGATGATTTCTGCCAATCCAGTTCTTGCCCACAGGGAAGCATTGGGAAGCTGGTGCACATGCAGAGCGAGAAGACTTTGAATGTTGGCCCTGCAAAGATTGCAGGATTGTAACAGGAAGGACCTCTAGAGGCTCTCACTGAGGTGGGCTTAAAGGACCACTCTAGGCACCCAGACCACTTCAGCTTAATGAAGTGGTCTGGGTGCCAGGTTCCTCTAGGATTAACCCTTTTTTTTTTTATAAACATAGTTTCAGAGAAACTGCAATGTTTATAAATGGGTTAATCCAGCCTCTAAATCCTCTAGTGGCTGTCTCACTGACAGCCGCTAGAGGCGTTTGCGTGTTTCTCACTGTGAAAATCACAGTGAAAAGACACAAGCGTCCATAGGAAAGCATTATAAATGCTTTCCTATGAGACCCTCTGAATGCGCACGCAGCTCCTGCCGCGCATGCCCATTCAGCCGAAGAGGAGGATCGGAGGCGAAGAAGTAGAGGAGAGTTCCCCGTCTGGCGCTGGAATAAAGGTAAGTTTAACCTCTTTCCTTGCCATCCAGAAAGGATGGGAGGGGGTCCCTGAGGATGGGGGCACTCTTAGGGCACTATAGTGCCAGGAAAACGAGTATGTTTTCCTGGCTCTATAGTGGTCCTTTAAGGACCAATATAAACACGGCGTTTTCTCAATAAAGACAAAGTGTGCAGAGGCAGAGTCTTTGCACCAGAGCCCCTACATTAAGCTGTACTATGTTTGGGGGTTAGAGTGTCCTTATAACAGGTCCTCACACTGCCCCCACAGGAATAGTAGGTGATAAACCAAGACACATTAGGGGTATGTGAGAACTGGCTAAAATACATTAAATTGAGGCAAAGTTCTTTGAGTTTATATCTGACTTGCACATTTTTTTGTGAAAATAAAAATTGAAGACTGAAAATTAATCTCCTGCTCATTGTAATTGGGTTAATTATCTCCAAGTACAGAAAATATTTCCAATTTATAACTGTAACAAAACACATAAAGATACATAACTCATATTTCAAATAACAGAACCTCCACATTCGACATATTCCCAGATAGCTTGGATCTGAGCGCTCAATATATCCGCTCAGATCCCATGAACACAGTTGAATCGCCATGGAGTTTTCACCGACCATTCGGCAGATCTCTCCAGCTTTAGTTCCATGGCTTTCAGCTTTCTGGGTCGGTATAGTTTGTCAGATATGAATGTACCGAACGACGGGGTTTTTGTATAAAATGAAACGAAGAGATAAAAGTTTGACAATTTAAGATGGCCGCTGCCACGTGTTTGTTCATACGAACGGCGACCACCCAGCCATTCGCAAATTAGTTGCGGTTAACCACAGCTTCTGGGAGGTAAACAGGCTGCACATTGCCATTGCGTGTGGTCTGGATGTTCGTTTGTTTATTCGGTACAATAAAAGGGAATACATAAGGCAGAAATGCACGAACGGCATACGAACAAAGGGCACTGATAGCCCCAAAACAGGGGTTTTGTCACAATGGCCATTATAGTTAAACCTCAGTGTGCGCTCGTAATCTTGCTCATAGTATGAAATCTATGTTAAACAGTTCTGGATTGCTTTCACTTTCATTCTGACACAGACTGCAAATGGTACAAAAAAAACAGTTTGACAACAGAGAGAGAGAGAAGAAGAGAGAGACGGCAGAAATCGTAAGAAAGAGACAGAACAGCCACAACTGAAACACAATCACAAAGTGCACAATCTAGAACCTGCAGCGATATTGCGATCTGCTCGAGTTATAAACACTGCAAACATAGTAACAAAATATATAATAAGAGAACACAGACGATCTCCAAGCAGTAGGTGAGTCACTTCCTCATTTATTAAATAGTCCTGGAAGTTACGATAGTTGGACGTTATGGCTTCACTTTATCGCTTCTAATTTAGGAAGTTTTATTACATTCCTCGATTACTATTATTAATATTACTATAATGCCGCAGAATCTTGCTGTTTTTATATCGGGATGTAACTACACGATTGGCAAACTATTCCAAATGTCACCTTTTCACTACAAAGCAGTAGCACAAATAGATCAGCGTAAGATTTATTTGAAGCAAGGGATGCACAGCTGGCACACAGAGATATCATAACACAGCGAGTTTGTGCATATATTGCCTTACTGACAAGGTAGTGTAAATTCGCATCATTTTTATTTTTCATTTATTCATTTATAAAAAATATTTGGGAACGTTAGAGAGTAACAGGGTCCTGTATCTTGCAATATTTCACAGAATCTGACATGTCAGTATAAAAGCAAAACATATAAATTAAATGTGATAACATAGATACACATGGTAAAATAAACCGTTATATATATATTTATTTGTGAGGACCCTGATGTAATTCCCAGTTTACTGAAAAAAGGCAATAAACCATTAAAATAATGTCTGCATTGAGCACAATGACCATAGAAACATAGAATCATAGAAACATAGACTGTGAAGGCAGAAAAGAACCATTCGGCCCATCTAGTCTGCCCAATTTTCTAAATACTTTCATTAGTCCCTGGCCTTATCTTATAGTTAGGATAGCCTTATGCCTATCCCACGCATGCTTAAACTCCTTTACTGTGTTAACCTCTACCACTTCAGCTGGAAGGCTATTCCATGCATCCACTACCCTCTCAGTAAAGTAATACTTCCTGATATTATTTTTAAACCTTTGTCCCTCTAATTTAAGACTATGTCCTCTTGTTGTGGTAGTTTTTCTTCTTTTAAATATAGTCTCCTCCTTTACTGTGTTGATTCCCTTTATATATTTAAATGTTTCTATCATATCCCCCCTGTCTCGTCTTTCCTCCAAGCTATACATGTTAAGATCCTTTAACCTTTCCTGGTAAGTTTTATCCCGCAATCCATGAACCAGTTTAGTAGCCCTTCTCTGAACTCTCTGTAAGGTATCAATATCCTTCTGAAGATACAGCCTCCAGTACAGACCACATACAGTAAATACAGTTACATTGTAGATTTCTAAAATTAAGGGATTTAAAACTGCTTTGGAAGCAGGGAGTGAGCTTCTATTTTCAGCAAACTTGCAGACATTAAATGATTGGTCAGTGACTTCTGTCAGAGAAATTCATTCCACTTCTTGCTGGTATCATTCCTGGAGTATGAAGGACAAAGTATCAAGTACATAGTTCCCAGGTGTCTAAAAACCTGTGTGGAACCCCCTTAACCCCACCCCAAAATCCAATGAAAATACACACAATAGACGGAGCAATACTGTAAGATATGGAAGTTATCTATGGGAAAACCAAACAAATTTAAATACACCAAATTTAGCTAAGATTAAATATTGGTCCCGCTCACAGAGTTGGAGCCAGTGAGTGTGTAGCATAGTCTGATAATTATGGGAGGTCCTGATCCTTCTAAGCACTGGTATGTAGTGGTATGGACAGGATAGCTTCATAGCATAATACTGGGCACTGGGCAGTATAAGGAAATAGCCTTTATAGATTAATGCACTCACGTGGTCCAAACAAGTATACTGCCAGTCTAAATGGTAATAAAGTATCCAGGAGTCTCCCACAGGAAATGCAGTAAATCCTTTCATTGGTGCAAGAATGAATAAAACATACAAATAAAATGTGTAGATAGAATAGTAAAACACAAATTAATAATGCCCAAAATTGGAGAATAAAAATAACGTCCATATGTCCAATGACTTAACTAAGACGTGTTTTGCCCCTATGGAGGCTTCCTCAGTTGGTCTATTAGGGTTCACTCTGTTCATTCTTTATATTCTCGATCGTTCCACCGTGAGTCACTGCCTTCCAGCCTTTCTTTGGAACGCAGATTTCGTTCCACGTTTCAGAGGATGAGTGAGGCTTTATGGACTAAATTCCAGTCTGCACGTGGAAGTCAAAACATTTATAATTCACTTCTGCTGGTGAAATGGTTAATGAGATCCGTGCACGAACACAGTGACAACCTTGAGATAAAATGACTCTCCACCTAAAGAGACACACAAATATATCTCCAGGAAATCTTTTATTGATGTTAATTTACCGCTAACACCATTGTGACAATACAAGGGCCATTCTAGAAAACTACAATTATAAGTGTGAAAGATTCCATTCGTTCGAGTAAGTGGTATCGGCATATGAAGCCAATCCTACGGTTTTCCTTCCATAGTAGTGACTTATTAAAGGATCACTCCACACCCCACATGCACTTTTCAATTAGGAGTACCCTAGTCTAACCCCAGTTTATAAAAGTGCTGATTTCCCTGAGCTAAAGGAAGTGCCTGCCTTCCCCTCCCTCACAGACCTCAGACCAGCTCCTCTGCTCCAGATGTGCTCGAGTGCCCATGACCACCAAGTCAGAGACTTCTCATTGAGAAGCCTCTAATTGCTCATTTTTCTGTGAAGGCTGCCGTTCATGCATTTGCAAGCTCCTTTATGATATACCCCCAATGAATAAATGCATGAAAATGACAAGCATGTATGGTGTATACCTACTAAACATTGAAATGTTATTTTTGTACGAGATGGGGTGCTCCTTTCAGCTAATAGTTATAAACAAAGACAGTGAGCTTCCATAGAGGATATGATAGGGTTTAGACAGATAAATAATTGGACATTATTCTTAATGTCCTCCCCTCCCGATCGCTTCATAAATAGTTTTAAAAGAAGTATTACTTACCTGAAATGCAGGACCAGGCAATGCTTCTGGCAGTACTTTCCACAGCCCCTCCTTGTGTCACGCAGCTGCCATGCCGTCCAATCGTAAAGAAGTCTATGAGGGAGGGAGCCCAAAAAAATGAATGGGTGAAAATGGGAGGTAGGAGGGTAGCAGGCAGAGAGGGAGGAGGGGGACACATAAGACTCCCCTTGCAAGTATGATGTCTGTTGCCAGAATGCAGTGGGTACTGAAATTAGTTGTAAAATATGCACAGAATTTACATTGGGCAATGTCATGTGTGCCAGGATATGACTAACCCCTGACAAACAGGTGCAAATTACTGTGGATGTGCAGTGTTTTAAGCTTTAAAAGGCAGAAGTGGTCATGGTAGCTGGAGTAATCCTTTAAGGCATATTTAAACCGAGAGTGAATGGAGAGTGACTGTAAAGAGTCCTGACCGCTGTGTTCTCTCTACAGGAAACATGCCACCCATTCCACCAGTAACTCAACCCATCTGTTTAATTGAGAATGATGTTGGTAAGAAAATGCGAGTGAATCCAGAGGCTCAGAAGGTCCTGGAGAAGATCTCCCATCCATTGGTGGTGGTGTCCATCGTAGGACCTTATCGTTCCGGAAAGTCCTCTCTAATAAACATGTTAGCTGGAGATCAAAGAGGTGAGACCCCTGGACTTTCAGGCCCTTATACACATCTTAGACACAAATAACATCTAAATCTGATTATATTTTCTGTAAATTAAATAAATATTTTAGAGATATAATATATATATATATATGACATTATTTTCATTATTTCATTATAATTATTTATTAAGCGCCAACATAAACTGCAGAGCTGTACACTAGGTCCACAACAAGACACGTTTGGCTCACAGAACAATAGGTGGAGAACATCCTACTTAATTACCTTACAATCTAAAGGAAGAGGGGTAACAATACAGACCGTACACAATTACACTGCGATCTTAGCACATTATCTCTTTGTATTCCAAACTATTCCCCTGTGTTATACAAACCCCATATCAATACATATTATTTTAGGTGGTTTTCCTGTGGGCCATACAGTCGAGGCAAAGACTAGAGGAATCTGGATGCGATGCGTCCCTCACTCCGATCATACATTAATTTTATTGGACACGGAGGGTCTTGGTGATGTGATGAAGGTAAATAGAGAGCAGTTTATAAGTAAGTTAATTTTTTTTAGTGACAGTCTGATCCATATGGTTTCTTAGGGCAGCCAACACAATGACTTTGCTATCCTCTCGCTGGCCACGCTAATCAGCAGTGTAATGATCTACAACGAAAAGACCACAATCAACCAAGACGCCTTGGAGAAGTTATAGTATCCTTTGACACAATCGGACTATGATAAGGAATGCCATTCACAATATTTCAGTCAAATTTGTAACAACATATTGATTTTGTTCAAAATTTATATTTTCAGTTCAATTCAGGTTATAAAATGGCTCAGGGTCATTCATTCAGGTCTGAATACGTTTTGCAAAATTAAGTGATCTAACAATTATTATGGGAGTAGTCAGAGAGAAAACGCGACACATTTAGAGATTAGATGTTAATGTCTCGAGCTTTGTGCCTGGCTGACAACTGGGGCTGAATAAATGATCACATCCCCTCATTGCCTGAAGTCATGTTGTATATGAAATGTGTATATCTATCACTGTGTCGTTGTATCTGTGTGGGTGTGTGTATCAATCTGGGTGTAGGTATTTCTCATTTTACACATGTTTATATGTGTGTGTACTGTCTGTGTGTGTACTGTCTGTGTGTGTACTGTCTGTGTGTGTGTACTGTCTGTGTGTGTACTGTGTGTGTGTGTACTGTCTGTGTGTGTACTGTCTGTGTGTGTACTGTATGTGCCATGATTTAAAATCTGCCTCTCGGGGTTGGGCTCTGGAACCAAAAATAAAATAAACAAATAAAATTAAATGAGGGCCCACTGCACCATCTATTAACTTGTGTTTGCTGGAAATATATGTGCAGAGATGTCTAAAAATGTCCCATCCATTCACAAGATATTGGTTATTATTTCCTGACAGCCACACCAACAATATAAAGTAATACTTAAGGAACACTATGGCCACCTGAACAACTTTAGCTTAATGAAGCAGTTTTGGTGTATAGAACATGCCCCTGCAGCCTCACTGCTCAATCCTCTGCCATTTAGGAGTTAAATACCTTTGTTTATGAACCCTAGTCACACCTCCCTGCATGTAACTTACACAGCCTCCCTAAACACTTCCTGTAAAGTGAGATCTAATATTTATACTTCCTTTATTGCAAATAATATTTATGTTAGAATGTATTATCTCCTGCACTGCTAATAGATTGCTAGACCTTGCAGGAGCCTCATGTATGTGATTAAAGTTTAATTTACAGAGATACAAACTTTTTTTTCATTCAGACTGTGTGAGTCACAGCCAAGGGGGGTGTGGCTAGGGCTGCATAAACAGAAATAAAGTGATTTAATTCCTAAATGCTAGAGAATTGAGCAGTGAGACTGTAGGGACATGATCTATACACAAAATCTGCTGCATTAAGCTAAAATTGTTTTGGTGACTATAGTGTCCCCTCAAAGAACGTCAAAGAAAGACAAAGAATGTCCACTGAGCTTTACAGGGATTGTGAAATCTTGACATGCGCATAGTCGTCCTTTTTAGCCATAGATTGCTAACACCCCTTTTTACCCTACCCAGTAAGACACGGACACATATTAGTGTTGGATTTCATATCTCCAAAGCTTTAATAAAAATTCATAACATTCACAAATAAGGTTATTGTCAAACATCCCACAACAAACCCCTAAAATCCCCACCACCCCCCATTTACCCCTGACAATGACCCCACAATATACATCACCGTATAACCATAGACAGCCTAAGATCCAAACAGATCCGAGCCATAGGGGTATACTGAGAAGCCCCCACACCCCCATGTTCTGAGCCACTGACATATAATACAAGAAAAGGTCTGTGGGGCCAGTTAACAAAATGCCAGTTTTCACACAATAGCTGGGTTAAATATCCGCTAAAACCCATCCTCTCCCCTCCACCCTAATATGGCAGCCTCCTCAGATCTGTCAAGGCCCTATTCCATGGACAACATTCTGTTTCTCTGCCTAATGTGAGTCTCTGAATGAGTGTATGAGGCCCTGGGGAGATAGCGCAGCTAAGCGGACAAGGGCACATGTAGGAGTGTGGGGATAGATACAGGGGAGGGACTTGGGAAGTGTGCATGGGAGGGGTTAGGCTTAATGTAAGTTGGTGTGGGGGAGGTCTTACCTCAGTGCCACTTGGGATTCGGGCCAGCAAACAGCTTCTTGTCTTCCAGCTCCTGTTTGCCTGGGCCTGCAGATTGACACAGCTTGAGGGATGGATATTGAGGCGATCCTGTCGTCCCTCAGGGCTGCTGCTGCGCTGGATGGTGGCCGGCAACTAAGGGAGCAATTTCTGAGCATTACTGGAGGTATGGCTGTCGGTGTGGGCACCCCCCGTGGCCTACCCTCCCCTGGAGCACCCCCTGAGGGCTCCCCTGCTGCTCCCCCTGCGGTCCCTGTCCCTGGGGGCCGCACCAGCACTGGCAGGCGTTCTCGGCCGCCCGGCAGCGGTCCAGGTCCCCCCGCGGCCGGCGGGGGGGTAGGGCGGTGAGTGGGCCCTCGCGGGCCGCGCGGGGTACCGTGGTACCGCCGTTGGAGGTTAGGGGGGGGTGCCCTTGCCCATCGGGAGCCTCCTCTGACAGTGAGGAAGGCTCCCAGGGCTCAGTCTCCCCTGTCCCCCATCCTTCCCCTGTTTCCTCGGTTTCTTCTTCCAGGGGGCCCAGCTTAGCCTTGGCTGGGCCCCCTGCCTTTCCAGTGTCCTCTGCCCCCCCCCCTCTACTTGGTGGGTCTGCCCCTGCTCTCTCTGTCTTCCCCCCTCCCTCCGTTTTTTCTCCCCTTCTTCCTTTCTCCCCCTTGTCTTCCTCCTCTCTATTGTCCTTCCCCCCCTCTGCCTTGTCTGGGCCCCCTCCCCCCCCTTCAGGTCACTTACCTCGGCCATCTCCTCAGGGGCATGGGCTCACGTCTGATCTGCTGCTTTCTTCACAGGATACTGCTGCAGTTCATCAATCCGTCCAGCAGGTGGCGCCTGGAACACAGCTGATTTCTTCTGTGGCTGCTGGAAATGCTGATTCTTTACCTTCTGTGAGTGCAGCACCGGGCTTGGATCGCCAGTCTGCGACCGGTAAGTACTTTGTTCCCTCCGCTTCTGGCGCTGCGAGTCCCGGGTTGGGAGGGTTCCTCTCGGGTCTTAGGGGTTTTTTGGATCAGTGGGAGCGTGGGATGGCAGTTAGTGGGGGCGCTTCGGTGGACGGTCAACTCCGGTCGGCTTGGTCCCCGGCCCTGCTCCCTCCTAATATTCAGGCTTCTCCCCCTCCTGGGCCTCTGCTCGGGGTGGGTGGCGGTACGGTGCCCCTGGGTTCCCCGGCACCCGCGGTGGCCAGTGTTGGCGCCGCCTCGGTTGATGCTGGGCTCGAAGGGGGGGTTCCGGACGTAGCGCGGGGTGCTGCTTACATGTGCTGGTCTGGCCCTCTGTGCTTGCACTTGAAGCAGGAAACGAAGGAAAAAATTTGGAAAGGGGAATTTGTGGAGATATTTTCTCTCCTGCCGCTGGAGGAAGCTCCTCCCGTGGCGGACAAGGACAGTAAGGAGTCGGAGAAGGATAGGGAGAAGTACCGTTTCCGCAAAATTCCCAAGACCTTTGGGAACTGGATTCGGGCGTTCTCTGTTTTAGCCAGCGTGGTTGGGGAGAAGTTTCCCCACAGGTGCTCCGCGCTGTTCTGTTACCAGGACATGATCTGGAATGCTTGTCGCACCTATGGGGGGCTGGGTTGGTGGAGATACGATGAGCAGTTTCGGCAGCGAATGGCAGTGCGTCCCTCGCTGTCATGGGATCAGATGGATAACGGCCTCTGGCTTTCCATCATGACTCGCCCTGCCCCTCAACAGGGTGCATTTTCGTCCTTTCTTGGGGGGGCCGGTGGGGGCGCGCCTTCCTCCTCATCGGCCTCAGGTCCAAGGTCTGGCTGTTGTTGGAGGTTTAACGACAGTCACTGCAAATGGGGGTCTTCCTGCCGGTTTAAGCACGAGTGCTCCGGCTGCGGCGGAGCCCATTCCGCCGCTCGCTGTTTTAAGAGGGGTAAAACGGGTGAGAGAGGGGACATGGGAGCTAAGGGCAACGACTCCGGTTCTCATAAACGCGATGCGCCCGTGGCTCGACCTTTATAGGAATCGGGCCGCGGCGCGGATCCTGGTGGAGGGGTTTGAGCATGGGTTTTGGATCCCGTTCGCTGAACGCCCTCCGCTGCTCTCAGTACGCAACCTCAAGTCGGTGCAGGCTTTCCCTCAGGTGGTACGGGAAAAATTGGTTAAGGAGGTTTCAATGGGGAGGATGGCCGGCCCTTTCTCCTCCCCACCGATGGCTAATTTGCGGGTCTCTCCTTTGGGTGTGGTGCCTAAGAAGGATCCCGGGAAGTATCGTTTGATTCACCATTTGTCATACCCTCGAGGGGGTTGGGTGAATGACGACATTTCCGCTGAGCTTTGTAGGGTCTCCTATGCTTCCTTCGATGCAGCGGTTCGCATGGTTAGGGCGGCGGGCCCAGGGGCGTTGCTGGCTAAGGCGGATGTGGAATCCGCTTTCCGGCTGCTCCCGGTACATCCGGAGTGCCATCATCTTTTAGGGTGCACCTTTGAGGGTCAGTTTTTCGTGGACATGTGCCTCCCTATGGGCTGCTCGCTGTCCTGTTTCTATTTTGAGTGCTTTAGCACTTTTCTGGACTGGGTGGTGCGGAAGGAAGCCGGGGTCGCCTCCCTCCTGCACTACCTTGATGATTTCCTGTGTGTGGGTCCGGCGGGATCCCACGTCTGTGCCCTCCTGCTGCGGGTTCTCGGGGAAGTGTTTCAGCGCTTCGGGGTCCCGTTGGCTCACGACAAGACGGTGGGTCCGGTCACGTGTCTGAGCTTTCTGGGCATCGAAATTGATTCGATGGCTGGGGTATGTCGGCTGCCGCAGGATAAGGTGGTGGACCTGCGCCTGGCGGTGTCCCGGGCCCTGGGGCGGCGTAAGATACAGCTGCGCTGCCTGCAGTCTCTGCTCGGGAAGTTCAATTTTGCCTGTCGAATCCTGCCTATGGGGCGCATCTTTAATCGGCGCCTGGCGGCAGCGACGTCAGGGGTCGTTCACCCGCAGCATTTTATTCGGCTTACTCGGCCCTTGCGGGCTGACTTGGCCGTTTGGGATTCCTTTTTGGCCTCCTATAATGGCAGGTCCTACTGGCAGGCCCCGGAGGTTTCTAACGCAGACCTCCATTTGTTTACCGATGCGGCGGGCTCGGGTGGCATTGGGGCCATTCTGGGCACGAAATGGTGCGCTGACTCTTGGCCGGTGGCCTGGCAGGAAACGGGGCTCACTCGAAACTTGGCGTTTCTGGAGCTCTTTCCTATCGTGGTGGCTCTGGAGGTGTGGGGTCCCATGTTGGTGGACAGACGGGTGGTCTTCCATTGTGATAACCTAGGTGTGGTGCAGGCGATCAACCAGCTGTCTGCTTCCTCTCCCCCCGTGGTTCGCCTGCTGCGGCGCCTAGTTCTGCGCTGTCTAGAGCTGAATGTGTATTGTAGGGCGGTGCATATCCCGGGTGTTCGTAATGTGATGGCCGATGCTCTCTCTCGTTCACAGTGGGATGTGTTTCGGGCAGTGGCTCCGCAGGCCGAATTGGTGGGTGTCCCGTGTCCGACCGAGATGTGGTCCTTGGGTCTGACCGACTAATGGAGCTGGTCCGTGGGTCGGTGGCGGCGGCCACGTGGGACCGCTATAACAAGGTCTGGAGGGAATGGGACGGGTGGGAGAGGTCCAAAGGGGGTTTCGGGGACTCCTCCGCTCGCCTGCAGGGTTTGGTTCTTCTCTTTAGGGATTGGGAGGCTGCGGGGTTGTCTCCCTCGGCCGTTTCGGCACGCTTAGCGGGACTCAGCTTCCTGTTTAAGTTGCGGGGTTGGGACGACGCTACCAAAGCATTCCTCATACGGCAGGCGCTAAAAGGTTTGAGGAGGGGGCAGGTGTCTACACGAGACTCGAGGCGTCCTGTCTCGGGTACGCTCCTAACTGCTTTGTGTGAGGCGCTGCACAGGGTGTGCCATTCGGATTTTGAGGTTCGGCTTTTTCGCCTAGCCTTTTCCTTGGCATTCTTTGGGGCTATGCGGATTGGGGAGCTGGTGTGCCCCAGCCGGCGGCTAGTGGGGGGGGGTGCTGTTCGGGGATGTCTCATGTACCGCTGACCGGATCTCGTTCAGGATTCGCCGCTCTAAGACGGATGTCTTGGGGAGGGGTAAGTGGGTCCGATTGGGGTCCGTGCCGGGTTCCGGCATTTGTCCTGTTTGGTCCTTTGGGGAATATTGTGCTCTGCGCCCTTCCTCCGCGTTGCCACTACTGGTGCACGGGGATGGTAGTTTCCTTTCCCATTTCCAGTTTATTAGAGTTTTTCGTTTGGGGCTGGAGGCTGTGGGAGTGGATAGCAGGGAGTTTGGGGGCCATTCGTTCCGTATTGGGGCAGCTACTGAGGCCTCGAGGCTTGGCATGCCGGCGCAGGTAGTTCAAAGGATTGGTAGGTGGGACTCGAGACGTTATGTGTCCTATGTTCGTCCGACCGGTTTATTGACATGATTTCTCTCCACAGTTTCGTTTCCCCCCAGGATCTGGATCATCGGACACTCCTATGTTTACTGGGCTGGGCAGCGTGCGGAAGTGCGGCCTAGAGGTGAAAGGTTGGGTTTCACGCCTTCCGAAGCAGAGGTACGATGGCTCGGGGCACGGGGTATGAGGTGGTCCCGGCTCCTGCCCGAGTTGGCGCAGCTGTCCCATATCCTGGGGATGCCGAGTGTCCTGGTGATCCACCTGGGGGGCAATGATCTGGGCGTGGTGCCCATTTGGGATTTGATTTCGGCGGTGAAGCGGGACCTAGCCCGCATTCTGAATTTGTTCCCCGGGGTGCGCTTAGTGTGGTCTGAGGTCATTGCCCGTAACTACTGGCGTGGCGCCAGGAGCCAGAGTGCGATGGAGCGTTGCAGGCGCAAGTTAAACAGGCGGGTTTCCCAGTTTGTTTTGGGGGTTCGGGGGATCCCGGTCCGCCACAGGGTTTTTGAGCGGGAGGCGGCTCATTTTTTTCGGGGTGACGGGGTACACCTAACGGAGGTCGGGCTCGACCTTTTCAATCTCGCCCTTCAGGAAGCTGTGGAACAGGCCATGAGAGGTTTTGGTGGGGTTCCCCGCTGATTTAGGGGTAAAGCAGCGGGTCTGGTGGCGGGGGTATGTCCTTGCCAATCAAGTTTGAAGGGTTATGTCTAAGGATGGACTAAGTTTTTATGTTTTACAGGTCTCAACCTCCCCTGCTTAAAAGGTTAAACATTAGGTTGCCTGAGGTATCGTGCCCATCGAGCGTGGATAAGGTCGGCTGATGGCGGGCATTGGAAGGATTTTTTATGACGAGGGGGGAGGTGAGAGGAAGTGGTGATTAGGAACCACTGGATGTTTTATTGGCAAGGACGGTTGGGTTTCTGCATAGCACGTTTTGTTATTATATGTATATATGTTAATTTATGATTATTTATTTCTAACAGAAGAGTTTAATAAAAAAAGGTTATGGATGTGTTATGCAGTAATTTATTTATGTTATAATAAATGCTGTGGCCTGTTCATCCATACTAAGTTGTCTGTCGTTATTGGGGGGTTTTATTGGGGTTATATATGTTATGTGGTATCGTAATTCCCCACTACGTACATACATGAATTATGGCCTTTCTGACTGTGCTTATGAGTGTGTGCTTCTGTCAGTTATTGAATTTCTCTTTGTGTTTGTCTGTCACTGTGTGTCTGTATTTGTATATAGGTGTCTCTTAGTGTGTGCATATTATTATTATTATTACTGGCGTTTATAAAGCACCAACAAATTCCGTAGCGCTGTACAATTGGGAAAAAGACAAACACAATAATAACAGACCGATACAACAGGTAGAGGGCCCTGTCCGTGAGCTTACAATCTAAAGGTTAAACTGGGGAGATAAGACGAGAGGTAGCAGAGGGATTTGTAAGTGATGGCAGAGAGCATTAATAGTATAACTGCAGCAGCTGATAGCACGTAAAGGGAATGTGGAGGTGATCGGCTATGGTTCCAAACAGCTGGAGGTACATGCTATATAGTTAGAAGGAACCAGGGTGGGTGGGCAGAGCCAAGAAAAATTAAAAGGCCTTCTTGCAGGGATGTATGGTGACTTGGGGCTAAGGAAGAGAGATAAAATAGTTACTTAAAAGACATTTACAGCTGGGAGTGGGTGACGGGGGGGATGGATCAGGCTAGCCATTTGCTATAAACAAGTAAGTATTTGGCAACCAAAATGCTATCAGCCAGATTATTAATAACTACAGGTAACATCAAGTACAACATATTACAGCAGTAAACTATATGTATATGGTAGTATCATTATAATAAAGGAATAATCTAGTAACAAAATGAAAGAGATCTGGCTGAATATCTTCTCCATCTCAGTCCGTACCTTACCGCTGCAGTGATCGAAATTAAAGGGCCACTATAGTTCCAGGAAAACATACTCGTTTTATATTATACTATAGTGCCCTGAGGGTGCCCCCACCCTCAGGGTCCCCCTCCCGCCCGGCTCTGGAAGGGGGAAAGGGGTAAAACTTACCTTTTTCCAGCGCCGGGCGGAGAGCTCTCCTCCTCTTCTCCTCCCCGTTGGCTGTATGCGCACACGCGGCAAGAGCTGCGCGCACATTCAGCCGGTCACATAGGAAAGCATTATCAATGCTTTCCTATGGACGCTTGCGTGCTCTCACTGTGATTTTCACAGTGAGAATCACGCAAGCGCCTCTAGTGGCTGTCAATGAGACAGCTACTAGAGGATTAGGGGGAAGGTTTAACCTATTCATAAACATAGCAGTTTCTCTGAAACTGCTATGTTTATTAAAAAAATGGGTTAACCCTAGCTGGACCTGGCACCCAGACCACTTCATTAAGCTGAAGTGGTCTGGGTGCCTAGAGTGGTCCTTTAAAAGGCCTTGTTGCAGGGATGTATGGTGACTTGTGGCTTACAGCTGAAGTGATCAATATTAAAAGGCCTTCTAATATCTCATATCTTGGTGGGGCCTAAAGTGGGGTATTTGAATTATATTTCTATATTGCTGGTTGCTGTGATTCAAATAGAAAAAAAAAATGTAAAACAATTTTAGTATACACACACTGTGATTACTGGTTTATGTGTTAATGGAAGCAGTAATGACTGCTCAGTGCCTGTAATGTAATGGTATCTGCATTCAGCACTCACTAGTATAATGGAGGGATGGAAGGGGGCCTGAGGACAAGTTGGGAGAGATTGGCACAAGGGGGTGCGTTTAGCTGTGTATGCGTGTCCAAAGAGACAATGTCAGTGTAACGCAGAAACATATACATATAGACAGAATGAGTATCTATGGGACAATATATACTGGGAATATCTGGGACCAACGTGAGAGGATTATTGGAATATGTGGGAGAAGTGGCAGTTTTTCTATTCAGAAACATTATTTGGTTACAATGCTATTTTCTTATCTGTAACTTCATTATTCGGTAAGTACTTTGTCTTTTTTTTTATTTTTTCCTGTCCAGTAAATATATATATATTGTTTTTCATTAAATAATGCAATATCTACACATAATGAAACAAAAAATACATTTTAACATCACGTTCCAGGACACACATAATACTCAGATTGCAGAGGTGTGATTTTTAGAAACTGCTTGGTAGCGAAGGGGCTAAAGATTCTGATTTATAAAGCATGCAGTGTATCAGCCATTTCTTGAAGTGTAACATCTACATTTTCTGTAACAAAAGACAAACATGTTTCTCCTACACAGAGAGAATTACTGACATTCGCAGAGTAAGTTAGAGATGAACTTGGTGATACATAGTTTTTCTTAATTAAAATGATAGTAAAATGTCTGAACAGAGTGAGTGGATCCTGGACAGAATTTCTCGGGAAGATGGAGATGTGGGGGGCTGGGAGGAGAGCCCCCTCTTTATCTGGGTCGTGTGAGATTTTACCCTCAAGTTAGAGCTCGGTGCTGGACCAATCACTGAAGATGAATACCTGGAGAATAGCTTAAAGGACATCACTCGTATGTAGCAGTAATTATTACATGTGTGACATAACTATAAATCCTCTGTGCCAATACTTGGAACCTTTCCTGACTCATTCAGGTCATAGTTTAACACAGATGGACAGACAATTGCACGTTGGGGGTCTTGACAGATAGCAGGCTAGCAGAATAGGCTAGTACTTGCCAAGCTAAATAAATCCCATAGAGAACAGAAACTCTCATTAAATAACTGTGTAGACAGCATACTAATTTTAGAAATAAAAAATTAAAAAACTTTACTAACTTGTCAACTTCCATCTCCAGTAAACGTAAAATGAAATGTGTCTTTTACTGAATTCTGATAATTACAGACAAATTAATGTAGGAAAATGATAAAGAATTAAATAATATGAATCTTAATGTTTTTAATTTTGAGATTCCCTACATGTACAAACTGTGTCTTTCTGACGCAAAACAGCAGAAAAATCTCCAAACACGCAGTATAAGAACGAGATCAGACGGGCTCTCAGGGCTATGTTCCCTGTTCGTAAATGTTTCCAGTTTGGGGTTCCCACCTCGAGCACACCGTCCATGGAGGATGAGGGTAACCAACAGGAAGACTTTGTGAGGAAGAGTAAGGAACTCAGTCGATACATCCATGAAAATGCCAAGGTGAAAACATTGCAAGGAGGACAACCCATGACAGGACCCCGTGAGTATCTAGACTATGTCTTATATTATAGACTGGCATGTGATATAAAATTGATAATATATTGGTGGATAATACAGCATATATTTGTATAGCAAGTTGTTTTGTGGTTGTCCTTGCGATGTATGTAATTTTGTTGCCCAGATACCTACTGTGGAGGCTGGCCATTTCGTCTCTTGGGTGCTGCGGCTCTGGAATCACTGAAATGTCAGTATTTTGGTAAAGAGGGTGGTATTTTGAATATATAATGGGCACTTGGTAAATGAGCCATCAATCAAATGGAAAATGCAATAAAAAACAATAATGCAATCTCTCAATTATGTTTCATGCAAACATTTTAGGTTACAGTCATTAATATAGAGTAGATGGCCTTCTCACATCTATTCATTCTCCAAGGAGGTAAATCCCAAAAAGCAATGTTGTCACTTGTCGGTGGACCATGGTTTAACATGAAAATGATGACTTGCATGATATATTTTACCCACCTGCTGTCTCCTTCTCCCATCTTCATGTGTCCATGGTAAATTTGAATCAAGTTTTCAAGGAATCAAATGGCAGCCTCAGCATCGCCCAGCCTCAACAGTCACCTTCTTAGTCAACAGCAATTGTGAATACTGTTACTTGTGACATATCTTAACATTTCACCTCATTTTGTCTTTTTTTTACATCATATTTGAACATCTCAGCATGACAGGACCCCTGCAATGTCATGGCTGGTTACCCTTAGATTAACAGCTCTAGATTTTCCCATTAATTGCATTTTTTTCACCTACAGATAAATAATCTACCAAGAAATGATTCACTCATCTCATTAATCTAAAGGTACACTCCAGACACAAGCCAGGAGTTTCCTCTTTGAGTATAGATACTCTGTGTAATCTATGTTGAACCCAGGGGGATGTTCCCAGGTTTTTGAGGTACATGAATTCCAGTGGACCTACATCAATTTCTCCAGTTTCTCCATGGCCCAGAGTCAGACTAGTTTCTCCTCCCTTTTGAGAATAAGAGCTGGGAGAAAACCTCCTGGACTTCTTTTTACACTTTAAGTGCTGGTGTCATGGTATTAGTTAAATAAATTTTCCTATTTCGATGTAAAATATACCGAGTCAGAGAACTAACATACTTTTAACATTTGTTTATATGTTTATTATTATTATGTCCACATTATGTTTCAGTTCTGGGAAAACTGATCCCGACATATATTGATGTTGTAAGCAGACATCATTTCTCCATTCTGGTGGATCAGATAAGTCACATCTCAGTGGAACACAATGAACAGATCATTGCATCAGCTACCAAACTGTATGAAGATAAGATGGGATCAAAATGTATCAACACCGAAAGGGAATTTCAAGACTTGCATGATGCTTGCATGGACGAGGCTATGCTTTACTTTCAGGGTCGTTATTTTAAGGATCCTAATGAGGAAAGGACTAAATCTGAGGACAAACTGAAGGTAGCCTCTTAATCTCCCGTAGGCAGACCCAATCTTAGAATATCTTAAAGGAGAAAATTAGAGTTCTCATTCTAAAATTATAATTTTAGTCATTAAATACTCTACACAGTGTGTGCTCCACCAGTCCTCAAATCACACCAAGTGTCCAGGATTTAGGTATTTCCAACTTCTGTTCCAGTGGGGTTACTGACAAAACCAGGACCGTTTGTGTGCCTTGAGGACCACTGCCCTATCATCAGCAATGGTTGCTGACCTTCAGAAGATTGATCCTATGGCCCCTTTAACTCTCATTCTTTATGATAAAATGTATTCTAAGAGTTTATTCCAAAAGATTCCTGAACACACAATATTACAAAAAGACTGCTGAACAGAATTACATATTTCCTATGAGATGCCTATTTATAAAGTAAACTTCAAACTTTGTTTGCCTTTTAACACTTTGTGGAGAAGTATAAAAGGTATTTCTGTGACAAGACTGACTTGTGTAGATAATTAGGTGATCTGCTGGAATAGAAGAGAGACTAACATGGGGTAACACTTATTTATTAGTTGTGAATGGCTATGATGACCAGTAAGACAGAATATTAGAAAGATGTGTGAAAGCAGACAGGATAACATTTGTTTTGTTGGATCAATGTATCATATAGTCCTTCTGCAGAATTATACAACATTGTTTTATGTGATGAACATCTTGTTTCATTGAACATGTAATAATTTACTGATGGACAATGGCATGGTTATCTTGGGAGGGCCAGCTCATTTCTAGAGCTTCTGAATCAAGGACAGGTCATCATTGTTCGCTTTATTCTTGGTAGACCACCTTGATGAAGAAGAAAGATGATGTGTGGAAGATGTGGAAGGATTCCTCGGAGAAGACTTGTAAAGACCTCATCCAACGTTTGTCCAAGTCACTGAAAGTGAAGCCAGATCAGCAACATTACCATGCTGCTGGGGGGCACCAGAAATTTACCCGGGACAAGATTAGATTAGTGTCGGAATATAACAAGGAGGCTAAAAAAGGTGTAATGGTAAGGGTGACATTTATTTATTTATTTATAAAATATTTTACCAGATTTCTCTCGTTTTCAAGTATGTCCTGGGTCCACAAATTTATTAATGGAATACTCTAAATATATAGAGTACCTCCGCATGTTGAATCACGTTTCATCTTCTTATTTCATAAAAGTATCAATTTCAAGAGAATTCACCATCGAGGCGGAGGCCGAATTGTCCAGAGCTGCATTATGATTGTGGACTCATGCACTATCAGTCTCAGCCAGTGCAGCACATTACACGTCCTCCAAACTGCATGTTTACTGGAACAATAAAAAGCATTCCAGCCCTGGAATAATCTGCGACATGATATTTTATTTGCTTTACAAGGCAATGGAAAACTTACTAAGCCTTACTTACCTTCACCTATGTTCACACTCTAGGCATCACACATTGGAGAAACACTTTTCTCTGCTGGGACTCCATTCAGTCCCTCTGCTTTGTGCAGAGATATTGTGAAAGCTGGTCTCTTGGAAAAAAAGAGACAGACGAGGATCTCCTTATTGTAACACATGTATTATCAGAATATTTTATTTCATTTTGTCACATGAAGTGTTTGCCTCAAATATAGTAAATTAATAATTCAGGAAAATGACAGTAAATTTAGTAATAGCTAGTCTAGATTTTGCAAGAGAATTTTAAAAAGCATGTAAAAAATCACAGAATTGCCCCACATTTTCCCCACATTAAATGCCATCCAGGAGAAACACCTTATCAGGATAGTTACAATAAAACCACAGCTATTCACCAAACATCGAACTGTAAGAAATTCAAAGGGAATTTTAAAATATTAGGTGAACAAACCTGAACTGTAACATCCAATTCAGCCAAATTCACAGTTACACTATTTTCTCCTAAAAAGTTAAAATTCACATTCCGTTTATGTAAAACCCTGACTGTCAAACCTGGGAGCAGACTAACACATGGGGCTGGTTAAACTTTGACAAACAAAATCCCTTTTAAAGGGACACCTGGGCAATATAACCTGCTTTATGGTTAACTGACTGCCCCATTGTCCCATTCAAAATTGCAGATATGAAGTAACAGCTTCCATAGGGAAGATTTGTCTTATTTTATATGGGGGGTGCCTGGCACCTTCATGGGTAAAGGAACACTGCAGACATTAAAAGTGAAACGGACCGTTTTGCACACAAGGGGTAAAAACCGTTTAGGCGATCGGCCCCCTTTCCAGAGATACAGGCACAGCTACTGCAGAACACCAAACTCCCGGACTGGATACAAAATAGCACTCCAACTCCCGAACTGGAACCTCCCAAATAGCTGCTAGCAGACGAACAGGAAAAGCAGACAATCAGCTTACACTCCTGGCAATCAGTCTCTAACAGCATACAGTGAATCCCCCCAAGAACGAGACAAGGCTCCGTGTTGAGGGTCAAGCAGTGGTCTGAGGTGCTGGCACACCCAGCCTGGTTTTTATTACAGTCTTGCAAATACAGGACCGCCCACAGGGAGGTATAAAATATCCAGTAACATATTAGTTACAACCCACAGATTCCCTCCCCCTTATCCTCAGAGGTAACCCAATACACATACCTTTTACCACAATGCATCCTGGCTTCCTCTCCTCTGCCCTGGAGATAAGTGAGAAGTAATTCAATTATCTCCCAGGACAGGGACAAGACTCCATTATGCACATGGTGACACAAAGACAGTAAAACACTTTAAAATACATAAAGTCACATTTGTTACATAACACACAGACATTTAACATATCCCCAGATAGCTCAGGTCTGAGCGCACATTATTAAGCGAATGGTGCTCAGACCACACGAATACAGTTTAATCGCCATGGAGCCAAAGTCTTTACAGTCAGTTTCATACGAATGGGCTCCATGGGATTCCTATCTGGGGTATAACACATTCAAACAAATCTACCGAACCCCAGGCAGAAAAGCACGAATGAAGCTTTTCTGCAGGTAAAAAAGATGTCTTTTAACAGGGAGCCATAGTCCAAAGGCAGCAGGCGAGCAACCAGGCTTCTCCAATGCAATGTGGCGAGATTGGTCTCGTCACAAAAAGCAAACCTTGTTCTTAGAGTTGTAGTGTTCCTTTAAAATAATTTATAAAATGCTCCGTCTTACAGCTCTGGCAAGATCCATCTCATTTCCTCCCACGGCTAGAATTAGCAATGTTACAAAGCTCGTGACTTTTTGCTGTATATATTTGTGGCAATTGTTTTTTACTCACTTTTAGAAAAAAGGCAAATTAAATGTTCATCTTAGTAATTAGTAACTGAGTGATCAGAAAGTTATTTTAAAACATTTTATGTTTTAAGCATTTTAAAGGACACGTTGGGTACATTTGCCCAACATTTTTTGTTTGGTCCAGAAATCCAGTCCTGGGGATTTTATATTTAACACTTTGGGTGGAAAAATCTCAAATTTAACTCTGCGGGAGCAGTTTTTATTAATTAGTTTCTTCATTTTCTGTCCCCCGAAAGGCAGAGCACGTTCTCCAGGATTATTTGAAGGAAATTGAACCATTGGAAGACATTATTAAACAGACCGAGAAAAAGTTATCAGGTGATTTTTTTTTTTTTTTTATCTTTATCCTTTTTCATAAATATATAAACAGTGTGTCTTTGTATACATAAAACGTAACAATGTAAAATATTTTGTTCTGGCTGATATCTGAAATCTTCTTTTAGATTACTTTTATACAAATGTTGCAGTGAATTTTACTTTATTTACATTATTATTTATATTTATTCTATGAGAGCAGCGATCAGAGATCAGTAAATATTAACAGGAGGAATAGTTTTTACAGTTTCCGAGGAAACATCCTAAAATATGTGAAAATGGCTTAATGCAGCATGCATAGGCGTGCGCAGCCTATTGTATAAGGGTGTGCACCCTAAAGCAGAAACACACACGCCTTGTGCTGTGTGTGTGTGTGTAGGCGCTGTGTGTGTGTGCGGGTGCTGTGTGTGTGTTCGAGTGCTGTGTGTGTGTGGGCGCTGTGTGTGGGAAGGTTCTGTGTGTGCGTGTGTATGTGTAAGGGTGCTGCTAGTGTGTGTGTGTGAGGGTGCTGTGTGTGTAAGGGTGTTGTTAGTGTGAGGGTGCTGTTAGTGTGTGTGTGTGTGTGTAAGGGTGTTGTTAGTGTGTGCTGTGTGTGTGTATGTGTCAGGGTGCTGTGTGTGTAAGGGTGTTGTTAGTGTGAGGGTGCTGTTGGTGTGTGTGTGTGTTTGTAAGGGTGTTGTAAGTGTGTGCTGTGTGTGTGTGTGAGGGTGTTGTGTGTAAGGGTGCTGTTAGTGTGTGCTGTGTGTAAGGGTGTTGTTAGTGTGAGGGTGCTGTTAGTGTGTGTGTGTGTGCTGTGTGTGTAAAGGTGATGTATGTGTGTGTGCTGTATGTTTGTGTGTAATGTGTGGGGTGTGGGGGCCATTTAGTTAATATCCCCCCTCCCTTCTTACCTTATGCAGGGAGGGGGGATCCTTTATGCCATCCCTGGTGGTCCTGTGGTGAGTGAACTCTAGCCTGTGGGGCTAGAGTTCACTCTCGCGAGATCTGAGCATTGCCGCGGTGACCGTGGCAACGCTCCGACCTCGCGAGAGGAACCCGGGGGAGCTGCTGGCAAGAGCTCCCCGGGTCCTCTCCTGCCTCCCTCCCTGCCTGTGGGTTGGTGAGGGAGATCTGTGATCTCCCTCACCTGCCCACGGAGGGAGGCACATAGTGCGTGCCGCGGGGGTTAGTGTGTGCTTAGGTAGCATGTAATATTATATCGTGGTTTTATACCGAGAAGTGAGCTGGTTAGTTGTCTGATGTTTATCTATACCAGTAGTGCATGTAGCATGTTAATAATTTACCCTATTCATTGTGACTTCTTCCAGAGTCAGGCACCGTAACTCAAATAACATCTTATCTCAATAGTGCTTAGCTCCATATTGCCATAAGTCTTGATCATCCATGCCCAGTATTTCCGTCATTTACCATTCAGTATAAATAACTGCAGATCGCCAAATAAGTGGGTGGAGTGGGCAAATAAAAGCTGGATTGTGAGCTTTTTCCTCTTGGCAGCATTCATTTTAAACAATAAAGAGATGTAAAGTCCACAATGAAAGACAAAACATTAAGGGAAGAACATTAAATGAAAAGTGTTGGACAATAAAGAGGACTTTATACCTATTTCCCCGTTCTGCAGCCCAAGAAGACATCCAGCATGGCAGTGTGTGACAACCTACCAGTTGGTTTGCTTGGAGAGGAACTCTATTGCAGTGGAACAGCAATCCCTTGCAAACACGACCTTCCCAGGTGCCTGTGAGTGATACAGGAACCTGGGAGATCTATGAGGGCATGGGAAGCCATTAAACCAGAAAGGTGAAGGCAGGAAACAAAGTCAGGCGGTCCAACAGTCAGAACTGGCAGCAAGGGAGTGTAGTCAAGAATCAAACTGAAGGTCATGAGCTGCGAAATCCACATATTGTAGCAGGAAACTAGATGTCAAAGGTCAGAGACAAGAGAACTTGGTAAACTTGGTCAGGCCATCTTGGCCACATCACAGCTCCTCCCACCAGTGGGGAGCACAGTTGGGGAAGCAGCCCTTTAGGACCTTCTACCAGGAAGTTGCAGGCACGCTGGAGCAGGCAAGTGCATGTGGGCAATGTGACAGTGTCAGAGGGTTCCAGATACACAACCACCCACTCAGTGGTGTATCCTGGTTTTGTGCTGCCCTAGGCAGGACAAAACTCAGGCACCCCCCCATGCTACCCCCACCCGCGCAACCGCCACCCAACCCTTCCCCCCTGCTACGCCTTCTAAATACAAACACACACATTCACTGACAGATACGCATTCACTAGCTAACAGAAACACACACTCACTAACAGACACACACTCACTCACAGGCAAACACACACACACACACTAACAGGCAAACACACACACACACACACTAACAGACACACACACACACACACACACACATTAACAGACACACACACTAACAGACAGACACACACACACACTAACAGACAGACACACACTAACAGACAGACACACACTAACAGACACACACTAACACTAACAGACACACACACACTAACACTAACAGTCACACACACTAACAGACACACACTCTAACATACACACACTCTAACATACACACTCTAACATACACACACTCTAACATACACACATACTAACAGACACACACACTCACTTGTGTTTTTTTTTTTTATTTAACCCCCCCAGCCTCCTTACCTTTGGGAATGCTGGGGGGGTTCTTCCTCTCTCTGGGGTCCAGTGGCTGCCGGTCGGGCTGGGCGGGTGGGCGGGCTGCGAGGGAGCTCTTCCCCTGAGCGCTCTGCTCAGCTCCCTCTCGTGCCGCCAGCAGAGTGAGGCTGGGAGCCGGAAGATGACGTCATATTCCGGCTCCCAGCCTCACTCTGCGGCGCGCGAGGGAGCTGAGCAGAGCGCTCAGGGGAATAGCTCCCTCGCAGCCTGCCCGCCAGGCATGTCTGTTAGCCGCGAGGCTAACAAGGCATTTGCCCTGGGCATTTGGGGGCGGCTTTTTTGCCGCCCCCTGAAAAATGCCGCCTAAGGCAAATGCCTTGTTTGCCTCGCGGCTAATACGCCCCTGCACCCACTTTCTAAATATGTAAAATCCAATCTATAAGCTGCAGTTCCAGACAACCTCACATCAATATGAGTCAATCTTCCACCCCTAAAGGAACACGTCCTTATAATATACATTCTTCCTATCTCTATAGCAACTAGGTAACAATATACCAGTTCAATGTATATTATAGCCAAAATAAACTCACAAAGAAAAATAAAGTATTATAGTTGCACAAGACTCAAGCCTTAAATGGACACTATAGTCACCAGAACAACTCCAGCTTATTGAATTTGTTCTGGTGAGTATAATAATCCCCTTCAGCCTTTCTTGCAGAGAAAATGCAGTGTTTACATTACAGCCTAGAGATACCTCCACTGGCCACTCCTCGCATGGCTACTTCCTGGGGCAGTGCTGCACAGTGTGACTGACATTCAGGGTCTCCATCCTCTGCATGGAGGCACTGAACTTTCCTCATAGAGATGCATTGATTCAATGTATGTCTATGAGGAGATGATTATTGGTCAGGGCTGTGTTTGGCTTGTGCTGGCTCTGCCTCTGATCTGCCTCATTGACAGTCTCAGCCAATCCTATGGAAAGCATTGTGATTGGCTCAGAGAATAATTTTTGATGATGTCAGCCAAGCAGGCAGATATGGGGTAGAGGCCGCAGCTGCAGACTGGAATAAAGGTAAGATTTTACTGTATTTAGCGGGACAAGTAGGGCCAGGAGGGCTAGATGGTGGTTTTAACACTATAGGGTCAAGAATACATATTTGTGTTCCTGACCCTTTAGTGTTCCTTTAAAAAACACATCTGAAGCTTCATGGGTACCACAGTTCCCAAACTCTATAACATCACAGATTACAAATGGCATAACCCCTAACTCCCACGCTATAGAATACCTCAGGTCTCTAACTCTAGAACATCACAACTCTATACCTCTAGAAAACAACAGCTCTCTAAATGTAAAACACCACAGCTAGCTAAAGGTAGAACACAACTGCTCTCTAACTCTAGAACACCACAGCTAGCTAAAGGTAGAACACAACTGCTTTAGAACTCTACTCTAGAGCACCACAGCTATCTAACTCTAGAGCACCACAGCTCTCTAACTCTAGAGCACCACAGCTATCTAAAGGTATAACACCACCATGTCTCTTTGACTCTACAACTCCACAGCTAACTAGATCTAGGACACCACAGCTTACTAACCTAAACCAACATGGTAAGGCGCATTGCTGCTGTTGGAGCACATTATGACTTAGTTTCACTTCTTTGTTGGCAGAAAACGGATGGAAAAAGGAAGTGATTAGTTGGACTGTGGTGCTTATTTATTTTGGGGTATTGGCCAATGTATTGCCTAGTTAGGAATCCTTTATGTAGGAGAATTGGCTAGATTCCCTCCCCCCCTAGCTTAGGAGCTTTCTAGTTCCTTCTGGTATTGTAGCAGCACTTTGTAAGTGAGACAGAGTTGGACAGTCTCGATATCTGTGTTATTCTAATTCATTTCTGCTAGGACGTCACCTGAAGAGCGGTCTCTTTAATCGGTATAATTAATCTGAACTTGCAACAACAGACATTTTGAAACTTGAAAAAAATGTGCCTTTCGTGCACATATACGTTTGCACTGCACATGTTGGTGATGTTTGAAAAAAACAATAAAAAAACAATAAAAAAAAATTCTGTGTTTTTGTTCCCCTTATCTATCTTACACATGTATCGATTTTTTTAATTGGTGCAACTATTGAGACCCCTCCTTTTAATGTATATATTTTTTCAATAAAATGATTTGCTACTTTTCTTATTATCTATGGGGGTTTATTTGTGTCTTGTATGCCTTTTTTTTTGTGGCATTTTAGACATTAGTTATTTACAATGTTTTTTTTAAAACTCTAGAACGCGACTGCCGTCTGAATTCAGAATGTTGCTCTATCCATCCAGAACATTGTAACTCTCCAAATTCAGCCCAATGCAAACTCCCAGTTATAAACCTGCAAAACCGAGACTGATGGTGGAATTACAGTGTCCTGATTTGATTGTCTGACTATGTATTTATTATCATTTATATAGCACCAGCAAATTCCGTAGCGCTGTACAACAGTATCCAGACAATGACAGCAGAGAAAGTGTTCTTCTTGGGCTGATGGTAGTTTCCAGTCATTTGGATGTACAGCATGGTCTAACATTTAGCAAACTGAGTCTTTTAATTTCAGTCTCTTTCTGGTTTCAGAGAAAAAGGACCAGAAATATAAAGTGGATAATATGACTGACACCAGCCAGCTCTCCAGATATATCAGTAATTACCGGCTGGAGATCAGGAAATATGACCGCATTCTCATACAAATGATGGGCTTTGTTGGTCATGGAAAGTCATCGTTTGTCAATTCCTGTTTATACGCAATGAGTAGTAAGGGCTTCCAGGACTTGGCTGGAGAAGGTAGAACTAATGAGGCTGAAACAATGATTAGAAAGGCTTACCCGCTGACAGAGACCATCGTTCTCGTGGACAACCCAGGCTTCACCAAGCTGGATTCCAGTGAAATTTGTGCTCAGCTCAGTAGGTTCCCAGTTTGAAGAATTCTGATTGTAAAATAGTTATTATATTTTTTTCCCAGTTACATAATGACACAAAATAGCACGAATGAACATAATACAGGGAATGAAATATTTATATTATTAGTAACTGTCTGTTACTTTACATTATTTTCTGTTAGACTTATATATTTACTTATATTTCTGTTTAATACATATACTATTAATTGTTGCTATTATTATATTTATCACAATAGTGACATACATTTTATATCTAAAAATTTTGTGTATTTTCAGGTAACTGCGCGGGATTGAGCAAAGACGTGGTTTGGGGTGTAAATGAAGGATTGAAGCCAATGACTGAACGAAAGGATTACAAACCTGACATTATAGTGCCAGTCCTTATACACAGGTAACAGTCATATAATATATAATAAATAATGTCAGTCCTTATACACAGGTAACAGTCATATAATATATAATAAATAATGCCAGTCCTTATACACAGGTAACAGTCCTATAATATATAATAAAATAATGCCAGTCCGTATACACAGGTAACAGTCATGTAATATATAATAAATAATGCCAGTCCTTATACACAGGTAACAGTCATATAATATATAATAAATAATGCCAGTCCTTATACACAGGTAACAGTCCTATAATATATAATAAAATAATGCCAGTCCTTATACACAGGTAACAGTCATATAATATGTAATAAAATAATGCCAGTCCTTATACACAGGTAACAGTCCTATAATATATAATAAATAATGCCAGTCCTTATACACAGGTAACAGTCATATAATATATAATAAATTAATGTCAGTCCTTATACACAGGTAACAGTCATATAATATGTAATAAAATAATGCCAGTCCTTATACACGGGTAACAGTCATATAATATGTAATAAAATAATGCCAGTCCTTATACACAGGTAACAGTCCTATAATATATAATAAAATAATGCCAGTCCTTATACACAGGTAACAGTCCTATAATATATAATAAATAATGCCAGTCCTTATACACAGGTAACAGTCCTATAATATATAATAAATAATGCCAGTCCTTATACACAGGTAACAGTCATATAATATATAATAATAATGCAGTCCTTATACACAGGTAACAGTCATATAATATATAATAAATAATGCCAGTCCTTATACACAGGTAACAGTCCTATAATATATAATAAATAATGCCAGTCCTTATACACAGGTAACAGTCATATAATATATAATAAATAATGCCAGTCCTTATACACAGGTAACAGTCATATAATATATAATAAAATAATGCCAGTCCGTATACACAGGTAACAGTCCTATAATATATAATAAATAATGCCAGTCCTTATACACAGGTAACAGGCCTATAATATATAATAAATAATGCCAGTCCTTATACACAGGTAACAGTCATATAATATATAATAAATAATGCCAGTCCTTATACACAGGTAACAGTCCTATAATATATAATAAATAATGCCAGTCCATATACACAGGTAACAGTCATATAATATATAATAAATGATGCCAGTCCTTATACACAGGTAACAGTCATATAATATATAATAAAATAATGCCAGTCCTTATACACAGGTAACAGTCCTATAATATATAATAAATAATGCCAGTCCTTATACACAGGTAACAGTCATATAATATATAATAAATAATGCCAGTCCTTATACACAGGTAACAGTCATATAATATATAATAAATAATGCCAGTCCTTATACACAGGTAACAGTCATATAATATATAATAAAATAATGCCAGTCCTTATACACAGGTAACAGTCCTATAATATATAATAAATAATGCCAGTCCTTATACACAGGTAACAGTCATATAATATATAATAAATAATGCCAGTCCTTATACACAGGTAACAGTCATATAATATATAATAAATAATGCCAGTCCTTATACACAGGTAACAGTCCTATAATATATAATAAATAATGTCAGTCCTTATACACAGGTAACAGTCCTATAATATATAATAAAATAATGCCAGTCCTTATACACAGGTAACAGTCATATAATATATAATAAATAATGCCAGTCCTTATACACAGGTAACAGTCATATAATATATAATAAATAATGCCAGTCCTTATACACAGGTAACAGTCCTATAATATATAATAAAATAATGCCAGTCCTTATACACAGGTAACAGTCATATAATATGTAATAAAATAATGCCAGTCCTTATACACAGGTAACAGTCCTATAATATATAATAAATAATGCCAGTCCTTATACACAGGTAACAGTCATATAATATATAATAAATTAATGTCAGTCCTTATACACAGGTAACAGTCATATAATATGTAATAAAATAATGCCAGTCCTTATACACGGGTAACAGTCATATAATATGTAATAAAATAATGCCAGTCCTTATACACAGGTAACAGTCCTATAATATATAATAAAATAATGCCAGTCCTTATACACAGGTAACAGTCATATAATATATAATAAATAATGCCAGTCCTTATACACAGGTAACAGTCCTATAATATATAATAATAATAATGCCAGTCCTTATACACAGGTAACAGTCATATAATATATAATAAATAATGCCAGTCCGTATACACAGGTAACAGTCATATAATATATAATAAATAATGCCAGTCCTTATACACAGGTAACAGTCCTATAATATATAATAAATAATGCCAGTCCTTATACACAGGTAACAGTCCTATAATATATAATAAATAATGCCAGTCCTTATACACAGGTAACAGTCATATAATATATAATAAAATAATGCCAGTCCTTATACACAGGTAACAGTCCTATAATATATAATAAATAATGCCAGTCCTTATACACAGGTAACAGTCATATAATATATAATAAATTAATGTCAGTCCTTATACACGGGTAACAGTCATATAATATGTAATAAAATAATGCCAGTCCTTATACACGGGTAACAGTCATATAATATGTAATAAAATAATGCCAGTCCTTATACACAGGTAACAGTCCTATAATATATAATAAAATAATGCCAGTCCTTATACACAGGTAACAGTCCTATAATATATAATAAATAATGCCAGTCCTTATACACAGGTAACAGTCCTATAATATATAATAAATAATGCCAGTCCTTATACACAGGTAACAGTCATATAATATATAATAAAATAATGCCAGTCCTTATACACAGGTAACAGTCATATAATATATAATAAATAATGCCAGTCCTTATACACAGGTAACAGTCCTATAATATATAATAAATAATGCCAGTCCTTATACACAGGTAACAGTCATATAATATATAATAAATAATGCCAGTCCTTATACACAGGTAACAGTCCTATAATATATAATAAAATAATGCCAGTCCTTATACACAGGTAACAGTCCTATAATATATAATAAATAATGCCAGTCCTTATACACAGGTAACAGTCCTATAATATATAATAAATAATGCCAGTCCTTATACACAGGTAACAGTCCTATAATATATAATAAATAATGCCAGTCCTTATACACAGGTAACAGTCATATAATATATAATAAATAATGCCAGTCCTTATACACAGGTAACAGTCATATAATATATAATAAATAATGCCAGTCCTTATACACAGGTAACAGTCCTATAATATATAATAAATAATGTCAGTCCATATACACAGGTAACAGTCCTATAATATATAATAAATAATGCCAGTCCTTATACACAGGTAACAGTCATATAATATATAATAATATAATGCCAGTCCTTATACACAGGTAACAGTCATATAATATATAATAAATAATGCCAGTCCTTATACACAGGTAACAGTCATATAATATGTAATAAAATAATGCCAGTCCTTATACACAGGTAACAGTCCTATAATATATAATAAATAATGCCAGTCCTTATACACAGGTAACAGTCATATAATATATAATAAAATAATGTCAGTCCTTATACACAGGTAACAGTCATATAATAATAATAAATAATGCCAGTCCTTATACACAGGTAACAGTCATATAATATATAATAATATAATGCCAGTCCTTATACACAGGTAACAGTCATATAATATATAATAAATAATGCCAGTCCTTATACACAGGTAACAGTCATATAATATGTAATAAAATAATGCCAGTCCTTATACACAGGTAACAGTCCTATAATATATAATAAATAATGCCAGTCCTTATACACAGGTAACAGTCATATAATATATAATAAAATAATGTCAGTCCTTATACACAGGTAACAGTCATATAATATATAATAAATAATGCCAGTCCTTATACACAGGTAACAGTCCTATAATATATAATAAATAATGCCAGTCCTTATACACAGGTAACAGTCATATAATATATAATAAATAATGCCAGTCCTTATACACAGGTAACAGTCCTATAATATATAATAAATAATGTCAGTCCTTATACACAGGTAACAGTCCTATAATATATAATAATATAATGCCAGTCCTTATACACAGGTAACAGTCATATAATATATAATAAATAATGCCAGTCCTTATACACAGGTAACAGTCATATAATATATAATAAATAATGCCAGTCCTTATACACAGGTAACAGTCATATAATATATAATAAAATAATGCCAGTCCTTATACACAGGTAACAGTCCTATAATATATAATAAATAATGCCAGTCCTTATACACAGGTAACAGTCATATAATATATAATAAATTAATGTCAGTCCTTATACACAGGTAACAGTCATATAATATGTAATAAAATAATGCCAGTCCTTATACACGGGTAACAGTCATATAATATGTAATAAAATAATGCCAGTCCTTATACACAGGTAACAGTCCTATAATATATAATAAAATAATGCCAGTCCTTATACACAGGTAACAGTCCTATAATATATAATAAATAATGCCAGTCCTTATACACAGGTAACAGTCCTATAATATATAATAAAATAATGCCAGTCCGTATACACAGGTAACAGTCATATAATATATAATAAAATAATGTCAGTCCGTATACACAGGTAACAGTCCTATAATATATAATAAAATAATGTCAGTCCTTATACACAGGTAACAGTCATATAATATATAATAAATAATGCCAGTCCTTATACACAGGTAACAGTCATATAATATATAATAAATAATGCCAGTCCTTATACACAGGGAACAGTCATATAATATATAATGAATAATGCCAGTCCTTATACACAGGTAACAGTCCTATAATATATAATAAATAATGTCAGTCCTTATACACAAGTAACAGTCATATAATATATAATAAAATAATGACAGTCCTTATACCCAGGGAACAGTCATATAATATATAATGAATAATGCCAGTCCTTATACACAGGTAACAGTCCTATAATATATAATGAATAATGCCAGTCCTTATACACAGGTAACAGTCCTATAATATATAATAAATAATGCCAGTCCTTATACACAGGTAACAGTCCTATAATATATAATGAATAATGCCAGTCCTTATACACAGGTAACAGTCATATAATATATAATAAATAATGCCAGTCCTTATACACAGGTAACAGTCCTATAATATATAATAAATAATGCCAGTCCTTATACACAGGTAACAGTCATATAATATATAATAAAATAATGCCAGTCCGTATACACAGGTAACAGTCATATAATATATAATAAATAATGCCAGTCCTTATACACAGGTAACAGTCATATATAATAAAATAATGCCAGTCCTTATACACAGGTAACAGTCATATAATATATAATAAATAATGCCAGTCCTTATACACAGGTAACAGTCATATATATATAATAAATAATGCCAGTCCTTATACACAGGTAACAGTCATATAATATATAATAAATAATGCCAGTCCTTACACACAGGTAACAGTCATATAATATATAATGAATAATGTCAGTCCTTATACACAGGTAACAGTCCTATAATATATAATAAAATAATGTCAGTCCTTATACACAGGTAACAGTCATATAATATATAATAAATAATGCCAGTCCTTATACACAGGTAACAGTCCTATAATATATAATAAATAATGCCAGTCCTTATACACAGGTAACAGTCATATAATATATAATAAATAATGCCAGTCCTTATACACAGGTAACAGTCCTATAATATATAATAAATAATGTCAGTCCTTATACACAGGTAACAGTCCTATAATATATAATAAATAATGCCAGTCCTTATACACAGGTAACAGTCATATAATATATAATAAATAATGCCAGTCCTTATACACAGGTAACAGTCATATAATATATAATAAATAATGCCAGTCCTTATACACAGGTAACAGTCATATAATATATAATAAATTAATGTCAGTCCTTATACACGGGTAACAGTCATATAATATGTAATAAAATAATGCCAGTCCTTATACACGGGTAACAGTCATATAATATGTAATAAAATAATGCCAGTCCTTATACACAGGTAACAGTCCTATAATATATAATAAAATAATGCCAGTCCTTATACACAGGTAACAGTCCTATAATATATAATAAATAATGCCAGTCCTTATACACAGGTAACAGTCCTATAATATATAATAAAATAATGCCAGTCCGTATACACAGGTAACAGTCATATAATATATAATAAAATAATGTCAGTCCTTATACACAGGTAACAGTCCTATAATATATAATAAATAATGCCAGTCCTTATACACAGGTAACAGTCATATAATATATAATAAATAATGCCAGTCCTTATACACAGGGAACAGTCATATAATATATAATAAAATAATGCCAGTCCTATACACAGGTAACAGTCCTATAATATATAATAAATAATGCCAGTCCTTATACACAGGTAACAGTCATATAATATATAATAAATAATGCCAGTCCTTATACACAGGTAACAGTCATATAATATATAATAAATAATGCCAGTCCTTATACACAGGTAACAGTCATATAATATATAATAAATAATGTCAGTCCTTATACACGGGTAACAGTCATATAATATGTAATAAAATAATGCCAGTCCTTATACACGGGTAACAGTCATATAATATGTAATAAAATAATGCCAGTCCTTATACACAGGTAACAGTCCTATAATATATAATAAAATAATGCCAGTCCTTATACACAGGTAACAGTCCTATAATATATAATAAATAATGCCAGTCCTTATACACAGGTAACAGTCCTATAATATATAATAAAATAATGCCAGTCCGTATACACAGGTAACAGTCATATAATATATAATAAAATAATGTCAGTCCGTATACACAGGTAACAGTCCTATAATATATAATAAAATAATGTCAGTCCTTATACACAGGTAACAGTCATATAATATATAATAAATAATGCCAGTCCTTATACACAGGTAACAGTCATATAATATATAATAAATAATGCCAGTCCTTATACACAGGGAACAGTCATATAATATATAATGAATAATGCCAGTCCTTATACACAGGTAACAGTCCTATAATATATAATAAATAATGTCAGTCCTTATACACAAGTAACAGTCATATAATATATAATAAAATAATGACAGTCCTTATACCCAGGGAACAGTCATATAATATATAATAAATAATGCCAGTCCTTATACACAGGTAACAGTCCTATAATATATAATGAATAATGCCAGTCCTTATACACAGGTAACAGTCCTATAATATATAATAAATAATGCCAGTCCTTATACACAGGTAACAGTCCTATAATATATAATAAATAATGCCAGTCCTTATACACAGGTAACAGTCATATAATATATAATAAATAATGCCAGTCCTTATACACAGGTAACAGTCCTATAATATATAATAAATAATGCCAGTCCTTATACACAGGTAACAGTCATATAATATATAATAAAATAATGCCAGTCCGTATACACAGGTAACAGTCATATAATATATAATAAATAATGCCAGTCCTTATACACAGGTAACAGTATAATATATAATAAATAATGCCAGTCCTTATACACAGGTAACAGTCATATAATATATAATAAATAATGCCAGTCCTTATACACAGGTAACAGTCATATATATAATAAAATAATGCCAGTCCTTATACACAGGTAACAGTCATATAATATATAATAAATAATGCCAGTCCTTATACACAGGTAACAGTCATATAATATATAATAAATAATGCCAGTCCTTATACACAGGTAACAGTCCTATAATATATAATAAATAATGCCAGTCCTTATACACAGGTAACAGTCATATAATATATAATAAATAATGCCAGTCCTTATACACAGGTAACAGTCATATAATATATAATAAATAATGCCAGTCCTTATACACAGGTAACAGTCATATAATATATAATAAAATAATGCCAGTCCGTATACACAGGTAACAGTCCTATAATATATAATAAATAATGCCAGTCCTTATACACAGGTAACAGGCCTATAATATATAATAAATAATGCCAGTCCTTATACACAGGTAACAGTCCTATAATATATAATAAATAATGCCAGTCCTTATACACAGGTAACAGTCCTATAATATATAATGAATAATGTCAGTCCTTATACACAGGTAACAGTCCCATAATATATAATAAATAATGCCAGTCCTTATACACAGGTAACAGTCCTATAATATATAATAAATAATGCCAGTCCTTATACACAGGTAACAGTCATATAATATATAATAAATAATGCCAGTCCTTATACACAGGTAACAGTCATATATAATAAAATAATGCCAGTTCTTATACACAGGTAACAGTCATATAATATATAATAAATAATGCCAGTCCTTATACACAGGTAACAGTCATATAATATATAATAAAATAATGCCAGGTGGCATTCTTTCTCTCTCAGTCTCTCTCTCTCTCTGTCTCTCAGTCTCTCAGTCTCTCAGTCTCTCTCTCTCTCTCTCTGTCTCTCAGTCTCTCAGTCTCTCTCTCTCTCTCTCTCTCTCTCTCTCTCTCTCTCTCTCTCTCTCTCTCTCTCTCTCTCTCTCTCTCTCTCTCTCTCCCTCTCCCTCTCCCTCTCTCTCTGTATAGTGTTGTATCCTCCAAACTAGGACTATACCAGTGATGTGTATTTCATGTTTGTTTTTGTTTTTTATTTTAGTGCGAAATATTCTTTAAATGATCAGGAATGTACCAGCATGAAAGATTGTATTACCAGTTCTCACAAAGTGAGCGGTAAGTACAGCCACTTACACCCTTACATACTGACAGTCCCCCCTCCAACCCCCAGAACTGAACCCAGAGAGTGGCAGCTTCAATCAATGCAGCATTATTGATAACAAAGGCGATATCCCCTGAGATTAACCATTTACAGCCCTAAAGGCTCGCTAAGGCATGATCACATCTTTCCAGAAACCAAATACGGGCAAGTCGTTTACCATTAAGTGTCATTTAATTGGGGTGAAAGGGTGCAGGGCCATTGATAGGATGTACCATAGATAGACTGTGCCAGCGATGACCAAGGCTGCCATGCACACTGAAAGCACCGTACCGCCATCTAAGCTGCCCGTCTACAGAGCTCAATGGAAGTGGGTGTAAATTATCTGCAATGACCGTGTGCTGCCAGCTGTGTGCGTAATAATTCACTCAAACTGCACTGTGCTCCATTGGTGCCCCATTTCATAGGCAGATCCAGAGTAAAAGCAAGATAGGTCCCGAATTGGGCTGTCTCGCAGGGTCCAGGGCTGGAGGTTAGAGTGGAATTAATGTGCACATTAGAATTTCTCTCTTTAGATCATTATGTTTCATTATTTCCTCTTGTTACTGCCGTTAGGATTATGCAGCATTCACCCACAAATCTAGCCCAGAGAGATAGTAACGTGTTCCCAGTCCCTAGAGGTGGCTGGGCTTAATGTATGAAATGGAGGTAGAATGATGATTATACAGGCCTGGCCAAGGGAGAACAGAATAGCAGCATAATGAGCCATGATCAGGACTGGAGGTCATTACACGCACCAAAGTTAAAAAAACAGAATAAGAGAGACACTAGCGAACGTACTCAGGTTACTACAGACAATAACAGGGCACAGGTCAGACAGGGTTTTATAACCTTATTGTCCTGCATCAAAGAAATGATGCCAAAATGGTAATGAGTGTCCTCACCTAATTGACGCCATGCCTATGTGTCATATTTGGGCAAATGGCTGCTATGGGTGAAGTGGTCTGAATCTGTCTCGACAAGAAAATGATTTGCTTAGAGAGGTGATTTTAAGCAACCTTGTAAAATTTAAACCTTTATTCATGTGTGGGCTGTTCCTTATTTGGTATTCTGGAATCACGCATCATGACGATGGCACAAAAAGGAGTATTCCACTTCAAAGATGACACAACATTCCATCATATAATAAAATGCCATCAGAAGGATGCACAACATTCCATCATATAATAAGATGCAATCAGAATGATGCACAACATTCCATCATATAATAAGATGCCATCAGAATGATGCACAACATTCCATCATATAATAAGATGCAATCAGAATGATGCACAACATTCCAACATATAATAACATGCCATCAGAATGATGCACGACATTCCATCATATAATAAGATGCCATCAGAATGATGCACAACATTCCATCATATAATAAGATGCCATCAGAATGATGCACGACATTCCATCATATAATAAGATGCCATCAGAATGATGCACAGCATTCCATCATATAATAAGATGCCATCAGACGGATGCACGACATTCCATCATATAATAAGATGCCATCAGAATGATGCACAACATTCCATCATATAATAAGATGCCATCAGAATGATGCACGACATTCCATCATATAATAAGATGCCATCAGAATGATGCACAGCATTCCATCATATAATAAGATGCCATCAGAATGATGCACAACATTCCATCATATAATAAGATGCCATCAGAATGATGCACAGCATTCCATCATATAATAAGATGCCATCAGAATGATGCACAACATTCCATCATATAATAAGATGCCATCAGACGGATGCACAGCATTCCATCATATAATAAGATGCCATCAGAATGATGCACAGCATTCCATCATATAATAAGATACCATCAGAATGATGCACAGCATTCCATCATATAATAAGATGCCATCAGAATGATGCACAACATTCCATCATATAATAAGATGCCATCAGACGGATGCACAACATTCCATCATATAATAAGATGCCATCAGAATTATGCACAGCATTCCATCATATAATAAGATGCCATCAGAATGATGCACAACATTCCATCATATAATAAGATGCCATCAGACGGATGCACAACATTCCATCATATAATAAGATGCCATCAGAATGATGCACAGCATTCCATCATATAATAAGATGCCATCAGAATGATGCACAACATTCCATCATATAATAAGATGCCATCAGAATGATGCACAGCATTCCATCATATAATAAGATGCCATCAGAATGATGCACAACATTCCATCATATAATAAGATGCCATCAGAATGATGCACGACATTCCATCATATAATAAGATGCCATCAGAAGGATGCACAGCATTCCATCATATAATAAGATGCCATCAGACGGATGCACAACATTCCATCATATAATAAGATGCCATCAGAATTATGCACAGCATTCCATCATATAATAAGATGCCATCAGAATGATGCACAACATTCCATCATATAATAAGATGCCATCAGAATGATGCACAACATTCCATCATATAATAAGATGCCATCAGAATGATGCACAACATTCCATCATATAATAAGATGCCATCAGAATGATGCACAGCATTCCATCATATAATAAGATACCATCAGAATGATGCACAGCATTCCATCATATAATAAGATGCCATCAGAATGATGCACAACATTCCATCATATAATAAGATGCCATCAGACGGATGCACGACATTCCATCATATAATAAGATGCCATCAGAAGGATGCACAACATTCCATCATATAATAAGATGCCATCAGACGGATGCACAACATTCCATCATATAATAAGATGCCATCAGACGGATGCACAGCATTCCATCATATAATAAGATGCCATCAGAATGATGCACAGCATTCCATCATATAATAAGATGCCATCAGAATGATGCACAGCATTCCATCATATAATAAGATGCCATCAGAATGATGCACAACATTCCATCATATAATAAGATGCCATCAGAATGATGCACAACATTCCATCATATAATAAGATGCCATCAGACGGATGCACAGCATTCCATCATATAATAAGATGCCATCAGATTGATGCACAGCATTCCATCATATAATAAGATGCCATCAGAATGATGCACAGGATTCCATCATATAATAAGATGCCATCAGAATGATGCACAGCATTCCATCATATAATAAGATGCCATCAGAAGGATGCACAGCATTCCATCATATAATAAGATGCCATCAGAATGATGCACAACATTCCATCATATAATAAGATGCCATCAGAATGATGCACGACATTCCATCATATAATAAGATTCCATCAGAAGGATGCACAGCATTCCATCATATAATAAGATGCCATCAGACGGATGCACAACATTCCATCATATAATAAGATGCCATCAGAATTATGCACAGCATTCCATCATATAATAAGATGCCATCAGAATGATGCACAACATTCCATCATATAATAAGATGCCATCAGACGGATGCACAACATTCCATCATATAATAAGATGCCATCAGAATGATGCACAGCATTCCATCATATAATAAGATGCCATCAGAATGATGCACAACATTCCATCATATAATAAGATGCCATCAGACGGATGCACAGCATTCCATCATATAATAAGATGCCATCAGAATGATGCACAGCATTCCATCATATAATAAGATACCATCAGAATGATGCACAGCATTCCATCATATAATAAGATGCCATCAGAATGATGCACAACATTCCATCATATAATAAGATGCCATCAGACGGATGCACGACATTCCATCATATAATAAGATGCCATCAGAAGGATGCACAACATTCCATCATATAATAAGATGCCATCAGACGGATGCACAACATTCCATCATATAATAAGATGCCATCAGACGGATGCACAGCATTCCATCATATAATAAGATGCCATCAGAATGATGCACAGCATTCCATCATATAATAAGATGCCATCAGAATGATGCACAGCATTCCATCATATAATAAGATGCCATCAGAATGATGCACAACATTCCATCATATAATAAGATGCCATCAGAATGATGCACAACATTCCATCATATAATAAGATGCCATCAGACGGATGCACAGCATTCCATCATATAATAAGATGCCATCAGATTGATGCACAGCATTCCATCATATAATAAGATGCCATCAGAATGATGCACAGGATTCCATCATATAATAAGATGCCATCAGAATGATGCACAGCATTCCATCATATAATAAGATGCCATCAGAAGGATGCACAGCATTCCATCATATAATAAGATGCCATCAGAATGATGCACAACATTCCATCATATAATAAGATGCCATCAGAAGGATGCACAACATTCCATCATATAATAAGATGCCATCAGAATGATGCACAACATTCCATCATATAATAAGATGCCATCAGACGGATGCACGACATTCCATCATATAATAAGATGCCATCAGAAGGATGCACAACATTCCATCATATAATAAGATGCCATCAGACGGATGCACAACATTCCATCATATAATAAGATGCCATCAGACGGATGCACAGCATTCCATCATATAATAAGATGCCATCAGAATGATGCACAACATTCCATCATATAATAAGATTCCATCAGAATGATGCACAACATTCCATCATATAATAAGATGCCATCAGACGGATGTACGACATTCCATCATATAATAAGATGCCATCAGAAGGATGCACAACATTCCATCATATAATAAGATGCCATTGGGATGAGGTGGGTACCCTGACAATTGCTCTCCTTAACTTTCTTTTCCTATTCCCGGGGATCATGCCGTCCGTTGTTCTGACCAATCGGCAGGAGGCAAAGTCTAATGTTTTAAAGGAGTTAGAGGAGAAATTTCACAAAATGCAGGTGGAACAGATCCACGCAATAGAAAATTACACCCGGTCAGATCACATCGCTATTCGAAAGCAACATCTGGACATCCTGACATTTCTCTATAATGTTTTGCAAAACGTTGATTTTATTTTTTAGCATTTCTTTTAATTAATCCTGAATGACATGGAGATGTAAAGACATTCTGCCGAATATTCCATTTCCAGAATTCTAATGCCAGCCATATCAAAACAGCTTCTTTTTTCCTGAAATAAATAAACAAAATAAAATAATATAAAAAAAAAGTATTCATATATTCATTTAATGCAGCCTTTAATGGAACCTTGTACAATCCTATCCCTGTAAATTGTCTGTTACAATGCAATGTTCCACTTTTCTACCCGTGACAGCACTAGACAGCCTTACAGTAAGCAATTACACAGGTGTTTAAACAGCAATTGGGTAAATACTTGCAGAAACATAATATTAGAGGATATCATTTTTAAATTGTGGGGTAATAGCTGCTTGATTCAAGGAGATATCTGACTGCTATTTTGGGATCAAGAAGGAATTTTTTCCTAGTTTGTTGCAAAATTTGAAGCAATTCAGTTTTTCCTTCTTTTGGATCAACAGCAAAAAACAGATATGAGGAATGGACACAAGCCTCTTTTCAGCTATGTAACTGAGTAACTAAATCACTCTGGGATAGGTTTGTTAAAGAAAGGCATAGACCAGGCATCAGCAACCTGTGGCATACCGTCAAGGTGTCCTTCCAAGCCACTCTAGGATGCCAGAGGCTCTCAGTCAGACTTCAGATATCTGCTAGCGCTCACCGAGCAGTGATTGCAGGTGGTAATGGACAATCCTCCGTTTACACATTGCAGCACTTAGAGAAAGTGATCTTAGGACAGTTCCTCCCGGCACCTGTGAACTAAAAACCACACGGGAGGAGTAGAGCAGCCCACAGCAGCTATCGCAGCTCCTTCCAGGTTAAGCCTCTCTCTCATACAAATAATACTAACAGCCCAAACACAAACATACACACACACAGTCCCCATAAACACAGCACCACAGACAGTCCACATACACACACACACACAGTCCCCATAAACACAGCACCACAGACAATCCACATACACACACAACCCCGCAAGCCATCTCCTAAATGCAGCCCCACACAGAGACACACCACCAGACACACAATGTGGCAAAACATATCATCCAGACACACAAGAACACAATCAGCCCCCATACGCAACCCACATTCATAGCTATCATACACAATACCACAAACACCTTAAATAAATAAAATAGGTCTTTAAGGATTACTCTAAGTACCATGAGTACTTCGAGTCTGTACATGCAGCGTTTAATACTGAAGCACAGCACATACATTGATAAACGTTATATCTACTGGAGGTCAGCATTACCCAGCCCCGAACAAGAGTCCTGGCTAATGTCAATTCTGTGCATATATCTGTAATAATAGGCTTAGAGCGCTCAGCTGAAGATCTCGGGCAATGAATGAGTGGCAGTAACAGCATCCAGCAGCTCTGCAGAGTCTAGACGAAATTTAACCTCCATTGCTGGAAGTTTGATGCCCAACGGGACCATGTAAGTGGGCAAAATGGTTTGCCTTATTACCAGGGGATGGTGTCAGGGTACTCCTATCATCATAACCCCCACAGCTACCGGAAGTGATTATTGTACTTGGAGTAACTCTTTGCAGACATGTTTCTTTCACACAGTGGGTAGCAGTGTGACTGTTACCCTGCAGGAGAATACCATCCAGGAGTTCTTCAGGACTTCAGTCCCAAGCAAAGAAGGTATTAAAATGAAAGCATTTGAATGTTACTACACTTCAAAACAAATTTGAAGCAATTTTGCTGATGTCTTTTGAAATTCAAATGATAAACATTTTGTTTTTTGGTAACAACGGCCCCTGTTATTTGCTTTTTAAATCCAGCGCTCAATGAGGAATCCTAGCAGTGCCTGACCTGTTCAGCATCTTACACAGTGGACATTGCATGTGCATCCACATCTGAAGGGATTTTCTTATTTTTACAATAATAACACATTTTAAGTATGATATAAGAGTCTTTTATGCTGTATATGCCAGGAGAGTGAGAATCCCCAGTCTCTAATTGACAGGATTCGTTGATGATATTTCTAAAGTCGTGTCACATAGATTATGTTAGAGATAGATGGACCAGGTGTAGAAGTCGCTCCAGCATTGGGTTTTACTCTCTGACAACTGAAGATGAATGACGAGATATATTAATCTTAGTCTCACTCACAGTATGCAAGACTTTACATCTATTCTTCATCCTTCTCCGTTACAGTGATCCTTGACTTCGGCCAACTGCAGTTTGGAGAGTCAGGAGGGAACCTCACATTCTGGGGTGAAATTCATACATATTATGTAGTAACTGAAATACTCCAAGTTCAAGCCTTAGGCAAGACAAGTTCTATTGTATTAATACCTTTTCACTTTTTTAACTGAAATTTGCAGTGATGACCTGTGGAAGTTGCTCTCTTTATCAGCGTAGCTTGTTTTACGTTGCTCATAAATGCTTTAGACTTGATAAAAGAAGTTTCTCCCAAAAGCTTTTCATTACGAATTTCTGTTAGTCCAATAAAAATGGTATTAAAAGAAACAGCAATACTTCATTATTAGCATTTTACGTTACTGGACTAATATGGAAACTCATGTATCATGACATAAAATCTAGAAACAGGGACAGGATTATAATTCTTCAAATTAGAAAATGTCATTGCAAGAAATAATGTGACATTGTAAGTACTAGCAGGGTTATTGTAAAGCATAAACTGCTTATAACTTCAGCCAGAAAAAAATTTAATTAAATCATTCAGCAAATGGTTATTCTCTTGTACATCTAGTGTTTTCCCACTAGAGGGAGACAGCAATATATATTATTATTATTATTGCCATTTATATAGCGCTAACAGATTCTGTAGTGCTTTACAATATTTTGAGAGGGGGGGATGTAACAATAAATAGGACAATTACAAGAAAACTTACAGGAACCATAGGTTGAAGAGGACCCTGCTCAAACAAGCTTACAGACTATAGGAGGTGGGTATATATTATATATAATTATTATATATATAATAATTGCACCAAATTAGGGTTTCATTTTATAGTTATCAATTTATATATATACACCTCTACACACACCTATAATTAAATAATTATTAGCCCTTTTATTGATAAAATTGTGCATACTTTCCACGTGTATGCTTTGTAAAATGTGTATTTTTTACAAAAGGAAATTTAGCCAATACATCCTCACCTCCACTTATATTCCAGGAATTATTACGAAATGACAACCCCCCCCCTTTAGCAAACTTTAAAAGAGACTCCAAAGATAATACTATTCCCAGTGTCAGAGAGGGAAAGCAGTAAATGTTATCTCTTATATGCCTTTTAACATTACATTACCATTTAACTGTAGCTACTGCATGTGGGTATTCTGCGCAAATTCAGACATTCATTTTAATATTTTCTAATTCTATAAAGAACAAAAAAATAATAATAAAAATATGTAAATTTGCAAATATTTATTTTTTTTATTTTCACTGCAATGCTGTTTATAAATAAAATTATTGATTTATCATAAATGTATATGCTATGGCTCTCGGCTGGTGGTAGTACAGAGACCGAGACCCCTGTGTGCCTGATAATGATCGGAGTCAACCTCATGGAAATGAACAATCAGGGCCTGGGGCAGGATAACCACGCGCCCCCGGGTGTTGAGCACCAGGGTTTGTGCGGCCACATACCAGGGCCCTGATGCAGCGTCTGCGGATCCCAGGAACTAGGAGAGAATATGCAGATCTCCCAGGATCTGAATAGGGAGGCTCTGCAGCAGGTATGTATCCAGTACTAGAAACAAGGCAAGGCAAGGATAGTCACCAAACAAGAAAACAAGACAGAACTAATAGAACCCAGAACCAGAGAAAGATAGGAAGCGAACCCAGAACATGTACAAGACATGAGGGAAACATGAACAGAACATGGGCAGGACAGGACTGTACATGGACTGGGAATACAAAATAAAACAAGACAAGATATGCAAGGCAAAACAAGGGGAGACATAACTAAGTACTATATATGTGTAGTAAACATTGAAGATTTAGACATACATAAATGGTCAAGATGTATGCAGCCCACCACTGCGCCAGAGTACTCCAAGTACGGTGGGTTACTATCTGTCTAGATATGCATGACTAAATAGACAATAATAAAACACACACAGCACTTACCTGCAAGAAAGGGGCAGAGGACTTGGAACAACTGCCTGCAGGAACCAACTAAAACAAAAGGATAAATGGAAAAGGAACAGGTGGCAACATAAAACAAACATATAAAGGAATCCAGGAGAACGGGAATTCCAGGAACGGAATAAAGGAATGAACCCAGAAAACCCAGCATAAAGAAAATCAGACAGAACAGAAAAACAGAAAAAAACAAGAAAAACTAAACAAGAATTGTAAAAAGAGTACTGGGTCCCAGAAGCCAAGGCCAGAAATGATCCGCAGCAGGAACAGGACGTGACATACATAAGCTTTCCGAATCATTGATCTTAAAAAAAATCCCATAAAGCATAATAATAACGTCTGAAGATAAATAATTTGGAACGTTTTGACATTTTTCTAACAATCTTGACTCGTTTGGAAAGCTTTTTAAATTGCATCCCATGTTTAAAACATTTATTATTCAATATTTTTCAGGTTGTCAAACAAAAATCAAAACAAAGCAAAGATGAAAAATTAAAAAGATATATTTTATGTCACGCAGTAAATAATAACTGTATAAAAAGCTAGTTATATTCTAGAACATGCTTTCACTAATGCTATATTTATCATAAAACGCAGTCGAAAGCAGTCTAAACACACAGTCTGTATGACGGCTATATACAATATATAACAAGGCTACACGTACTGTATATACAATATATGAAGGCTAAACACACTATAGACCATTCCTTTTATTCATTTTGTAGCCCCCTCTGCACTTTTTCTAGTGCCATAATATCCTTCTTTAGAACAGGTGCCCAAAATTGCACAGCATATTCAAGGTGTGGTCTTACCAGCGATTTATAAAGAGGCAAAATTATATATTAATCCTGAGAATTTATGCCCCTATTTATACATGTCAAAACCTTACCGGCCTTAGCAACTGCAGATTGACATTGCATATTGTTGCCTAATTTGTTGTCTATAACAATTCCCAAAATTTTTCTCGTGTGTGGTTATCCCTAATTCACTACCATTTAGGGTGTAAGTTGCTTGAGCGTTCTTGACCTCGAAGTGAATAACTTTCCATTTCTCTACGTTAAATTTCATCTGCCATTTTAGTTCCCATTCCCCCAATCTATCCAAATCTCTCTGCAGCAAAGCAATATCCTGCTCGCATTTTATTACTTTACAAAGTTTTGTGTCATCTATATACACTGAAACATGGCTTTAGATGCCTATTTCAAGATCATTGCTTAAACATGTTAAATAGAGGCTGTCCCAGAACAAAACCCTGAGGGACACCACTTGCCACCTCTGTCCAGCCTGAAAATTTACCATTAATGACAACTCTCTGTACTCTATTGTGACACTGATTGTGGCGGAACCAGCCTCGCCACTGGGCATTGGAGAAGACTGATTGCCAGCCTCCTGCCATGTGACTATGGCCCCTGGAATGTATTGCCCTATAAGGAACTGATTTTGGGCTTATGAATTTGTATTGGACTGTGTATAGCCCTTTAAGAACTGTTTTTGGGCATAATGGATTTTTATTGTGCTTTTTCTGGCCCTTTAAGTACTTTGGGAAAGGACCTGCAGTTTTGGCATTGCACTTCGCATGCAGCTAAAGTGCCGAAGTAGTCAAAGTGACCGCCATTAGAAAACCGAACACGTGGCAGCGGCCATTTTGATTCATTTGAATGCAGTCAGCGGTGTGTACCATCAAACTCATGGAACTAAAATTGGCTACAGAACGGCACGAACACCTGAAGTTTTACCTTCCCTGGAACTACTGCATTCAACAGTTCATTTGACAGTTCATTCGGCAGTTCATTTGGCAGTTCATTCGACAGTTTGACAATTCAAATGGTTGTCAGTCATCTGTTTGAACTGACTCTACCATGGGAAATAGACTTTTATTAATAATGGCTGTATCGTTTTGGAGTTATGAAAGTTGGATAAAAAGTATGTATAAACTTTACGGCTAATTGTGTTACCTCTCAGGCTAAGGGGAGGAGATGTGTGGGATGTAACCAATGTGTGATTGGGTAATTCATAATTGTTTGTGGGCGTCTCCCTTGCACGGGAGAACTGCATAAAAGCAGAGTGTGTGTGTCATTCAAAACCTGAGTTCTACTTCACCCTCAATTTGGAGTGCCGTCTCTTATTGGGGGAATCTGCTACAAGGGATTGCTATGCTCTGCATACTCTCTTGCTATATTCACTGCTAATTCTTGTAAGTGCTTGTTCCTGTTTTGCTCTCTGAAGGAGTCTACGGTGGTTATGGTGTCTGCTGGAGTGCTGGAAACCCTCAGGAAGTGCTAGGAGCATCCTTCAACAGAGGTACCCAGTCGGGGTGCCCGTCGATCCATTACACCGATATTCTACCCAAAAAGAAGAATTGTGATCCAGATTAATTTCTTTGAGTTTGAACACTAACCTATTGTGTGGAACCGTATCAAACACCTCTACTTCAACACCCTGATCTATACTTCTACTTACTTCTTCGTAGAATGCAATCAAGTTAGTTTGACATGACCTGTGCTTCATAACACCATGCTGATTTCTGCTGACAACCAAGGTCTATAATTTCCAGACAAGGCTTTTGAATTCTTTTTGAATATAGGAACCACATCTGCCTTCCTCCAATCCTTTAGGAACACTTCCTTAAAGAAAAGAATCTTGGAAGATTAAAAACAGAGGTTCACTTATTTCCACACTTAGTTCCTCAAGTACTCGTGGATGAATACTGTCAGGCCCTAGAGCTTTGTTTATATTAACTTTCTTTAGTTGCTGCAGCAACTTGTCTTTAGTCATCCAACCACAATTTGGATGACTCAAGAAAATGACAGGATTTTGGGGACTTTAGATATTTAGTTTTATTATCAGGCTTCTGCTTGCAGTTTGATGTGTAGAGCGCTGTATGTCATCACATCAAACATTATCATTCTGCAAAACATCTCAAGCTGTGAGCTGTACTATTTATATAAAAGAACTAGGGCTAAATTAATATTTTTAAACTTTCCTGTTATTCTTCATTTTTTATGACAATCCTGCCAATTTCATGCTGCTAAAGATGAATAAAATAGAATGAGGGAGTGTGTGTGTTTCTTTTAGTTACAGAGATTGAAGTCGGTAGAATTTTATTACCATGACCATAACCATATAACCATGTGACCAATGCAATAGTCCTGAAGGCTGAATTCTAAGGTTTATATATTGATAAATATATGTTGCATGTGAAAAATGTATCACAATTTTAAGATATTTCTCATAATATTAAATCAACTTAAAAATGTATCAAAAAACATTAAATAATTTAAAAAGTTTATCTGTCGACTGAAGCAAATATTATTAAATATTAATTATTTTCTTAAAGTCTTTAATATTGTTGGATAACCATTCCAAAACGAATGTGTTTAATGGGAGCCACACACAGACTTTTATGTAAATCCCTGTGCAAGGGGTTTCCTTAAACATATTCCAGGGGCATTTCTCCCTGGACCTGAGAGGGAACTAATTACAAGTAGACATTCCACACACCTCTCCCCTGTGCCTGAGAGATAATTACCTGAGCACACAAACATATAATTAAATTATCTCTCAGGTGCAATATAACAAAACCCTAAAAATACCCCCAAAACACATGAAAGCCCACAAAAGTCAACTCTCCTGATGGCCACGATTTAGGTGACCAACGTATCCAAAAATCACACAGATCGGTTCAGGGGTACAGGATTTTCATTGAAGTCACATTTTTGACCAACAGTGCACATGGTCCTATGCCCAAAACAGTTCCAGGAATCTGGGCTAGTGGTCATGGGCATAGGAACACAAAAAAATCTGGGGGGGATAGCATTTTTACTCGCCAGGTATATTCTTATTCCGTAAACTGTGAGTTGTTTATCCCATTGTACAGCGCTAAGGAATTTGCAGTTGCTATATAAATGATTAAATAATAACATTAAAGGGTCACAGGGAAGGGATTTTACTTACCTGGTGTGACAAGAGCAATCTCGCCACATTGCATTGGAGAAGGCTGGTTGCTCGCCTGCTGCCTTTGGACTATGGGCCCATGTTAAAAGACATCTTTTTTCCCTGCAGAAAAGACTTATTCTTGCTTTTCTACCGGGTGATCAGTAGATTCAATCTACCGAACAACCGCACGAATGAGTAGACCACCTGGGAACTGGAGTGTGCCGGCAATTAACCTCCCTGAAGCTGCGGTTAACCGCAGCTTAATTGACGAATGCTGGGTGGCCGCCATTCGAATCACGAACACGAGGTCGCGGCCATTTTAAACATGCGAATGCACAGTGGTGTTCGACGCTTAATTCATGGAACTGAAATCGGACACAGTTTTGCGTGAACACCGCTGAAGCCGACCTCCCTTCTTGTTCGGTGAAAGTGCACGAACGGCCCGGTGTTCGGTAGTTTTGTTTGAATGTGTTATACCCCAGATAGGAATCCCATGGAGCCCATTCGCATGAAACTGACTGTGTAAAGACTTTGGCTCCATGGCGATTAAACTGTATTCATGTGGTCTGAGCGCCATTCGCTTAATAATGTGCGCTCAGACCTGAGCTATCTGGGGATAGGTTAAATGTATGCTTTTAATGGTATGTGTCGTGCATTTTAATAGTAATTCGTGTATTAGTATCCCCACGTGCATAATGGCGATTTGCCTTTGTCTTGGGAGATAATTGAATTACTTCTCAATTATCTCCAAGGCAGAGGGGAGGAAGCCAGGATGCATTGTGGGAATATATTGTGACTGTGTGTCCTATTTGTTAACTTGTCTGTCCCTTGTCACAGTCTCCCATTTGGTCCCCTAGGGGAGTGTCCACCAGGTGGGAGACCAGCATAAATACTGGGCAGGTAGCCCTCATTAAACAGACCACCGCTTGACCCTCAACACAGAGCTTTGTCTCGTTCTTGGGGGGATTTATTGTATGCTGTTCCAGTTCGACTGCTAGGAATATAAACCTATTCGTATGGTTTTTCCTATTCGGCTCTTTACAGCATTCGTATGGTTCCAGTTCGTGTGTTTGGAGTGCTATATTGGATGCCGTTTGGGAGTTTGAAGCATTCACTTATTGGCGGTTCGTGAGTTTGGTGTTTTACAATCGCTGTGCCTGCATCTCTGGAAAGGGGGACGATCGCCTAAACGGTTTTAACCCCTTGTGTGCTGAAACGGTCCGTTACACCTGGATACAGCGCCTG